TGCTGCTGTGTTGAAATGTCCTACATTTTTGCACATATTTATAGGAATATTTATAGGAAGCGTAAAACCATAAAACCATAGGCATGACATTTTATTTAAATCACACAAAGCTGAAGTAAGCTTCTTATTCGCTAGCTTCTTGTTCGAATTTTCCTGTTAAGTAGTGCAGCATTTAACGTTACAACGCTTTACCCTGCGTTCACACCAGCAACGATTTTTCGCCTCTTGTTACCCAAACTGCTGATCCCTCATCGCCTGTGGGCGTTTCTAAACTCAATCTGATGTTGTTCGCCATGGTTTTGCCGACCTCAAGCACAAATCAGATGCATTGCCGCTAAAATTAAAAATCCTGGTGAGAAATTGCTCGTGTTCTTATTTTTGTTTAATCCCTGTGTCTGTGCAGTCAATATGTGAGGAAAACAGTATTTGCTCTTTGCAATTAATGTCTGTTTGCGGAGAAAGAACCACCACCATTATTTACAGTGGCCAACAAGAACATATTCATTATTACAGTACAATTAAAAACACAGAAAACACTTTTATCAAAATGACTACACCTGATCTACATTTCACAAACGCACTGTAAATGCAGAAAACACTTTCATCACCATGACTACATAGGAGTTAAATTTTACAAACACACTGAAAATAAAAAACACTTCAGAAACACTGCAAAGCCAGTCACAACAGAAGTGAATCAAAACACAAGTGAAATATTCTTGGAACACTCAAATGGCTCAACGGGGATGGAATATTTATGATGGAAAATCCCTGAGAGAAGTAGATAAGACTTAAGGTATTACCAGTTAAACTTTTACATTTACACTCTACAGCTAATTCCCATTACAATACAGTGATAGTAGTAATCTGCTTAAATAAAAGTTAACTTACTTTGTGGTGAATGTTTGTGCTGCATAGAATTTAAAAGTCTGAATGGCTCCATCCTCTCTGAGTGTCCTTCGGAAACACCTCCATTTTGATGAAAGTGCTTTCTGAGTTTGCAGAGTGTCTACGAATTTTATTGTAATGGGAATTAGCTGTAGAGTGTTTCTGTAAAAGTTCTGTAAAAAAACACAGTAATACCAGATAACTACCACAGTACAGCTATGATTTGTCAGATGCAGTCTAACGTTTGACTGATATAATCAGTCCTAGGGTTTGGTATCATTTTGGACAGCGCTGCCCTCAACCATTCTTGCCTTTGTTTCAAGACTATAGAAAATAAGAAAAAAGGAGTAATTGTATTTGTTTCAGAATATTAAGGATGATTATTTTTGCAGGGGGTTATACGGTATATTGCCTGGAAATGTATCTCTAGTAAAACTACCCAAGAGACAAGAGTAAGTTTCACATTGTGATATTCTTACACTTTGACACAGCACTAATGAGGGCTGAAACCTGTGAAATTGAAACACTTATTTTGTGTTTTTTGATCATTGTTTAGTGAGGGATTGAAGTAATTTACTCTCCTGATTGTAAATTGTATTGTTTCATGGAAAATGATTGACTTGAATTTGGGACCTCATTCCACCTTCTGTAATGTACAAGCTGTAATTGATAACGTGGTCTATAATTGCTGCCCCAATTTTACTGGATATTTCAGCTTAGTTCAGTCTGTATGCCAAGGCCTTTTGTTTGGGACCCTCTGCCACAACCTAATATTCTGCTGACAAACACAGGTGATTCCCATCTTCTTTGGATACAGTGTCATTCTCCACCACTTACATTATGTATTAAATATAGAAACAAACAGGTACATTGTTTGTTTCTGAATGTTTTGGGTTTGATTGTGTGGTGTGCAGTACATTACGCTTACTGATACATACTGATCTGCATGTTTAGTTGTGTAACACCGCTTGAGGTTGTATTCCTGTATCCCGGTTACCCAGTGAACACTCCCATAACAAGTGGGCTAAACCCTTCCTACATGTTGCAAAAAAGCACTGTTCTTGAAAAATGTCTCTTTTGAAACTCTCAAAACATAAGAGAAAAGTTGACTTGGAGCACAGAGAGATCTGAGATATATCTCTATTGACTTTATCATGGCTACCACTTGTCTGAAATGCAAATAGAAAGTAACTGTCCTTAATGAACACAATCTCAAGGCCATTACACCACTAAACACGCAGAGCATCAGTATGTCTCAGTTAAATATCAGTAAGTAGAAGGGAGAGAAGAGGGGGAGATGAGTCAGTCAGCTTCACAATGATCTGTCCCTGTGTAGCCATAATAATACTGATTTTGACTATTTTTAAATTTTTTATTTTTTTTATTTTATTTAAATATTATTTTGCATCGCTATTGTGAGCTTCACTAAGCTTTACTAAGTCTCTTTGGGGAATGATAAATGAATATTACTGTGAAATGTCTGAGTTTCAAACAAATTTCAATGTGTATGGTTTTTATGGGGTTCCCCCCTTGCTGGTTGTAGATGGGGCATTAATTGGTGCAACACAATGCCTGTGTACTGTGTGCTTTCCGGTAAATCAGCAAAAGCATTGTGAATGCTGAATGGGTAAGCAGGCGATTTCACTCTCTCCCATATAGTTCTCTTTCTAAGAATAAAAAGAAGTCTTTTAGTCATTGCTAAGGATATAAACACTAACATTTAAGTTTTTCACAGTTTTCCAGTTTCATTGTCTTTATGTATATGTATGCATATGCATCTTTGGAAGAAAAAGCATTGTGAATGCTGAATGGGCAAGAGAGAGAGAGAGAGAGAGAGAGAGAGAGAGAAAGAGCGAGTCTGCGTATGTGCACTAATCCTGCCCCATGTCTCATGTGTTCAGAAATAAACGACACAGAGCTCCATATCCCTGTGTGCGGTGTGGCTGTTTGAACTGTCCTGATCTACTTTTCCGGCCTTGTTGATGTCTGCTACACCAGCAGCAGAAAAATTTTCACCAAGCAAAAAGAGAAAGTGATGCAGCAGGTGGGGCAAGCTATGCGGTGAGCGAGTTCATAGTGAAAGCAGGGAAGCTGTTTACAGAGGGACAGTTCCTAAAAGACTGCATGCATCAGGCTGCTCATATCCTGAACACAGTGACTAAGCAGATCAGCAAGTTATATTCACTTTCAAAAGTTTGTTTTTCTGGCATGTGTTTAATGTTTTATGGGGGTTAGAGTGTTGTGCAAAGGTAATGTTCGCGGGGGTGGGGAATAATGATGCAATTTTCTGCAATTTTGCAGACTTTGGGGGATTATTTAAAAACTTCACTAAATCAGTTTTTGTACCTCAGTAATTTTCCACTTTATTTTAGTTATTTTCACTTCTTTTTGTGTCAATTGCAAATGACACTCACTTATTCACTCACTTCTACACTAGCTTACATTGCTGCCACTTTATTGAAAAAGAGCTAAATCTTGTCTGCTTTACCTAAAAAGGGAAATAAATTAAGGGGCATAAATTGACATAAAAATACTATATCAACAATCCAAATTAATTTAGAGAACATAGATAATGTAAGGTGTGGGAGTTGCAGGTGATTTAAGTCTTCATGTAAGTGAAGCACAATCTTACAGAAACTCAGTAGAGAAGCGTTGCACTTGTCTACTTTTTAATGGGCAAAAATAATCAAATAAATGATAGAGTGTAGGAAAGTGGCAACTGCCCCACTTAACAACCACGTGACACACTCTATCCCCTCTGTGTTATAATAAAAGTCTGTAATATGCAGAAGGCAATAACGTAATAATACTCTTAGAATTGTAACTAAAATTACTGTCTCACAATAATAAAGCCACAGATGAAAGAAGCCAATCAACATGATGTATTTTTAAACACAATGCATAGGAAGCAGCATGAGTACATATGATTCACAAAGCTCTCCTTTACCAATATTTAATAGGATGCTATTCTATCACGTCACAGCTAGATAGCGAGCCAGAAGGCTAAACAACCAGATTGAAGGACGACTACTAACTTTAGCTGGTACTCGCCATAGCCAACTATTTTGCAAAGGAAACTATTTTATATTTCTCAAATGCACTTAAATATGTGTAACTAACTGCATTTCATTTTCACACATTTGAAAACTGATTGATGTTCTACTAACCACATAAGCAACACAGCATTCATCAACCATTCAGCATTGACACATATAGTGCTGTGTGTGTCTGTACCTGAACCGATTTCATCCTGCAACTTTTGGAAGAAACTGATACCATAGCGAAAGGGGAGTATGTCTCACACACACACACAATCTAAGCTGCTTATCCCAGCGATAATCACAGGGCAGACACACAGACACATACATTCACAACTAGGGGCAATTTAGCTTCTCCAATTCGCCTGACTGTATACTCACATATCACAGCATGTTAAATATATTTGCACCTTATTCTCACTACCTCATACTCAGAAATGAGTGCTGCGTCGGTGCTGCACTGTCCTGTCTGTTTACTGTGTCTAATGTCCATTTTAATTATCATATTTATTGTATTGTTTCTAGTTTTGCACACGTTTGCACTTTGCCTACTGTCTATTTTGTTTCATGTTGCACCTTGTTCCTGGAGGATTTTGCTCAACTGTGTACTTGTACAAAAATGGAATGACAATAAAAGCCTCTTGACTTTGAGGCGACAAAGCTCCCCACTACCCTGCTGCCTAAGAACACGTTTTTTTTATATTATAAAATGACCATTCAGTATGACACAAAAATTAGTCAATACGAGTAACACAGGTAAGTGTGTGGTTATTTGAATCACTTTTTAGAGTGCAGTCTTATTAAACTGAGACAGAGATAAATGAATTAAAGAATTAGGAAAAATGATCTCTGAATGAATTCTGTATTCAAACATGGAAAAAAACTGCTCATGGTTAGGCCCAACAGAGATTTGTTGTACTAACTGAAGAGTTTGATAAATGAAGGAGCTCACTATTGAAAATGCTTGTTAGCAACTGTAAGTAAAATGGTTGTTAAAAATGCTTACATCATCACAAGACAACATCTAACCCGTTAGTCTTCATGATTGATATTGGCTGAAGAACACGTGCTTACCTTGGCTGTTGTCCTTAAGAAGATATTGGTTGAAGGTCAGCGGTTTGCTCTCATATAACGGTGCAGTGCAGCAGTGATGGTGCTCCCAAGTTCACCCCACCCGCGCGCTTTACCGACCCCGTCTTTATTGTCTGAAGTGAAAGGAAAGACCCAGAGACACAGCTAAGTCTACACATCGGTTTCGGTTGTGGAAAAGCAGCGGATTAAAAATCACTTTACCAGACCCAGCGATGCACCGTCCTTACTCCTCCGAGCTCTGTCTTCTGCCTGCAGAAAGCGCGACGCGGAAAATGAAAGTGAAAGAGAAAGTATGCAGACTGCGTCATGGAACAGTCTGTGCCCAGCCTACATATAAACACTCGGAACAACTCAGAACAACAATTGACTTAGAAAAATCAAATCACAAAATACATAGTCTATTCGAACAGCCTCGCCCAGAAATAAACGCAGCATCTTAGAGGGGATTTTCACTTTGTTATTTTATGCTGCACCTCCTTTAGGCTAATTGGTCTGCACTCCCGTCAGCCGGTTCTTTTGATGGTGCTGCTGTGTTCCTGTTCGCCTCAACGGGGTGATTTCTCGGAAAGCCCCTACTTTACCCGAACTCCTTCTGCTGCAGACTCTTCCTGCAGTTTGGGCGGATCCCCCAAACCAGCCCAAGCCACCTCGCTCTATGCACCATTTTAGCGCAGCTGCTGGTCCGTTCGCAGACATTTGAGAGCAAGTGACATCATACGGTAAGTAGTTGCCTGTTATTTTTAGTGCTCTATTAGATTTTGTTGAGACGGAGTTAAAAACGGACTACATGCGTTACATCAGTTAACACCTTATCGCTCTCAAACGCTTTCTGTAGTTGAGCTAACCAGTTGAGTGGTAGAAATACTATAAATGGCTGTAAGTCATGCAGTAATACAAGACTAACACGCGTTTTGTGGGCTGCAGTGGGAACTTTACGTCGTAGCAGTCTCGAAAGCTGTCTATTGCATTAAGACTTTAATGGAGTAGTTAAAATTGCAGTAGTAAAATTGATTTTATATGGGACAATCACTGGATATTTGACTTTTTACTCCCCAGCTGAATCCCAAATGGCGCCCCCTTCCTATGTAGGTAAATTCTGAAATTCGTCTACGCCAAACTTATTTATTGTTTGTCCAGTATGGTATTATGCACATGTGGCTGAATCCCAAATGGCTATTTGCACTGCTTGGGTGTAGGAGTCAGTATTTTAATTCCTATGTAGTGCGCTATGTAAGAAGGGAGTCATTTGAGATTCAGCCCTCGGTTTCTCATGAAATAAAATACAAAAATGTTCAACTACATTTTCTCTCTCTTGGGAAGACAGAGAACATACTACAAACAAATGTCATAACCATTTCTATGCAATAACTTTCTGTAAGGGAGCTTTTAGAAGCATTAAACTCTTCAGAACTTTGGTCCTATATCACCAGCACTGCAAACAATTCTGACCTGGTATATTACAATAGAGTATTTCACACCAAACCATCCTGAATGATTTTCTTAACCGTTTAATTATGCAGAAATTTTGGAAAATGAGTGATATTCCCCTTTAAGCCTACTATTAATCCCAGTTTTCAGAAACCCTCTTTGCTGCATTTTAAGAGTCGCTTTTTTGTCCTAAAGCTATCATACCTGTTGGCCTTTAGTCACAAAATCGCTTGCAGTAAAGAGAAAAGCCTCTTCCAAGCCTGATGAAAATTTTTACTAGTTGTATTTTAATAAATATTATTTTGTGATTTAAATAGTGCTGTACCTTGGAAAATGAATAAGTTACTGTAAAGATAAAGACATCTACAATTTAGATTTTTTCCAAAACTATCCATTGGTGGAATTTTGTTTATGCTTCATCACAAATAATTTTGACATAATACTAAACAGGTCATGAATAAATTGTAAAGTTTAGTTACTCTACATGTTAAAAAAAAAATTAAAACATATAGTAAGCTTGGAAGAAGCCAGTCTATTTACTGCAGATGATTTTTTTATATATGTCAGATAGCCACAGACTTACTATAAAGGTAATTTAAATATTGTTTTGTGAAATAGCATAAATGTGTACATCAGTGTTTTAAAAAGAAATATTAAAAATAAATAAAATTACATTTAAACAAATTCATAATATTACATAAAAGTCCTAAGCAGGAATACAGTAATATATTTTTTAAATACAAAAAAACAAAAAGTAACTTGTCAAAACATTAAAGGTTGTAGTACTTTGTAGTACTAAGAAAGGTGCATGGCTTACTACAAGTGAAGTATCGCATAAAAGTCCTATAGCATGGATACAGCAATTAATCAAACATAAAAAAACTACTAGTAATCAAGAAAATGTTCCAATATTTAAACAAATCAAAGGTTGTACTAGCTGCCAAGTGGGAAAGGGAAATCACTACACAAAAGTCATAAAGCATTGATACAGTAATACATTGTTTAAAAACCCCCCCTAAAAAATCAACAAAAAAAATGCACATTTATTTGTCAACCCATTAAGACTCCCTAGGGGAGTGGACAAATGACTACAAATGAAATATCATTTAAAACCCTATAGCATGGAAACAATAATAAATAAAAACATTTGAAAAAAATGACTGACAATCAATAAAATGATGTTACTACAAGAAGAATCCAAAATCTTGGTACATTAATAAATTGCAAACAAGAAAAGAAAAAAGAATGAAAAAATTATTGAAAAATAACTGTCTTCTAGAATAGCCAGAAAATTATTAGAAAATTATAGAAAAATAACAAATTAAGATCAACACGTTAAAAGCACGTTAAAAGCTGTGTTCCCTGGGGGATGGATGACTTAGAAGTATTCCAGTATTCCAGAAGTTATCCATTCAATAGTACAGGATAACATACAGGATAGCATAAAAATTTAATATTACATTTTAATTTTTAGTTAAATTTTAACATTAATGTTAAGTTTTTAATTGATTTAATGTGTCTTTCAGTCAAACTTAAGAAAATAACAACAGCTAAAAGCTTGTAGTAGGTTGTAGGTTGACTTACTACACAAGAAAGTCCTAGACTACAGTAGTAAATCACAAAATGTAAAAAATATCATTGAAATTATCATCATGAAACATCATCACATTAACGGTTGTAGTGGGTTCCCAGAGGAATGGTTAACTTACTACAGGTCAAATACAAAATTACAGTCAGATATGAACAGAGTAAAACATTTTTAAAAAATTAAAAAAGACTAAAAATTAATCAAATTATGTTTTAACAAATTAAATGTTTTATGTAATATTTGATCTATAGCAAGGCATCCACCCCCCTAGGAATGTGCTACAACCAAGGCTTTAGGCCTTTTGTGTAATATTTCACTTGTAGTAAAGCATATCTCCCACTTTTGTTTTCAGTACCCACAGCAAGCAGAGTCAGCACACACTTTGTGGGCCACTATATAGAAACATGTCCAAAAAATTGTGGGATTAGTGGTGGCTAACAGTCTGATGCCAGGCATGGCTATTGGCTAAATGCAGAACCATACAGGACATGCTTATCTGTAGCTTCATGGAAGTGTATTTAGCCAAGACCTAAAAAAAATGAGTTGTATTTCCATGCTCCAGGGCAGACCAAGAAAGTATCATGTGCAGAAAACCCATGCCGGAGCCCATTTGTGTGGTGGAAAATGTAAACGGGTCACTGCGTGTGAATGATGGTGCCATTGAGTACCTTTATGGGATTGACCAGCCGGTGGTGGTGGTGTCTGTGGTGGGGCTCTACCGCACAGGGAAGTCTTACCTCATGAACCGCCTGGCAGGAAAACAAACTGGTAAGACATTTTTCTTGCTTTTTAGTGGCTGTATTTAAGCTATTTGACGTGATTTGGCCAACTGCTGCTTTGTATAGTTTCTACAGTGGAGGACAGGACAGGCAATAAGGTCACACAGCTTTTGAGATTTTACACTAAAATATAGTTGGGACGCTGTGAAAAATGTAAATAAAAACAAAATGCAATGATGTGCAAATGATTTAAACCCTATATTTAAATGGAAATGCTTCAAAGACAACATACCAAATGTTGAAATTGAGAAATTTTATTGTTTTTTTTTTAAATATATGCCCATTTTGAATTTGATGGCAACAACATGTTCCAAAAAAAGTGGTGTATTGCTTAAAAAAAACACCTGGTGGTTAACTGGCAACAGGTCAATAACATGATTGGGTATAAAATGAGCATCCCAGAGAGGCTGAGTCTTTCAGAAGTAAAGATGAGCAGGGGTTCACCACTCTGTGAAAGACTGCACGATCAAAAAATGCAACAATTCAAGAATAACATTTCTCAACTTAAAATAGCAAAGAACTTTTGTTTTTCCTCATCTACAGTACATACATCATCTAAACCGCTTATCCTACTGGGTCGCGGTGGGGTGCTGGAGCCTATCCCAGCTGTCATTGGGCGGAAGGCAGGATACACCCTGGACAGGTCGCCAGTCCATCGCAGGGCAGACAAACAGACATACACAGTCACACTAGGGGCAATTTAGCATGTCCAATTGGCCTGACTGCATGTTTTTGGACTGTGGGAGGAAACCGGAGAACCCGGAGGAAACCCACGCAGACATGGGGAGAACAGGCAAACTCCACACAGAAATGACCCTGGTCGCCCGGCCGGGAATCGAACCCAGGCCATTCTTGCTGTGAGGCGACAGCGCTACCCACTGCGCCACCGTGCCGCCCTCATCTACAGTACATAATAACATTAAAAGATTGAGAGAATCTGGAGATAACTCTGTACAAGGCCAAAAACCAGTATTTGCTGGACATGATGTTTGGGCCTTCAGACGGCACTGCAATAATAACAGACATGATTCTGTAGTGGAAATCACTGCATGGGCTCAGAAAAACTTCTGAAAACCACTGTCTGTGAAAACAGTTCCACGCTGCACCCATTGGAAATTTAAACTCTTAAATGCAAAAAAGAAAGCATATATAAAGAGGATCCTGAAACACTCCCACATACTCTGGGTCCAGGTTCATTTAAAATGGACTGAGGGGAAGTGGAAAAGTGTCCTATGGTCTGACAAATCAACATTTGAAATTCTGTGTCCTCCAGGCTAAAGACCACTCAGCTTGTTATCAGTGCACAATTTGAAAGCCAGCATTCATGATGGTATAGAGGTGCATTAGTGCACATGGCGTGGGTGACGTGCACATCTGTGAAGGCACTATTAATGCTGAACGATATATACATGTTTTGGCAACATATGCTGCCATCTAGACAATGACTTTCTCAGGGAAGGCCTTGTTTATAAAAGCAAGACAATGTCAAACCACATCCTGCATGTATTACAACAGCATGGCTCCATATTAAAAGAGTCTGGGCACTAAACTGGCCTGCCTACAGTCCAGACCTGTCACAACTGATAACATTTGGCACATTATGAAATGAAAAATACAACAAAGGAGACCTTGAACCGATGAACAGCTGAAATCCTATGTTAAGCAAAAATGGGAAAACATTTCACTTTCAAAACTGCGGCAATTGGTCTCCTCAGTTCCCAAGTGCTTACAGAGTGTTGTTAAAAGAAGAGGTGATGAAACACAGTGGTAAACAGGCCCTCGTCCCAACTTTTTTGGAACATGTTGTTGGCATCAAATTCAAAATGGGCATAAATTTTTCAAAAAACAATAAAATTTCTGTTTCAACATATGATATGTTGTCTTTGTACTATTTTCAATGACATATAAGGTTTAAATGATTTGAACATCATTGAATTTTGTTTTTTGTTGTTTTTTTGCACAGTGTTCCAACTTTTTTGGAAATGGGGTTGTTCATTCATCCTTCACGAATGTACTACTGACTGTCTAATAAAGAACAATGTTGGTCATTTTGATTTGAGATTGTTGTTCTGTTGTGTTTCCTCTGTTGGATTTAAGTTGCGTGCGACTATATTGGAAGCACTGATGTCAACTGTTCCCTAGACTAAGCAGAATTAGGGCATATTTTTCATCAGTGTCTTTTTTCCACAGCCCTGCCCAACACAGGTGAACACTACTTAACTGTATTAAGTCAAGATCTTGTTTCATAATTTGTTGGCTAGTTTAACTATGTCCACTCAAGGGTGTAGCCAGAACTTTTTAACAGGGTGGCCAGGTTAGACAGGTTAAACCAGGTTAGTGATTTTATTGGTGTGGCAAACTATAAGGAAAAAAAACAATCTTTAAGAGTAGTTAATAATGTTTGTCTGTATGTATATTGCAATAAGTTTACTGTACATAATTCTATATATATAATTTCCACAAGAACAAAATTTATGTACAATTATTTCCAAAATAAGTAAACCCAAAAGACATAACAATGTATTGTATTCATATGGAAATGGATGTAAATAATAATAAAAAAGTAATTTATTGTTAACTGGTAACCAAATTTTTAAATAGTGTTCACTCTAGAAAAACTAGAAGATCCATTTCGTTATGTGAAAAATATAGGTTTTTTCTTTGTATCCTGTCTTACACTGTTAAAATCTTACACTAATACGATCCACATTCAGCATGGCATGTAACAACAAAAAACAGTGCATATAAAGATTTATTTATGCATTAACCAATTTTCCTAATGTATAAAGTGTTTGTTGCTTCATTAGGCAAAAATGAATAAAAACGTTGTTCACTCCCATGCTTGCTCAGCAAAGTATGCTATCACAGGAACATATGCTGATTATTGAGTGCAACATCATTAGACTTTTAAAACTGATTGGTAGCTGACCTAATGGCAGATTTTCACCGTAAAGCCTAACCACTCACACAGGCTAGATAGCTTAGTTTTTCTCTGGTGACTGCTTCATTTATGAAACAAGGTTTGACAATATGCATCTTAATATTCTTTTACTTTCAGCACAATTCTTTATATCCCTAATAGAGATGATCACGACCATAAGGGACTCTAGGGGGACTCTACTTCAACTTTTGAGTAACATGAGTGAGCATATTTAAGGTATTAGAATGTTGGCACTCTGTCACTGTTGACTGGAATAAGCTGACCTTGGATGGTTGATTAGCCAAGCTGTTTGAAATGGCTTGGTTTCTCAGTTGAGTACAATAATGATGGGCAAAGAGTCAACAGTCAACAGTGACAGAGTGCCAACATTCTAATACCTTAAATATGCTCACTCATGTTACTCAAAAGTGTCAGTTGCCAGAATGAGGAGAAAATGCAAATAAAGCCAATTTTCCATTCCATTCCTTTCCATATTACTGCTGCTCCTTTTGAAGTTGAACTGAAAAATGCAGCCTATTTCCTACTTGCATTTGCCACTAACACTGAACACAAGGGTTACTGCAGTCACTCCCGTAAGCTGATAGCTCACACAGACTCGATGTCTGAAAAAAAAAGCTTTCAGCCATAGGGTTTTTACACCTACACGGTGTTGATCAGGCATTTTAAATATAGTTCAACACCATTTGCACTTTTGTTTTTTGTTTTTTTTTTCAAATGTAACTTTGTTAATGATCATCAAGTCATCTATAGAGATTTTTCAATTTTGCAGTTGAGTTTACAGCTTCTTTAAATGGCAGCATGTCCTTAGAGATAGGACAAAAATGTTCATTTAACCAGTCAGTATTTGCAGCTGCATTTCCTGTGTGAGTAAACAATGTACAAATGGCTTCCAAATTTAATAAGTCAGTGTTTGATTGAAAGGTGTACTTTATTGAAAGTGAAAATGCAAAACCATATCAGTTTACAGTAAATACAGTATTTAATGTACATCATACTTGTTAAAACACTGGAAATGAACTGTCAAAGAGATTTTCCTTTCAAATTCGGCTGCAAATTGTACATTGTACCACTTTTTGTTAGCTGTTTTAACACATGTTATATTACTTATCTATTCCAGTTTTTCTCTTTACTGTGCTATGGAGCTTTTTGTGCATGTAAACAGTCTGCAAAGTTACAAAGCTCAAAGTACGCCAGAGGGAGTAACTCTCTTCCATAGAAGCCACTTTTCTCAGCTGCCTGAAACGAGTTTGTTGGAATTCCAGCCCTTTTTCTTTGTTACAACATTACGCTCTTATATCTCATTATATCTCTTAAGATAATCCTTATTGCCTGCCTACTGGCAAGCTTGGCACGCCCTCACACAACATTCAGCTATTGGAGGCCGGGAGGAGTTTAGTTCAGTTTTGTAGCCATGTTGAGAAGACACTTACCTGAAAGCATTAAACTCTGGCTCAAACTGATATGGCCAAACTGACACCATTGGTAAAATAGCAGCTGTTCAGGAGGGAGTCTGTCTGCACACTGCAAGACAGGGGCAAAATGAGTAGGGACAGCGTGGCTCTGGTGATTGACCAGTCAAAGCACACTGGGCTCATCAGGAGGGGGTGCTTAAAGACACAGGAACTCTAACAAAGTGTTTCACAGCATGAACAGAAATGTACGGTCTGAGATAATTAATGTGTTTTTGTAACATTAGGGCATGTAAATCTATTCAGATAGACCCCAAAAAATTAAATAATCTGTCCCCTTTAACACACACACACACACACACACTTTCTAAGCCGCTTTTCTTCCTGGGTTGCGGGGTGGTGTTGGAGCTTATCCCAGTGCTCATTGGGCAGAAAGCAGAAAACACTCTGGACAAGGTCGCCTGTCCATCACAGGGCCCCCTTTTAACACAGTTTGTTAATGATGAGTTGTTTTTAAGACATCTCAAGAGAAATATGACTATCAGCCTGCTAAATCTCTGCGAGATACTGATAGAGAAAGAGAAAACCAACATTTGCAGCAAAAAGGTAGCTTGTAGTGAAGTGCACACTGAATCTCGTTGTACTTGTACAATGACAATAGAAGTATTCGTAATTCATAACTGACCAAGTTACTTCTGTTTGTTCCCCAAATAATGATAATAATTCCTGCGGACCTTTTCAGGCTTCGCTCTAGGCAGCACCATTGAGTCGAAGACTAAAGGTATCTGGATGTGGTGTGTGCCACACCCTACTAAAGCAGAACACACACTGCTACTACTGGACACTGAGGGACTGGGGGATGTGGACAAGGTAAGGACACCAACTGTGGAGGAAAAAAATCCAAGCAATTTCAGCTTGTAATAAGGCAACCAAAACCACATCCACAATTTTTAAAGTAAGAAAAGTAAGTAAAACTGAAATTGCATTGTTTACCTAACTGAGATGCACTACAATAAAAGGTGAGTTAGGAGGACTTTCAACTAACCCAGAGGTTCTTAACCTCTTTCACAGTGTGACCTTTTTTGGGGGCTAAAATATTTAATAACTCGCTCTTTTATGTGAATCTAGATGCAAGTTTTTGGTGTTTTTTGGCACCTGTAGCAATGGCCCTTTCTTCTAATGTAAAATGTTGAACTGTTTTAGGGAGACTCTAAGAATGATGCCTGGATCTTCTGCCTGGCTGTTCTGCTCAGCAGCACTCTGGTCTACAACAGCCGTGGCACCATTGACAACACAGCACTGGAAAAGCTGCAGTATCCTTCATCCTAAAAAAATACATTCATACAGTCTATGCAAAAAGGGTTCTATAGTTCTGCCACTTTTTGGCTCTATTTGGAAGTATTTTGAAGCATTCTTTAAAGAACTAAATACAGCATGTTCTCCATATGGAGATACATAATAATAATAACAGTAATAATAATGCAACAATATAATAACTCAAGTGGTTCTTTGAGAAGTCATTGTTCTATGACCATTTCTAAAGAACCCTGAAAACCACCTCTTGGTTTCAGAAAATTGTCTCACACAAGCCTTTCTAACACTCGTTTGCAAAAGTATACACACAGTCTGCTTTTCTAAGCACAAACACACACAAGAACATTTCTCATGCAGTTGAATCCTTAGCAGGCTGCAGTTATGTCACTGAGCTCGCAGAGCACATTAGGATCAAATCACCTTCACCAGCAGGAGATGAAGATGAGGATGAGCAGGACGACTCTAAGTTTGTGCAGTTTTTCCCAAATTTCATCTGGACGGTGCGAGATTTTGTTCTAGAGCTAGTGATCAAGACAAAGGGTCAGGTCACTGAGGACGAGTACCTGGATTTTGCCCTTCAGCTAAAGAAAGGTGATAATAATGTTTCTTGTTGAGATTCTCATGATAGCAGTCTGGCTTTTGTTTGATGAAGTAATGTTGTGAGATGACCACTTTCGGGTTGTTCTGTCTGGCAAATTTAGTTGCCTCGAGGCTGACTGAACCTTTACTGCTCTACCCTTAAAAGGAATAAATCAAAAGTGTACCATTAAAGTTTTTTGAGACTTCTAACATTAAAATTGATCTCTGTAACTACTGATTAATGTCTAAAATAGGGTTTAATTAGAACAACCTAGAACACTGTAAAGGCTTAAAAAACATGTAATCCTTGCATGAAACTGCATGAAAAACAAAAATCCTGTTCCTGTTGCATGCATACACTTTTTTTCATTTTTATTTTTTTAAAGTAAAGAAGTAAGTGCTTTTCATTTTAGACTATTTATTAATGTATTATTTATATTTTAATTAGTGAATTTCTTAATTCATTTTGAAATATGCGCAAGGTTTTCTTTGTCTTTATTTTTGAAGTGGGAAACTTAACCAGCATTACAACAGCCATGCCACACAGCCATGTTGATCTTACTTGCTTTTGGAACATGTGCAAAGAAAATTGCTTGATGGTTTGAAAAAGCTTACAGTTGTATGCAGAACTTTTGTATGTTGCAATTGATATTTTACTATTTTCAAATTATTTAAATAGGAAGTAACTGTGCATTAACATTTGCAGAAAATATTTTTTAAATAGTTACCTGCAGATGTTATGTTCCTTAAACTGGACTTAAAATTTTACCTGCAATTGGAATAAAATCTGTGGAATAAAAACTAATGAATAGTGTGTAAGGTTAACTTTCAAATGTAAGAAAAAAACTTTTTGTCTTTCTTTTAGGCTGTAGTAAGGCAATAAACAATTACAATCTTCCACGGCAGTGTATTCGGAGCTATTTCCCTACCAGAAAGTGCTTTGTGTTCCCGTTGCCGGCCTCCCAAGAGAACATGGCCCACCTTGAGAGCCTGGACGAGCATGATATTTGGCCAGACTTCCTGAAGGTCACACAGAGTTTCTGTAACTATGTCTTTAAAGAGAGCAATGTGAAAACACTTAAAGGAGGACACAAAGTCACTGGGAGGAGTAAGTGCTTTAGCACAATTCACTTTTAATCTAATTCTTTATTCACACACTTTTGCTTATTCATCTAATTAGTTAGTGACTGCATCTGCATACCTACATAACAATACTGTAACTTGTGTGTGTGTGTGTGTGGTGTGTGTGTGTGTGTGTATTATCAGTGTTTGGTCATCTGGTGAGGTTGTACGTGGATACAATCTGTAGCGGCAAAGTGCCCTGTCTGGAGAATGCTGTGGTCACCATGGCACAGATAGAGAACCAGGCCGCTGTACAGGAAGGGCTTAAGGTGTACCAGAGTGGAATGGAACAGGTTAGACATACATGCACACACACTTTTAAATAAAGACTAAGCATTAACAAAAACGTAAGTGTAACTAAATCTTATATTCTGTCTAAATTCTATCCATGGGGATAGATTGAAGATGTAGTCTTCAGAAAAAAAGCAGCCGCTTTACAAAATATTTTCAGTATGTTCACAGGAACTTGTCTGGAATTCCAATTAAGTAAATAAATAAATTATAAAAAATATTATCATAATGCAGCATAACAATGCATTCAAAATCTAAGAATGTCTATTTTTGGGCTATTCAAGTATACAAACCTCAATTCCAAAAAAGCTGGGACATTATGTGAAATGCAAATAAACACATAAAAACAGTGATTTATTAATCTACTTTGACTTGTATTTAAAAAAAAAAACAGTACAAAGACAAGAAATGTAAAGTTTTACCTATGTTTTTTGGTAAACATATGGTTATTTTGAAATTTATGCCTGCAACATGTTCCAAAAAATTTGGGGAGCAATTTAAGACTAGGAACATTTGTGAAAAGTTCAAAAAACAGATTAAACTGGTAATGCAATCATGTTTAAATACAAAATGATCATCTGGGAAAGTCCTAGGCCCTTATGAGCAAGAAAGGGTCAAGGCTCGCGACTTTGTCAAAAATGCATCAGCAAAAAATCCAACACAATAACATTTCTTAGTGAGCGACTGATTTTAGGTATTTCACCCTCTACAGAGCATATCATAAAAACAATTCAGAGAATCGGGATAAATCTCAGTGTGTCAAGGCCAAAAACACAACTGACAGCCCATGACCATTCTGACAGTACTGCAGAATGCTTATGTGATGTATATCATCACATGGGCTTGAGAAAACATTGACAAACTGTTGTCAATGAACACTGTATGTTGATGCATCCACAAATGGAAGACTGTAATATGTGCAATGGAAGCCAAATGTCAACAGCATCCAGAAATGCTACTGACTTATCTGGGCTTATCTGAAATGGACTGACACAGTGGAAATTTGAAATTTGTGGTCTGATGAGTCAACCTTTCAGATTGTTTGTGGAAATAATGGACATTGTGTTCTCTGGGCCAAATAAGAAAAGGACCAGCCAGATTGTTACCAGCATGAAATTCAAAAGCCACTGTGTGTCATGGTATTGGGGGTTTTAGTGGGTAACTTGCACATCTGTGAAGGTACCATTAAGGCTAAACACATTTTGGAGCAACATAAGCTGCCTTTAAGATGACATCTTTTTCAGAGATGCCCATGCTTATTTCAGTATGACACCATCAAGCCACATTCTGCAGGTATTACAACAGCTTGGCTGCATAATCAGAGAGTGTGAGTGCTAGTATGGCCTACCTGCAGTCCAGAACTGTTTCCTACTGAAAACATGTGCAAAATACAACAATTGAAGGACCCATACTGTTGTACAGCTTAAGACTTAAATAACAAAAGAATGGAAAAAAACTCAGCTTTCAAACTGGATTGGGTTGTGTCTTCAGTTCCCAATCATTAAATGTTGTTAAAAGGAAAGGTGATGTAACACAGTGGTAAACATGCTTTTGTCCCAACTTTTTTGGAACATTTTGCTTGCATCACATTTCTAATGGGCATATATATTTACAAAAAATAATGAACTTAATAAGGTAAAACATAAAATATTGTGCTTTTGTACCATTTTCAATGTAATACAGTTCAGCAGAATTTACTAATTACTGCTTTCTGTTTCTATTAGCATTTCACACACTGTCTCAACTTTTGGGAACTGGGTTTGTACATTGGGATATAAAATTGGGTATTATATCATGTATTACTACTGACCTGAAAGTAAATTGACCAAAATGTAGCTGCATGATCCTAGATGCAGGCTTGATAATGTTAGCAATGTCACAAGTTTCATCTGGAGCAGCACAAAAAATAAGATGAGAATGTTGGCATGCTGGCAGACTGTGAGAATCTCTGATGTATCCATTTTACCACTTTCAATAGCTAACATAAAGGTGTTATGATCTATTACAGTAATTATTTCAGCAAAGTCACTAATCTACACCTAAAGTATATCATTAAGAAAATAAGTTTTCTTCAGGAATTCAATTCCTTTGCAGGTGAAAAGTTTGTTTCCAGTCAGTATTGATGAGATTTCTGCTGAACACCAGAGGTGCAGCAACTTGGCCACCACTGAATTCATGAAGCGCTCTTTTAAAGATGAAACAAAAGAATACCTTAATTCACTTTCAGTGAGTTACACATTCACACACACATACATACACACATATATTGATCACTCCACCGAACTGGTTCAAAGGCCAAAACACATTTCAAACTTTTGAGTTGGATTTGGGGTAAAATTATTTGTCTTTGAGTGACTCTATACCTTGATTCTGTTTATTTTATTAAAACAAGTGATTGAACATTCCATTTTGTCACTACCAATACAATATTTGAATAGTGACTGTTTTGGTTTACTTAATTGCAGAAAATATGTTTCAGTAGTGAATTCTTAATGTTACACACTGACTTTCAGACACATTCACTTCAAAACAATGGGATCTATCTGCTCACCATGATGGACAGGGTTACAGTCTCACTTCCTACTCTAAAATGCAAGGGTGTAGCTCAAGGCTTTGCTTTTAGACCAAAACAATTTGTATTTCTGTAGTGACATGAAACTGTCCTATGATGAATATGATGAAACATTTCCATCCTGATGGAAGTAGTCTCTTAGGATGACAATGGCCCCATCCACAGAGCAGGAAGGTCACAGAATGGTTTGATGAATATGAAACTGTCATAAATCTTATTCTTTGGCCTTCATTTAATTCCTCCAGTACAGTTTCAGAGACTCTTTATGCTGTTTTATTCTCTAATTTGTCACTTTTCTGTATATACAGATTGCTCATGTTAGTGGACATTTTTGAGTATGTCTTTTCATGTATTTTCAGGAAGAAGTAGACAAACATTATTTTGAACTTCTTGATCAGAACATGACTGTGTCAGAGAGAAAGTGCTGGGAGCTGTTGTCTGATCTGTATAAGGACATGAGTGAGCACTTGCAGCAGGGAAAATACACAAAACCTGGAGGATATGAACTCTTCTGTACACACAGAGACAACATAATCACCCAGTACCACAGACAGCCCAACAAAGGAGTCAAGGTAAAAAATCATCTATAAGAAAATGGTAACTTGTCTTCCACTGTTCTAACAACAGACAACAGTAGTAGGGAAAAGAAGTCAGAATCAAAATAGGGAGGATCCTGCTGTACAAACCTTCCTCACTGTATATCTCAGTATGTGTGCGATTTCTTTGTGTAGGCTGAGGATGTGTTAGAGATGTTTCTGAGTGAAAGAAGTGTGGAAGCAAACTCCATTCTCCAGGCTGACAAAAGACTATCTGAAAATGAGAAAAAGATTCAAGGTAAGATACTACAATGAAATTACTAGGCCCAATAATAGTAATACAGTTATTAAAGTATTACAGTTATTATTATTATTATTTTCTTTTCCATAAATGAGATCTTTGTTGTTCTGGTACATGCTGTACATACATGAATGAATAAATAGAGGTCGCTTTTCCCGCAGTTTGATTGAAACACAGAAGTCACATAGAGTGAAGAGCAGAGTTCTTTGATGATTGATTTACACTGAGATAAATAACCAATATAAAATAATTAGTTAATCAATAAAGACAGACATATATGTAAACAAGAAATCAAATTTGCCTGTCTAAATGAAGCTATAGTGCAAGGGAAAGTCTTTAGGATTAAGTCAAAAGAGAAACGCCGATATTTATAATTTTCTATTTATTTTTGGTGTGGTCATACAATATCCTCAAGCAGTGGTGAACTATGACTATCTAGGTGCTCAGCTCCAGCCATAAATGTGAAAACCATTAGGAAGAAAACACCTTGATAAAGATGATATAGTTAACTTATGTAGTTAGTACTAAGATAACTTCTCATACACTTCCAGAACATGCTAAAGTTAGCTTCTTGGAATGCCTTTTAGAAGCCCTAAATGTGTTTACTCTTAAACGGTGCACAAGTTACATTATGATGCCTTAGTGCGCCAGATGCAACTGCTGCCTCATTTAAGATTGAAATGAGAAATTTGAAAAAGGCAGTTCTAGATTAAATATAGCCATTTGGAGCTTCTAAAAGGCATTTCATGTTTTACTTGAAGCTTGTGACAGACATATTAGCATATAGTTTACCTTGTAGCAGTTTCACAGTGACTTTAGTAGTGAGCTCTTTTATAGAGCTGCCACATCTGTTTTCCGTTCTAACAAGCCATTCATTAAGCTGCTGCCTGTATTCACAGTCAGTGATGTTTTCAGAAGGTCTAGAGTGACCTTTTTTTCTCACACAATTGATTCAAGCCATTGGAAATCAAAATGTGATTGGTTGATTCCTCTGTCACTGCATAATTATGCTGATAGTTAATCTAATGGCAGTCTAGACAAGGCAATCTGCTGGGACTTCAGTTTAGCTCTAGACACCGTAACCAATAGGAGCGCTTGCTTAGCTGTATTAATCTAGATAACATGGAAAAAAACAATTCCTGATTGGGCTGTTTTTTGCTCTGCATTACAAAACATTAACCTGTTTGGTTTCCATCTGAAACTTAACAATGAAACAAGAGTAGTACTGTAATACTTGCAGAGTTTAAATGCAAGTGAGATTCTTTTGAATATAAATTAACTAAAAATTGCAGACATGCATTTTCTTAGTTCCAAGTAATTGCCTCACAGTAAAGGCCCCAAATATGTTTACACTTGCCTTATACATTTTCTTTACTTAAAAGATCAATTTTGATTTCACTGATTCAGTACATGTGTAGGGCACTGGTTGACATAGAATATTCTATCTTTCACATCCTCAATCCCTCTGTCTCTCCCTCTACATCTAAAAACAGAAGAGAGAGAAAAAGCAGCTCTGATAGACCAGCAGAAAAAGGCAGCAGAGGAGAAACAGATGGAGATGGAGCGAATGATGGAGGTGGAGAAGGAGAGTCAACAGGAGCGGCTGCTGCAGATGGAGAGGAAGTTTGAGGAGGAGAAGCATTTGCAGCGGGAGGAGCTGAACAAAGCTGTGGAGAGCAAACTGGCCGAACAGAAAGACCTCTTGGAGAAAGGCTTCAAGGAGAAGGCTGAGCTTATGGACCAAGAGATAGAGCATCTTAAAAACGAGAAAGAAGAAAATTCTCGTAGCTTTTTTAAAGAGGTTTTAATGCCTCTTGTGGGGGTCGGCAAAGATTTGTTTTCCACTGTTCTCCAGTATAAGCTTGTGAGGACAAAACTGAAAGGCTTGAAAAATAATTCAACTAGTAAAATTTAGTTAAGCATCCTGGAGAAATGAGAATGAGAACAAGAAGAGAATAAATTGTGCAGACAATATGACTGACTCCAGTCTTAGAGGGCCACATCACTGCAGAGTTTAGCTTTATATGTCATGCTGTGTCATTTACCACACCTGCTTCAACCATGGAGGAAGTGAAGGAAGAGTAGCAGTAGCTTGAGTGCTTGTATATTTAAATATACCCCTGGAGGTATGTGTCTTGGAAGCCTCCATCTTTGCCTTATGGACACTAGAATTTGAACCAAAACAGCCAGGCTTCCCTCGTAAATAATGAGCTTAGGGAATAGCCTCTGAAATAAGCGATGAATGCATGAAAACAGGAATACCATATTTGAAATAAGGTGGAGTCGTCAGAGTGAGAGTGTCGACTCTCTTCAGCTGTCATAGACATTGGTAAAAAGTCAAGCCTGTCTCCTGAACGTGTCACAGTGAGAGAACATGTTAATGCTGACTGACTCACAGCACTATATGCAACTCAGTGGTCATGTCAACCAAAATTGAGCACATGTGACATGCTGGTTAGCAATAATATAAAGGCCAAGAGACAAGGTAAAAATATTTTTTTTTGATATTTTAAATCCCCACCAAAACAAATAATCGCTGGAGAAGGAAATGGTGTAATAGTACAAAGAAACAGAAACTGAGACCAAGTTTATTTAGTCAGAAACAGCAGGTACAATTTTTCTGTTGACCTCTATGAATTCAAAGGATTAGAAGAGGGAACAATGCAAATCTCTGCAGATCTGCGGCCTTCAAGGGCTTGAGTCTGAATCCAGTGGTTCAAAGGCAGACTATCCTAGTCACACACATGTAAAAAGTTTTATAAAGCTGCAGTGCTGTTTCAGTTGCAATTTCAAAGGATGCCAATTCTACTTAGAATGTCAAATCAATTTCTCATTCCATACTTTGTTAAGTATTAATCTTTTATTCCATTACTCTCTACAACTGCCATTTTGAGAATGAAGAACTTGTTCAGTAGCCTTATGCAAAAGAAACATACTATTTATTCAGTGTGATTTTGTAAATCCTTTTTGGACAGATTAGATATCCATTCACACACACTTATACATACACAGACGTGTTTCCTGAAGTGCAACAATTGCGTACAGTTAATTTAATTTCTTGTGATTCTGAGTGGACAGAATTATAAAATAAAACGAAAGACAATTACATTTTTTTTCGTGTATCCATTTAACTATTTGTGTGTTCAGAAACTTGGCTTAGGTTGGGAGATGTTTTCAACATGTGGTCACTTTTGATTGGTCAGAATGGGCAAGCTCTTCGTTTTAAACAATAGTAGTTGGGTCATGGAAGGGAGGAAGGAACTCTGAGTTTGTCAGAGTTCCAGGGACAGAGCGTGGAACAAGCCCTTAGAGAAGGGGATTCTGTGGAGAGACTGTCTCTCTATCTCTCCCTCTCTCTCTGTCTACCAGGTCATATTCAGGTGGTTATCTCAGGTAGTATTCAATGTGGTATTTGTCTTATTTACAATTTTTTTTGTATAGCCTTATCATATTATTAATTCAATTGCAACATATAACTAAGTTAATTATGTACTATGTATCTATCCTTCTATCACTCTCCATCTATCTATCTATCTATAACTCGATTTATCTATCTACAACTCCACACATCTATGTATCCATCTATCTATCTATCTATCTATCTATCGATCTATCTATCTATCTATCTATCTATCTACTCCACTTATCTATAACTCGACCTATCTATCCATGTGTCTATCTGTAACTATCTATCTATTGCTTTGCAAACACTTATATGTCCTTCAGGAAATGCATATCTAGTTTACTTTAAGCTGTAAACATTAACAGTAAAGACAAGACTTTTTTGCCTGTATCCAATGAAAAATATTAGTATCTTTTTACTAATTTGTATCAAATATAAAAATTAAGCGCCCCAACAGATACAGACACAAAAACACCTCACGTATGCCCCAGTTAATCTCTGTAATTCATCTGGCAAGTAAATATAGCGCACGGTGTCCGTGCCTCGTACTGGTTTGTCCTTACAAGGTACTGAATCCATCCATGACCCCTGCGGTCACTAAAAGTGAAACTGAAAGAGAACGAGAGAAAGCGAAATAGGCAAACGTATGTCCTAAGAAGTTAAAGAAGATAAGATAAAAACACGTCTGAACTAATAAACACATAAACTGTGTTTGTCTTTCTAGCTATGTCTAGCTAACTGTTCAAGTATCAGAGACTGTGCTGTATTATCACTGGGCTGCAAATTCCTGCAGCATACACGACCTTGCAGCGTCGCTAGGCTGCCTGGTCCTGTGCGTGATTTCTCGGAAAGCCCTTCTTTTCCTGAATGATGTGCCGACTGCATCGGTTTTGGGCGGGTCCTAAGCTCTGAAAAGGACATGCTCTCCCTCTGCGCCAGAAACAGAATAACCGCAGCACTAACAACGAGCAGCAACCTGCTTTCCTTTTGCACACTCGCTCTGGTCCGTGCTACAACACCACTTTTCAGTACACAGCTCCTCTTCTTACAGCAGCGGCGAAAGCACGGTAAGATGTTCTGTTCATTTCATAGTTCATGTACACAAATAGCAGCTTGACACATTTATGCCTTAGGACATAAAACTGTACAGTCTACAGTAAGGAAATTGGAAACCAGTTGTTCTGAATACGATTTTTTATTCCAACTTCTTGTAATTTTCATGTCAGTCATTTTTTTCACTGTATATTGTAGTCCTTGGTCTCAAATTGTTTGTATTTTGGTAAATTTGACATATTTTACTTTAAAAATGTATTTAATTTTAATCATTTTTAAACCTCCCACTGTAGTTACCCATGCCGTCTTTGCCTTCGCATGTATGGTGTGTGCTACAGAAGCTAATTTTATGGGCTTGTGACTTTTCTCATGAACTACATCCCATGTACATTTTTTGTAAGCAAGAAAAGCAATGAACATTTGAATTGTGTAAAAAGCATTCGTATTAACCTGAGCAAATGTGAAATGCAACTGACATGATGGTTAAGAAATGTACCTTATCGCATACTACCACCTTTGTATGGAGTGCAGATGCACAGATGATGCCTTTGTTAAGGCCTATAGTATTGAAGCACTTCCGTAAACTAGGTGTTAACAAAGCACTGCATTTGGATTTAAGTAGCTAAGTAGTAAGATATTTTCTGTAACCAATTTTTAACAATTAATGTTTCTGATATCATTTTTTCCAACTCAGGAACATAATGTACTATAAGGATGTGTATTGGAAAATGCATTATACTTTAACATTATAGGTTCAGTGCAAAAATATTCAACATGATACTGGAGCAGTACTTATAGTTCTCTGATGTTCTTACAGGTGTCTAGAGGACTGGCAAGGCTTTTTTGAACATCACCTTAAAAGGGTATTACCACTTTGAACAAGTGGTTCCATTTTTTTTGTTGGACTTGCAGTTAAAACAAGAAAAGGTAAAAATAAAATATTAAGAATATAAAAATATATATATATAGTATCACATAGTATTGTTTTATACTGAAAACTACAAATAACATTAGCAGCACTGTGCACTCTATTTTTCCATAAAGATTAAGTTTAATTGTCTAACACTGGTTAGCATTACTGCTACTGAGTGCTGATTGGTTATGACATACGAAAACCATATCAAATGTGCATTCATATTAAAGGTGGTACTATGTGTCCATGACAGATTCAAATGGTTCAAATATGAGAGTGTTTACGTTTTATTATGTTTTTAATGTAATTTAGTATATACATACATCTTCTAAACCGCTTATCCTTCTGGGTCGCAGTGGGGTGCTGCGAGCCTATCCCAGCTGTCATTGGGCGGAAGGCAGGATACACCCTGGACAGGTCGCCACTCCATCGCAGGGCAGACAGACAGACATACACAGTCACACACTCACACCTAGGGGCAATTTAGCATGTCCAATCAGCCTGACTGCATGTTTTTGGACTGTGGGAGGAAACCGGAGTACCCGGAGGAAACCCACGCAGACATGGGGAGAACAGGCAAACTCCACACAGAAATGACCCTGGTCGCCCGGCTGAGAATCGAACCCAGGCCATTTTTGCTGTGAGGCAGCTACCCACTGCCCCACCGTGCCGCCCTAATTTAGTACAGATACCGTTTAATAATACTACATACTCCCTCATAAGCTGGTACAGGCTCTCAAAACATTCTAATTCTTTTTAATAATGGTAATATTTTCTAAAAAGGACATTTAGACTATGAAACTATCCTACCTGTAGTTTTAATGAGGCTGAAGTCAGGTTTCTATTCAAAGCTGAGAGTCCAAGAGAGCACAACTAGCTTCGCTCTCCCTGGGTGGGTTGGATGGCCCTTCTCTTCCCCCATCACCCAGTGCATGCTAGTCAGCCCAGGCATCTGTCTGATGTAACAGAATTGGCAGTTAGCGTTCTCCTCCAAGGGTGTGTTCAGCTGTCAATTGAAGTTGCGTTAGCAGCAGTTCAAAAAGATATGGTGGCTGGCTTCATTGGACTCAGGAAGGAAGCTGTGCTTGCCTTTGCCCTCCTAGCGCTGGTGGTATTGTGTGATTGGGGCAATATAAATATCCTACCTAGCGTTTATCCTAGTTAGAGCTGTGTTCAAATGGGGTCAGAAATAACAGTCTTCCCGCTTGGCCAGCAAAGTGGTATTTACAACGGGTAAACTCTGGATTCTAGATGATACACGAGTTTACGAGATGTGATGCATAACGCGACCTTTAACCTTTAAGTGAAAAACACTTAACTCGCAGTGAATGTGGAAAAATGTATACCTGATGCACTTCTATTAGATCTATGTGCTTTTTAGCATGACAAAGAAAAAGCAGGACATGTATTCTCCCAGGGATGGGGGGGTAGCTAAGTAGCGCGCTACTTTTTGTAGTTAACTACAATTTTTTGTAGCTAATAGCTGTAGCCGCTACAGTTTTATGAAATGTAGCTAATAGCTGTAGCGCCTAGAAATTTTTTGTGTAGCTATAGCGATAATTTTCGCTACAATTTAGCTACAGGCTTCAGACAATCCGCGCAAAATGTGAACCACAGAACGCGGTCGTTAACTGGGCTGTTGGCAGCTATGCAATCCTGACTGAGCCGCGGACAGTTCGAGTAAACGGGCACGCGCTTGATCATCGCTTACTAGTAGGCTTAGCTCAGGGGTCGCCAACCGAAACATTAAGAAGAGCCATTTTGTCCTTTCAACAAAAATGAAACCGGCTTGGGAGCCAAAACATTTTATGTTCGTTTTACCATCTTGACTAATAATAGAAACAAAAACGCAGACTTACTTTGCTCTGCTTTAACCTTTAGCTCAGCTGTACCCGCTTCTCTCGCATCTCAGGAAACCTTTCCGCGAGTTTCTTGTAAAATGTCTCTTAATGTTTGACTTTGTATGAAGCTGAAGTCGTTTCTCATTCTCCTGCTTCTCGCTCGAATTCTCCCATTCCACCTTAAATGGTGCCTGAGGCGCCAGATTGTACTGCTGCGCCATTTAAGGTGGAACGGGAAAATTCGAACGAGAAGCTGGAAAATGAGAAGCGCCTTCAGCTACGCGAGTTGTTGCAGACTAGAGGAGGAGACATGAGGAAACCTGCTGAGTTCTTATAAATGCAAATAAGTCCATTCATTTTCAAATTATCGACGTTTGTCTTAAGTATCTCTCTTTGCCTTTTCGTTGTCTGCATTACTGTGTGACCAGCGTTAAACGTTGATGAATTAGCAGTTATGCGTTAACTACAGCGTTTAAGACCATTTATTGTGAAAACCGTGTTAGAACTAAATTGGAGCAGTTTTATTTCAACAGTTGACAATGATTTGCACAATATTGTTTGGTTTATATACAGTTATTTATGTTGATTTTTGTTAGGAAAAACCTGGAATGATTGACTTTGCCTTTACTTAGTCTACATTTTTGTTGGATATCATGCCTTTGGTTGTGTAAGTTTGATTGTTGGTTAAACTTAAATTCACTGGTGATCTGTTTGTATATTTGCAGCTTTTCAGGTATATGTTTCTTTCTGGCACATGACTAAATGCAGTGTCTTGTTCAGTTGGGCTTGTTTGGTGTGTGAGGTGGAGATTCACAAACATTCTGACAATTGCGCTTTGAAAGTAGCTAAAAAGTAGTGCACTAATTTTCAAAAAGTAGCTAAAAAGTAGTCACTACTTTTTCTGGAAAAGTAGCTAAATTGTAGCTAGCTACAAATTTTGGGAAAGTAGCTGCAAAGTAGCTGACTACTCATTTTCAGTAGCTATCCCAACCCTGTATTCTCCACATCTCTATGGTTTCGATGGCGTATCTATGAACAAGCACCCAAACAGTGTTTAGTCATATTTACTACTTACCATCTCGTATATACAATCTTCCGATTAGCACCACGGCATTGGTTCTCTTTAAAAGGTAAAAATCTCTGAGCCAGTTTAAGGAGAGCTTGGCTACTTCCTATTTCTCGTGTTAAATCAAAAACATGAGATCAGAACACCAGATGGTGCCTGCAAGCAAGTCTTCAATGAATTGGGGTGAATGGAGCTAAACTGTTAAAAACGAAGAGTTAAATTAGGTTTTTATTTGTCCATGATCTTCCTTTAATTTTAGAGTGCAGAGGTTTTGGGGAGGTTTTGGCTGAGTGAAGCGGTTTGCACTAACTGACGTCATGAACATACATGAGGCATCATTATAAAGTCCTATAATGGAGTTCAGGAATTTTACAGTGGTTTACTGTGAAACGGTAATCACTACTCAACGCATAGGATCACTAGGGCCACCAGACCGCAATTAATGGTGGACCTATAGACTGTATGGGTGGACTTGACTAACCTGGGCCCTGCCTGGATGGGGCACCCTTCAAAAGGCTTGCAATTTTGGTTTCTTATTTTGCTAAATTTGATTTTTTTCTGTTTTATACAAATAACTTTGATGATGAGTTCTGCTTATTTGCCTGCTTCCTGCCCCCATGCATTGTTGAGCATTTTGAGTGAAAATGATAGTAATTTTGTTTAGTTTTTCTCTGTAATTACACTGATTGTCTTTAACAGAGACCTTTTAGTTTAAGTCTTATCTTTTTTCAACCACAGTAAAATTGATGATTCAACACTGCAAAAATGGTCACTTTGCAAGTGAAATTATTTTAAAGCTAGTAAATATTTTATATTTCTCATCTTGCTTATTTTACAATTATTTAACTCAATTTTAGACATTTTTACTTAAGTGATTTTAGTAATCAGATTATCTAACCTCATTGACAGATAATTTTGCTTGTTTTAAGAAACATGCTTGAAACTAGCCAACTTATCTGCCAATATAATGAGAAAATTTAATTTGAAAAAATTACCTCAAGCAAGTAAAAATGCCTGCAAATAAGTGAAATAATCTTAAAATAAGCTTACAACATCAAAATGAGAATTATTAGATATATTGTCTAGATGATTTTAGTTATCAAGAAAAAAAAATGTTTGCAGTAAAAGTGGAGCTTACCTTATTGATTGTTAGCTGTTTTACCCTTAAATGCATACCAAATAACCTCATAAAGAAATACAACATAAACCCTTTTTCTTGATTTTTTGGGATCAGGCCTGGGGCACACAACAGTGCCAAGAGCTCAAAATTTGGTGGAATGCTCCTGAGTTCTACAATTACAGATTGCAGTCCAGTCTACTGTTTCTCTAAATAATTTGTTAATCCTCATTCATCCTGTTCTTCAACACTACTGATGAATGGGGTTAAAGGAGGCTACCAAATTATGCAGAGAAACAAATGGACTACAGTTTGTAATTGTAGCACTATAATAGGTACTTATAAGGTACGTGAAGCTGATAAAATGCACAATTAGTGTAGATAAAAGTAAGGTGTACCTAATATTGTGGCCAGTGAATGCATGTTTATCATTGCACCCCCCCAAATTAGACATCATAAAACAACACATTATATCTAAATAACAATTTATTTAATAATAAAACAGACTAAGTGCAATTATGGCTGTTCAAAATGGTTGTCTAACATATTTACAATAAGTTTTATGCCATTCTCCAGACAGCAGAGCAAGAAAACATCATGTGCAGAGATCCCATGCCAGAGCCCATCTGTATGGTGGAAAATGTAAACGGGTCACTGCATGTAAACACTGGAGCTATTGAGTACCTGTACGGGATTAACCAGCCGGTGGTGGTGGTGTCTGTGGTGGGGCTCTACCGCACGGGGAAATCTTACCTCATGAACCGCCTGGCAGGAAAACAAACTGGTAAGAGCAATCAGGAAGAATTTTTTCATTAAACTCTAAATTAAAAAGATATGTTTTTAAATGTGTGGAATTGAGTTCCACAGTTTACACTGTGACAAGGAAAAAGGTACTGTGCAGGTACATTTTTTGTTTGTTACAGTACAAACAATGTAAATGTATCCTTGAAGGTACAATAGTCATTTTGAGCTCCAACTGTATACCTTCAATAAGTTTTTCCCAGAAAAGAAGGTACATATTTGTACCTTTTCATACCCTGAAGTTTAAAAACAGAACAACAAAATAAAAAGGCTGGACACTTGATAGGGTATAAACAGGTTTGTGTAGCCATCCTGCCTTTCAAACAGACAGGTGTGACAATTACAGTCTGTACTTCAATTCAGTACTGCTGTAATTCAATATTACTAAGTCATAATTGTCTGTGGTTGTTTGAGGTTTTGCCCTGGGCAGCACCATTGAGTCTAAGACTAAGGGCATCTGGATGTGGTGTGTCCCACACCCTTCTAAAGCAGAACACACTTTAGTGCTGCTGGACACTGAGGGACTGGGGGATGTAGATAAGGTAAGAATACAAACTCCATAACAACACTTTAGCCATAACATCTTCCTCCTGAAAACACACACAATATACATTCAAACCTTAAGACAATAAAATTAGGAATATGAAGGGCATTAGTCACTTTATTTTCTTTAAACTGTGCTATTGTCAGTGTCGCAGCGAAACATATCAACAAAAGAGTAACTTTACAGGTAAAACAAATCTTTCTTATCTTCAAAATGGCCTGTAATGAAACAAGATTTTCTTCCATGTGACTCCATTCCTTGTGAAATTTTAACATAGTGTAAAGAACAGCTGGCATTTTCAAATTCAGTAAAATAATTGAAAGGTTTTGTCCCCGACAGCGATGACATAAAGTACTGCCACTTTGCTACATGATGCATATAGAATGTACAACCAATGCTTCACAATGCACTGTAATAATAATAATGAGTTGGCTTCTTCTAGGGAGACTCTAAGAACGATGCCTGGATCTTCTGCTTGGCTGTTCTGTTCAGCAGCACTCTGGTCTACAACAGCCGTGGCACCATCGACAACACAGCACTGGAAAAGCTGCAGTATCCTTCATTCTAGCCCACAGAAAAACAACCCTAACATCCACCCAACACATAACCATAGTAATGACACTGCTACTGTAGCATATTAACAAGACCTTAAATATAACCTAATCTCAACCACTTATCTTAGGGTTGTTAAGAAGTTTCTTTCCAAAAATAGACAGAGGTATACATACACATACTATACACTAAACACAAGCATTCTTCATCTTGACTCACAATTTTCCCTAACACCCAAAGCCAGCCACATATATAAACAACCCATCTGAAACCTAAACCCAAATTGCAAAACTTCATTTTAAGTGGTAACTCCTCAACACGTTGTAGCTATGTCACTGAGCTTGCAGAGCACATTAGGATCAAGTCACCTTCACCAGCAGGAGCTGAAGATGAGGAGGAGCAGGACGACTCTCAGTTTGTGCAGTTTTTCCCAAATTTCATTTGGACGGTGCGAGACTTTGTTCTGGAGCTGGTGATCGAGAAAAGGGGTCAGGTCACTGAGGACGAGTACCTGGATTTTGCCCTTCAGCTAAAGAAAGGTAATAATAAGAAATATATTTTAAAAATCCACAATAGAAGAAGGGCTGCCAGACCAAAGACACCAGGGAAGGGACATCTCTCAGCTTCCTTTGGTAATTTGTGGCATTTAGATTTGGGATATGGAATCTATACTAGCTGATTGTATCCTTAAAGACAGAACCAGCTCTTATTAATGTGTTTTCTAACGACGGCCATGTGAATCATTTGAATACAGCAGTTACCCTTTATATGGTGTGAAATTTTCAAGAAGGATGAACCAATATAAATGCTCCAAAACTGCTTGGAATAAAACCTGTTTACATGAACTTACATTAAAAGCAATGAATCTTTAGTCTTCTCCTCGAAAGTTAGCATTTTGGAGATATTTGTTTTTGTTTGGTCAACAACAATAAGCATTTAGACATAAAGAACAAAGATAAGGTTTGGAAGACAGCTTTAGTGGAGCTCTTCATAGAGCAAAGCTGCACTTTAGTTCTTTTTTGAGTTCTTGTTACTTAGCTTTGATCAGATATGCAAATGCAGAAAACCTCATATAACCAAAATGCCTTATTTGTGTCAAAAGCATACCAATTTATTTTCTGGCCTTGCTTGTGGACTATAATACTGAACAACGTAAGGGAGTAATTAGGAACTGTAGGGGTAATAAAAGCCTTGTTAAAATAAAACCGTTCATGTAAAATTGCCTGCTTATATTTACTATTGTGTAATCTTCACATATAAAACTAAAAATTGCTTTTTTCCTTTTTTCTTTCTTGCTGCAGGCATGGGCAAGAAGCAAAGCAGTTATAATCTTCCACGGCAGTGTATTCGAAGTTATTTCCCTACCAGAAAGTGCTTTGTGTTCCCGTTGCCGGCCTCCCAAGAGAACATGGCTCGCCTTGAGAGCCTGGACGAGCGTGATATTTGGCCAGACTTCCTGAAGGTCACACAGCGTTTCTGTGACTATATCTTTAAAGAGAGCAATGTGAAAACACTTAAAGGAGGACACAAAGTCACTGGAAGGAGTAAGAGCTTTAGCACAATTCACTTTTAATCTAATTCTTTATTTACACACTTTTGTTTATTCATCTAATTAGTTAGTAAAGTGACTGCATCTGCATAACTGCATAATAATACTATAACTTTGTGTGTGTGTGTGTGTGTGTGTGTGTGTGTGTGTATTATCAGTGTTTGGTCATCTGGTGAAGTTGTACGTGGATACAATCTGTAGCGGCAAAGTGCCCTGTCTGGAGAATGCTGTGGTCGCCATGGCACAGATAGAGAACCAGGCTGCTGTACAGGAAGGGCTTAAGGTGTACCAGAGTGGAATGGAAAAGGTTTCTCCATTATCTTTTATTCATTTGATTTTGCAAAATATGTTCCCATTTACACACGCACAGAAAACCCTCATATGTTCATTTTACTCAAACTATTTGAGGTAACTCATTATCTAAAATGAATTAAGCTTTGAAAAGTTTTTCTTTTGTCTGTAATTATACATGGAGTTGAATACATTCAAGCTTTTAACAAAATAAACTATAAGCATACATCACAAACTATATTGTTGCAGAAACTTGTAATTACTAGATTTTTGTAATGACCACAAATGTGGTACAATAAAAAAAGAAAAAAAAAGTTTTAAGGGTTACGTACTCTTATAATGGCTTTGAGAAAAACTACTGTTGTTGACAGTAATTTAAATGGTTTTGTTACAAGCAAACTCACTACTAAGCAGAAACATTAAACACATTAATGCCTGGAATACCTAAAATTTGCACAGTGCATCCAAACCCATATGTAACCATGTGAAAATTTTTGTTTGAAAACAACATCTGAAGGAAAAATAAGAAATCACAGGAGGAAAGAATCACAAGAAGGAAAAATAAATAGAAATCAGCTAACTCACTAGGAATTCTGGGTTACTACATTGCGTACTATCTTTTTTCTGGTCTTTGTGAGTTTGACATTTACACTTGAATTTTCAACCAGACAGTAGAAACTTGCCTGGATTCAGTGATAGCAACTTATTGCAAGAAATTAAGTAATTGTAACTTGATTATGTAAGTACAAGTAATGTTACTGGTTTCCTTTTATAACAATACAAGAAATGTAGTTGTAATGCTATAGGTACAATTTTCCGCATCAGTATATTTCTTAGCTTTTGCTCATTTTTACTCTCAGAGTAACATATGAGTTAACACTTAACAGGATAATTAAGAGTTACGACTTTCATTTTTCTACACTATTCAAATGAAATTATGTAGGTCGTACAATGGATTACATTAACATTCAGCTTACACTTTGTATTGACAGGTTCGTTTTGATTTCAAGAAATGACAGAAATGTGGGAAAAGGTCATTTGCACTATGCCCAAATGTACCTTTTCAACAAATGATTAATAATAAAATAATTACTTTCTAACTTATTTATGAACACAAATGTTGTATAAAGTTGAAAACTTACACTTCTGACAGAATTTCTGCTTGTTTCAACAAGCAATAAGTGAGAAATAATTATATAGGTATTAAAACATACTTTTGTTAACTCAAGTAATAACAGCAACTTCTAAGAGTTAAAAAATGTTACCACCCAACCACTGACAGAAACACTGAACAAATATACAACAATAAACACTTTGTTTTAGAATCTGAATCTGTAATGATGTATCACAGGTGAAGTTTCCTGTCAGCATAAATGAGATTTCTGCTGAACACCAGAAGCTTAGCAACATAGCCACCACTGAATTCATGAGGCGCTCCTTTAAGGATGAACAAGGAGAGTATCTCAGGAAATTAACAGTAAGTTAGTCATTTTGAATATTTTGTATTCGTAAAGTTTATTCCTCCCACCCCCTTACCTTTGCTGTAGTTACAGCGTCAGCTCTTTTGGGAAGGCTTTACACTAATATATGGGACATTGCTGTTAGGATTTGAGTGCACTGAGCTGTAGAAGCATTAGTAAGGTCAGGTGCTGATGTTGGATTAGTTCTGAAGTGCCACTCCAACTCATCCAAAATATATTTGATGGTGTTCCATCACTCCAGAGAATACAGTTTCACAGCATTGGGCCGTGGAGCTTTATTCTCTCTAGCTGTCACTTGGCATTGGGCATATTGACCTTGAGCTCATGTGCAGCAGCACTAGAGTGACGCATTCAATTGGCAATGCATTTCTGTGCAATTAAACACCTATGTCACATATACATAAACTGTATACATACAAAGTAATTGCACTTGTATGTTATATGGTAGATGTACCTAATAAAAAAGTATAAGCATAGTTTCTTGTGAGCAGGAAATTAGTACATTAATTAACATTAGTAGAGTAACAGATGATTATTAGTATATATGTAGTATATGTGGATCATTCGACCAAAGTAGTTCAAAGTCAGTGTTGAAAACACATTTCGGTCTTTTAACTGTCTTGGACTTCACACTAAAATTCTTCTTTCTATAGTGACACTATACATTAATTGTCTTTATGTTTTTGAAATAAATTATTGAACATTCCATTTTGTCACTACCAATAATGCCTCTGAAACTTTACCAAATGTTTCAGTATTGACAATTTTAGCTAACATTGAATACAACTCAAAAACGCTAGCAAGTACATAACTAGCAGACAGATTTTTTCATTAAGACACAAAAAAGTTTACTTAATTGCATTTTTTTTTCTAATGACAATTCTTAATTTGCCCTGCGATGGACTACCGACCTCTCCAGGGTGTATCCTACCCACTGACCGCTGGGATAGGCTCCAGGTCCCCCTGCCCTGCGACCCTACCTGGACTAACTGGTTACTGGCACTATTTCATTATACTTAATTAGTTCAAACTGCAGTCCCACTGTAAAAAAAGTATTTTAAAAAACAATTCAGACCTTATATATTTGCAAGGATTATGCCATATAAGTTCACCGGACAAAAAATTAGTCACCTGTGCAAGAAATGTAGTTGTAATTCTTGCCTGGAAGTGAAGTTATTTTTATTCACAAGACGTGAAACACGCCGGCAGTCTCTGTCTGTCCTTTTCACCTTTTGGCCACAATTCTGATGAGAATTGCAAACTGATAACACAGGAACACTTATTGCCTAATTCCAAATTTTTTTAATTTATGTCTCTGTGTGTGGCTATGGGTTTTCAGGAGGCAGTAGATAAGCACTATGCTGTGCTACTTCATGAGAACATTGAGGTATCAGAGAAAAAGTGTCAGGAGCTGCTGTCTGATCTGCATGAAGAGATGAATAAGAACCTGCAGCAGGGAGTTTACACAAAGCCTGGAGGATACGAACTCTATTGTAGGCACAGAGACAGCATCATCACCCAGTACCATATACAGCCCAACAAAGGAGTCAAGGTAAAAATGCTAGGAGGTGGTCATGAATTTGATGCCAGCAACATGTTTCAAAAAAGTTGGGACAGAGGCAACAAAAGGCTGCTAAAGATGTGTAATGCTTAAAAAAACACCTGGTGATTAATTGGCACCAGGTCAATAACATGATTGGGTATAAAATGAGGCTGAGTCTTACAAAAGTAAAGATGAGGAGGGGTTCACTATTCTGTGATAGACTGCACGATCAAATAGTACAACAATTCAAGGATAACATTTCTCAACATGAAATAGCAAATAAAGTTTTATATATATATATATATATATATATATATATATATATATATATAAAACTATATTTGTTATATAACTATATAGATGATGTCTTTTCAGGGAAGGTCTTGTTTATTTCAGCAAGACAATGTCAAACCACATTCTGCATGTATTACAACAGCATGGCTCTGTATTAATAGAGTCCGGGCACTAAACTGGCCTGCCTGCAGCCAGACCTGTCGCCACTGAAAACATTTGGCACATTATAAAATGGAAAATACTACAAAAGAGACTCTGAAATGTTGAGCAGCTGAAATTCTATATTAAGCAAAAATCTGAAAACATTTCACTTTCAAAACTACAGCAATTAGTCTCCTCAATTACCAAACGCTTACAGGGTGTTGTTAAAAGATGAGGTGATGAAACACATTGGTAAACATGCCCCGTCCCAGCTTTTTGGAACGTGTTGTTGGCATCAAATTCAAAATGGGCATATATTTTTCAAAAAACAATAACATTTCTCAGTTTCAACATTTGATTTGTTGTCTTTGTACTATTTTCACTGAAATATAGGGTTTAAATGATTTGCACATTATTGTATTTTGTTTAATTTACATTTTGCAGTGTCCCAACTTTTTTGAAAATGGGGTTGTACATTTATGTGATGTATGCTATACCAAAATGTGCTTTGAACATTTTCATATTAAATTCAATAAAAGCAAATGGAATAAGATAATCAACACATGCACAATTCACAGTATTTTTTATCATCAGCAAAATACAGTTGTGAATAATACATATTTGTATGGTTATGTACATTATTTATATAGTTATTCCCTGAGCTAGGGGCCAAATATTGGCCTTTCTACAAAATTTAAATAAACTTAGTTTAATAAAAAGAGATAAAACTATCCAAGAAAAAGATGAATGCCCATTAGAACCTTAGAAGGTCCCAAAGTTTACTTCCCCTCATTAAGGTAAATATTAATATTTCTGTAAAAATTACCTTTCAAATGTTTTGTTTTTTTCAGATCTGTTGCTTTTGTTGTCCTTCATAACCTCACTGGACAAAAAAAGTAGTTGCATGCATCATTTCTATTATAATATTTGGTTATGTGTCAATTCTGAAATACCTTTTGACATGAAGCTCAAAATTAGTGGAAGAGTGGGCTAAGATAGACCAGATACTAGTGTAATCCTTACCTGACAGAACTGCCACTTGGATGCTTAACCAGGTATTCAAGAACAGGGATTGAGGGTAGCCTATGACACCTATCACCTTTTTAGACTGTATTTGATATGCACTTTGAATTCTATTGCAGAAATTTTCTGAGAACCTTGTGTGTGTGTGTTTGTTCCCTCTGCAGGCTGAGGACGTCTTGGAAGAATTTTTAAGGGCCAGAAATGTGGAAGCAAACTCAATTCTCCAGACTGACAAAAAAATGACTGAAAATGAGAAAAAAATTCAAGGTAAATTGGCTACTATGATGTTATTAAAGTGTATGTAAGCTTTAGTTTGTTATTTATTTTATATAATGGAGGCTGTGGGTTTGAGCCTTTGAAACATCAAAAAATCTATTAGTATTACAACATATCACTTGGAACCAGAAGTAGAATGTAGAATGCAGTCAATAAATGTAAATAAAGTTCAACTGTAACGTTACTTTGTTATTAAGTAATAGGACCATTCAAGGAATAAGCATCCTGAAATTAACATGTAAGACTTCTAAAGATAAGACAGAAAGAAGGCTCAGGGTTTACCAGACAAGATATCATTCAATTTGTATTTGTCTTGCTTCCCTTCCTTCTTTGTCTCTGTATGTAATAATGATTGACAGAAGAGAGGGAAAAAGCCGCTCTGATAGAGCAGCAGAAAAAGGCAGCAGAGGAGAAACAGATGGAGATGGCACAAGTGATGCAGGTGGAGAAAGAGAGTCATCAGGAGCGGTTGCAGCAGATGAAGGAGAAGTTTGAGGAGGAGAAGCGTTTGCAGCAGGAGGAGCTAAACAAAGCTGTGGAGAGCAAACTGGCCGAACAGAAAGACCTCCTGGAGAAAGGCTTCAAGGAGAAGGCCAAGCTGCTGGACCAGGAGATAGAACAGCTAAAAAAAGAGAAAGAGAGTTCTGGCAGTGGCAGCATTTTTAAAGATTATGTCATGCCGATTGTGCATGCTGCTACAGATATATTTTCTACATTTCTCCAGTATAAACTTATGAGGAAAGCCATGTTGTAACCCACCAGACAGGTGCTTTGCTAAAAAATGCAATGTTACATTTACACTGTGATATTGCTTAATTTTGCCTTTTATTGTATTGTCCATCCCCGCGATGGACTGTTGACCTGTCCAGGGTGTATCCTGCCTTCCGCCCAATGGCAGCTGGGATAGGCTCCAGCACCCCACCGTGACCCAGAAGGATAAGCGGCTTAGATGATGTGTGTGTGTGTGGGTGTGTGTGTGTATTGTCTGTTTATTTTGTGGTGCATGTGCACTCATGTCTTTGTCTTAATATTTATGCACCAGAGAAGTAGCCAGAATGTATTTGTTATATTCTACCCCTGTATAAGAAAGTTAAATTAAAGTAAATTTTAGCTTGAATTATTCTTAGGTGAACCATTTTCTTAAAGGCCTTTTTCTGATAGTTGCTGACAGTCGTTATGCCACTGATCAATCTGGTTATAAATATTTCCTAGTATGAACCACAGTTGTTTTTGTGATCCAACTACATGTTGTTTTGTTGTCCCTAAATTCTGGAATCTTCATGTTTTATTTTTACTTTTTAAATAGTGTTTGCATTTATTATGTATTGGATTAAATTCTTGTGCACTTGTTCTCTTTCATGTTCATCTGTGCATTCTGCAGCCATGATATACATTCTCTGCCGAAAGTATTGGAAGAGCTTTTGTTTTTTCTGTACACTAAAGACGTTAGGGTTTGAGATAAAAAGATTTTACATTTATATCTAGATTTGTTAAACAACTTACAACATGACACCTTTTGTTTGAACCCACCCATTTTTCAAATGAGCAAAAATACTGGAACATGTGACTGACAGGAGTTTCTTATTGGCCAAGTGTGCCTTGTTAGATTGACTGCTTCGTTTAAACAGCCCTAAATGTCTCTTGGTTTGAAGTCTGGGTTTTGCCTGTGAAAACTGCAATTGTTAAAAAGGATAAACCAACATGACATCCAAGGAACTGCCTATGGGAGAGAAGCAGGTGATCTTGAGGTTGAGAAAAGAGGGAAAATTGATGAGAGGCACTGTACAGGCATTAGGCATAAATAAATAGAACAATTTGGAATATCCTGAAAAAAAAGAAACCACTGGTGTACTAACAATCAGACATCGAACAGGTCGGCCAAAATGTGGAGAAAGAAACAATCTGTTCATGATCCAAAATATTCAAGCAAAGTAGAGGTAGTGTCATGGCTTGGGCTTGCATGGCTGCTTATGGAAAGGGCTGACTATTCTTCATTATGATGTAACTCATGATGGTAACAGCAGAATGAATTCAAAAGTCTAAGGCATCATTCTGTCTGCCAGCAGAGAAATGCATCCAGTCTAATCAGGAGGAACTTTATCATGCAGAACCCAAAACACACTGCCAACAAGTGGAAGGTTTGTAGACTGGCCAGGTCAATCACCAGACCTTGACCCAATTGAGTATTCATTTCACCTCCTGAAGAGGAGACTAAAGCAAGAAACCCTCCAAAGCAAACAATAAGCTGTGGTTAAAGCCTGGAAAAGCAAGAGTTTGGTTATGTTAGTGGGTCGCCAGTTTGATGCAGTTACTGCAAGCAAGGAATACTAAACCAAGTGTTACTTAATTTACTTTAAGACCATCAGTTCCTTTTTTGCTCATCTAAAAATTGGGTGGCCTGCCACCAAAGGTGTCATTAGGAGATAATAGCTGAAATTCTGATCTATTGTCTCATATTCATCTTTTGATCTCAAACACAAATGTCTTCTGTGCATAGCAAAAACAAAAGAATTGTCTTTTTCATTCAAATATTTATGTCAGAGACTATATATAAAGTATATACAGTTAGTAAATCTACAGCCACAGTGTGAGATCCTACAAAATTATCTTGCAAAAAAAAATAAATAAATAAAAAAAATAGTGTAGGCTATACCTACTCATGACAATCAGCCAGGCTCAATCTTAAGCTTCTAGTAGACCAGTAGCTGACTCACTGACTTAATGAGCATCACAGAGAAGGTCAACAGGGCTGTTGCCATTTTCAATCACATTTACTATAATAAGGTAGTAAGCATAGAACACAAAACCACAACCACTCAAAAGTTTGGAATTCTTTTTTCATTTATAACCAATTTTGTCACATGTACATGTATAAAATTATTGTATTATTCCAACAAATGTGTATATAGCTGTAAAACATTTGGATGACCAGAGCAGTAAATGATAAAGCTGTAGAACACTGATAATGAAACTACAAGATCCAGAGTGCCTTGTATTTGAAAAATTAGATATCTTATTAAGGAATTTGTTTTAATACATTATTATAGTTTAGTATTTGTCATTTAGTAAGTTCTTGCTCTTCCCAAAAAGCTTTTTAAACAGCTTTAAATACCTTCTGTTATATCTATTATTCTCATTATTGAGTAAACCAATTATTAAAGCTGCACTATGTAAGATTTTCTTTGGTTACAATTGAAAGTAGCAGCTTTACTGAGTCAAGAGAAAAGTGCTCTGCTGTGAGCCACCTTGGAAAGTCTAAAATAATAATTTAAAAGTTAGATGTGTCTGGTTAAATTTATGACCAGAATTTCATATGGTAACATCACAAGCACAAGCTCAAAAAGCAACTGCATACACTATGTGTAAAATTGTTCAGGTTTATTAAAACACACACAGAAATACAGAATGCAGAAATAGATCCAGTACCTTTGAAGAACACATGCATTCAGAGGAGAGTTTTTTTAAAGTATATCTAAACTGTACACAATTGGCAGCTGTTACATATGATAAGAAAAATACAGTGTTTTCTACTGTTCACCACTGAATAAATACCATCACAAATATTTTGTCTCTTTCTTCAGATTGCTTCAGATCACCTGAAGCTGGAGGCACTGTCATCTGGTACATATAGTGCCACACACTAAGACTTACTATCATTGGTTATTTTGTAACTCCTGGGTAGGGTCTGTTGTTTTTCCTCTAAGCAGAAGTTATGAGACTTCTAAAAGGCTTCACATGGGTCATTGCTTATATTATTTATGCCATGTCATTACAGCAGACAGCTAATGTTTGTTTTGAGGTACATCATACATTTTCTTGCAACAGACTACATGCCATTATATTGCAAGACCCACTTTGTAAGTGAATACTGAACAATAAAAGGCCTCTGAACTCATCTGTCAGATGGCTCAGGCTGAAATTCTATAAAAGCAGGGTATTTCTAATGTATACAAAGACCACTGGATACCAAAAAAGTAGCATAACTGAATGACAGCTTGTATGGAACATAGTGTACTACAGTCTGTCAACAGTAAGTAGGTCAACACTAGAAGCTTTGCTCCCTGCCTGAAGTCATTCAGCTGCCAATGAACCAAGCAACACTTAGGATTTTTGTACAGTGCTTGCATTGCTGGTCCTCGATTGTCAGTATGTATCCATCGGTTTCACAGATCAAGGTGATCTTATATATATATATATATATATATATATATATATATATATATATATATATATATATATATATATATATATATATATATATATATATAAATAAAACAACCATACGTACCATATACACAAACACAAACTTCCCGAACTTCTGTGTTTTAATGACAGTTCAAGTGGTAAAAAACAGCAGCTCATATAAATAAAATTTGTAAGCACATTGCACTTCAATGCACATAAATGCTTTATCAATGCTCATAAAAATCCTCATACATCCAAACATGCAGTGCAGAAGGAATACCTAGTAGGCAACATTTGGGGAGTATATCTCAGTCCATTGTCTTCCAGTCTGTACAGTTCCATCTACACCACTTACATCTAAGTAAACATAAACACATTAGATAACTCTCTGGCGCAGTACCTTTTCATCCTCAGACTTCTTGATGCCATCCTTAGGCAGGAGAGGGGAGACTTCTGGAGAATCCAAAACACAAACACACATCATGAGGAACAAAAACATACAAACAAATGCCATCCTTTGGCTGGATATTCCCTCCAATCTCCCACCCCCATATTTTTATGGATCTCTAGCAAAAAAAAAAACAAAAAAAAAAAACGGTGAATTATTAATCGGGTACAAATACAACTTTTACTTTAAGAAATTACGTTTTTCAGTTTTTAAGTAAATTATAGGGGCCAATAGGGACCACAGGGACCAATTCTTTTTCCAATGAACACTCTCCACATAAGAACAGTTACATCTGATTAACATAAAAAATTACAAAATAAAGGTATTCCTATGGCTCCTTCATAGTGTAATTTTTAAAACGTTTAACAATAGCACAATAAAAGCACAGTAAAGCTGTAAACAGATAAAAACTTCCAATAACATTTTTTTTAAATAAATGTTATAATGCTCTAAAAAGTCTGTATACGTTTTTGAGAGCTATGCAAAAGTTTAGATGCCCCTGGTCAAATTATGTTTTGGTGATTTTCTAAGTGATAAGTGAACTAAACCTCTGCACATTTTAATGCACAATTACTGTTAATTTGCTGAATTTAACATACTGTAAATAAAAAAAAAAACATTTTTCAAGACATATTCTGTATTTCTGAAAAAGAGCCATTATCTTAGTAAATCCCCCACAAAGTTTGTATTTTACATTCTGCCTAAAGCGCATAAAGACTTAGCAATTGTTGTCCCAGTGACAGATAGCAACAGTTTGACCGAACCCCTTTCCAAGTTTTTGGATTTTGTCTTAAGATCCCTTTCTAGCCATCTCAGACACACTGCAGATTTTCTACAGTGTCTTTCAGAACTTCAGATTGAGTCTGACGTCACTCTGGCTACATTCCTCACAGAGGGTCTGCTGGCCCTTTATCCAAATAATTACAACAAATTTTTTTTTTAATTTTAATGTCTTGTTTACTTTTTGCATTCTGCCAGCATACATGCTAAAATTGTTAGAATTAGCTACATAGCATTACTTGGCTCAATCCTCCAAAAACGCACCAACTTAGAAGTTAGAATTTTTTTTTTACTCAGAAGTACATTTCTTTTGCCTAAACCCAACATACACATTACACATTTTGTTTGCTGCAGCATTATATGAAAACTAATGATTGTGGAAAATGATTGCAGTCAGCTTAAAAAACTGTGGTCATCTCAAATAATTGTGAGATATATATAACACCTGTATTAAAATCAGTGACTAAAAAAATTCTCTTCCATATATGCAAAGCACACAGAGAAAAGCAGTCTTCTTCATGCCAGAAGTGACCTTCCAGTTCAAGTAAAATGCAGCCTGTCCTATAGCCAGTTTACAGGTCTCCAATGTATTTGTTTGGATACAGCTGATTTTGAGGCTGAAGCCCAGACTGATTAGCTTGCTTCTGCTATAAAGAAGGCACACTCTGCATACCATCTAGAACTCCAGAAAATGGTGATGGTTAATTATCAGATCTTTTTACAGATAATCCGCTCAGTGAAATAAACTGGTACATGCAGATACTTATATTCACACTGTGTCTGCAACTCTCTCTAATGCCCAACGTAATTTTCCTTGTCACAATTGTATGTCTTGTTCTCAGCTTGTGAACCACAAATCTTTTGAACACTCTCATACTCTGAAAACATATAGATTAACATATATTAGACAATTTATAATTTGCAAATCCACACAAGACCAGAATGATTGTATTTACGAGTTTAATCCGTAGACTGGATGACACGTCTGTTTTCCGTCATTCTGAACCAGCTAAATACTCGGCATTAAGAGGGTTTTGTTGCAAAGATGGGGAGATAAAATAAATAAATTACTACAGTGGAAGGCCTTTTGGATCTGTGAACTTATATCTTTGTTTCCTAATGGTATGAATGAGGACCTTAATTTTCTCTACTTTTAATAAACAAGCTACATTTTATCAATGTGTTGTACTCCAAAATGGTTTTGACATATCTGACCTTTAACTGGTTAAATGAGTACATCCTCTAGTTGTTGTAGTGTCCCTACAGTTCCTAGCAAGATCTACACAAATGGGAGCAATTTATTTGGGTTTTGAAAAAGGGGAGGTTTACAGCGTTTGCTAGACTTGGTCTTAATTTTCTTGCAGTGTGCAACTAATGCATCTTGAAAGCATAAAATGTGGCCAATGCAAACGCTATGACACGGTTCAGATTTTATGTTTTATTTTTTCCCAATATGTTAAACTCAATAAATAGAAATAAAAATAAATATATATAAATAGAAACTGTGCATACAAAAAAGCTTGTTCCCTGTACCGGATGTAAATCAGGTAAATACAAATGTAATCATTGCATATGACCATATACATTCTTCTATTTCTGTGGACATTTATTTTGCACATAATCTCTTATAGACGCATCCAAAATGAACTCTTTCTTGCTGATCATGAAAATTATTTTTGTGTTCCAGCTGCAGAAAAAGAGCCTGAATGTTTTTAAAACATCAGAAGATGACAAGGTTAAATTTTAAATATTTGACCCTATTTAACCCTACAGGGTGGAACTCATTATAGCTTAAAATTCTTCACACAGAAATCAATCATTTTGATAGATATGTAAAAATACTACAAAGATATTGCTTGAGCATTTTCATTCTTAGCTGGAGTGGCGACTATTTTCTCTCACCAATGAGCAGTCTGCAGTTTTTCCATTTCACCTTTTGGTATCAGCTCAGCTCGCTTGGAAGCTCGAGAGAGGCGATACCAAAAATAGTGCCAGGTAGGCCTAAAGGAAAACCAAAAAAGGCGAGTAGAGTTGAGACGAGCCGGTGCCATGTGGTGGAAATCTTGAGAAGACTGCAATCTTGATTTTTACTTTAAAAATTCTATATCATCTTGTGATTAACCATTGTGCTACACCAAAGGGCCCAGCCACACCCACTTCCTCACCCTTCATCTCCAGGCAGTTTCTCTCTCCGTCCTGGTTTCTGGTCTTGTTGGTGTCTGAAGCATGTGAAATCGTCTTCAATCTGCCATCCAGTACGTCCATTTTAACTTGGCCTAGTGACTGCAGGAGGAGCATTGTATCAGGAGCATGTTCATCTTCACAATCCTTCACGAGCTCCAATACCTACAAATATGGATAAACACACAAATTATTTGATGTAGACAGTCTAGCACCCCTATAATTGTACATATTCATATTTCATATAACTTGCATGAAAACACATACACCAAAATGCAGGTAGTGTTGCCAACCAACCAAACATTAAGTATTCGATTAAAATGAGTGATTTAGTCATATAAAACTAAATAAAATACTTATGCATGGTTCTATGTTTTTAAACTTTTAAAATAATAAAGTCAAAACTTCAACTTCTGACAGTAAATTCTGATTTCCTCATATGTCATGCAGCACAACTGACAACAATGGACATTGTAATTATGGTTTTAAGAATAAGTGGGCAGCATTTCACATCATAAAGAAAACCCCATGGTGCAATGCTAGTGTCAGAAGGCCTTTAAAAATTATAATTTTTGAGTCATGGTTAGGCTGTTAAATTTTACCAAGGTCAGGTGCAGTACTACCAGGAGAAGCAGGAAAATGTCTTATTATTATAATTTGCCTATTTATTTGAAAAAATGTATGTATAAACTTGAGTTCAAGGATAAAGGTAATGTGTACACATTTTTAGTAATGGTAAATATGCTAAAGTGACAAAAAATTTTGGTTATATATAAAATGTGTAGTTGGGCCAACTAACATTTCGTAGGTTGCAAAATTGATGATCCCATTTTCATATTATACCATTATATCGTTATTTTACCATAATAGAAGCTTTAATAAATTGATGCAGATGGAAAAATGCACCCCCACCCACACACCTTCAGGCATTTATAACTTTTCAGCTCACTCAGGTTCTCCTCCAGAAACAGCAAGTACATGGCTAGATCATTCCAGGCTCTTGCTCCAAGCTTTATCACCCCAAGAGTGGGCAGCATTTCATAGGGTTTCAAGAAATCAGCTGAGCTCCTCATGGGAACCAGTGTAGCATAAATGCATGCAGGTGCCAGCAGCAGGTACACACACAGGTTGATGTAGCTGAGAAGTTGGAACACTCCCACAGCTATCAGTTTGCACTGCAGAGCGCTGGGCACGGATGAGTCATTGATCAGCACACCGGTGCGGATGTTACAGTGGAACTCGTCTGTTACAGACAGCCGGATGTAGTAGCAGAGGTAGACGCAGGCCAGCACCAGTACCAAGAAGGTGACTGCTCGGCAAAGTAAGTAGCGGACCAGCAGGCCATGGGAAAAACGCTTCGTCTTCAGATACTGCTCCACAAGAGGGTACTTAAAACAGTTCTCCGTCAGGTCTGGCATAGAGCTACAGTGCACGCATGCGCACACACACGCGCACACACACACACACACACACACACACACACACACACACACACAAAAAAAAAATTCAGTTACAACAAAAAAATGACAAAGTGTGGGTAAAAGTAACCACACTGAACTGTCTTCCTTACATTAAACACAATCTTACTAGCTTGGCTACATCAAGTACAATCCATAACATCATTTAAAAGACAAAGAAAATCTTGTTTTCCCATCATCCCCCATGAAAATGTAATGACTTTTGCCTGATTTCTGTCTACATCACCCTGCAACAGCGAGCAGTACAAGTAACCAATAATAACCAGTACCCTTATGTTCCACCATTCCCTTCCACCATCCCTAATTATTTTCGAGCGAGAATGATCAAAGGCCCTCCATAATATATGCCTATATTATGTTTTTTATATATATATATATATATATATATATATATATATATATATATATATATATATATATATATATATATAAAAACAAAAATAGCCCCACATCATCACAGATCCACCACCATACTTTACAATGGGGATGGGGTACTTTTCTATATGGCTATCTTTGTGTCCATGCCAAGTCCATGCCAAATTCACCTGGTGTTTATTGCCAAAAACCTCTATTTTGGTCTCATCTGACCATAGAACACAATCCCACTGAAAGTTCCAGTAATGTCTGACTAACTGTAGGTGCTTGAATTTGTTTGCCCTTTTGACAGCAGAGGCCTTCTTCTGGCAACCCCTCTATACAACTTGTGATATAGGTGGTGTTTGATTGTGGTTTGGGAGACATTCTGACCCCAAGACCTAACTAATGTATGCAATTCCCTGTCTGTGATCCTTGGCAATTCTTTGTCCACTCAAACCATATATATATATTTATACACACACACACACACACACACACACAAACAGTAGCAGTTCAACATGTTTCATTAATTCCCCAGTCCATATATGGAAACTAAGCTGCAAAATCATCCCATTTTGAATTAACGGTTTTTATTTAATATATGCATATTCAGCCTATAGCCTGCATCAGAATAGAGGTCAACAAAAGCAGCCTGTTAAAAGTGAAGTGTAAAGGATAAGAGAGGCTGGACTGTTCTTGGTTTATAAATCTAAACAAATGTAAGTGGACCATGGAAAACAATAAAATAAGAGCAATGTATGAGAGTGACCCTTTAACATATCACACACTGTACTAAATCCAATTAAACAGGAATAACTGTGCTCCCACTGTAATGAAACAGGCAGTTCATCAGTGTTGACATCTATGGTATGCTTAGGAAGGCTTGTTGTGGTGTAATTTATCATGACAACGATAAAATATCATATTGCTCACCCCTAATGCTACAACTGCAAAACGGTGACAAATGAACACATTATGTGCAGCTTGCAGTCATGTACACTCATGAACCCTGACTGCCATTGGTTGGAGCTTGCTGTCAGTGTTGTGGTCTGCTGATTAAGAGTTTGAATTAAGAGTTTGATCACATTCTTGTATGGTTAAAGAGCATCCCAACACTTCATGAGTCAGCTTTCTCAGATGTTCTTTACTCTAAACTGTGCTTTAAAAACAGTGCTGATGTGTTCTTTCCATGGATTTGCATATGTGTGTGTGAACTGAGGTGTGCTGGGTTTGATTATTTGTGTACTTGTACAGCAGGATTTGTGAGGTCCAAACGTCCTCATAAGACAGTGTTTTCCTGGAGAAAGTAGAACTTGCATGCTGGACCTCAAACATTTGCAGAAATTAATTTACAAAAAGATACTTTTTACACAGCCTTTCTTCTATGGCTATGTTTTGGCTACAGATATTGTTAGGTATGTAGGGCTATGTTGTCATAGTATTGCTGGGTAAATATGGTAACGATCGGGTAACAATGGGGTAAAGTATAGTAACATACTGCATACCTGTGTGATTTGGGGTATGTAGTGCGGTATGTGTGTGCGTGTTTATGTGTTTATACCTTTGAGCGTCAAGGTGTGTGGGACTGCTGTGCAGGCACTTGGCTAATTTGATGGCCCTGTTGTAGGAGCGGTCCAGCTCTTCCATGATGAAGGTCAAATCAGAAGAAAGAACCGGAGCAGCTGTAAAACGCCAAAACAATGCTGGAACATACACCAGCACCGCTACAAATAAAAGGATATATGGGAAAAACTTTTGGGGAAGAGGGAAGAGAGATAAAGAAAACATTTTATTAGTTTAAACAGCCTTTGTATATATTCACTAATCACCAGCTAAGAATAGGCATTCAAGAAAATATATATAAAACCGTACACAAAATCATTCCTCTAGTCTTCCAGGATTGACACACAACTTCCAGTTCCAAGGCTGTACTACAAGTTTTATTGTTACAACAGGAGAGTTTTAGGAGTTTTTCATTACAAATCAGCTAGGCGTAATTCTTTCAGACACTGCACAATCTGCCCACATGAGAGCATGGACAGCAGTGCACATGGGTGTACATCTGTATGAAGTGGGCAGAGGTAGTCCAGTGTAAATAGGCAACAGAACCTTTACATATTACTCTATGTGAGTGTAATGCATGCTTGTATGAAGAGAGTACCTTATGGAGTGAGAGTGGTAGCCCTCCGGTGTCCTGTCTTTGCACAGCTGCCCAGCAATAGGAGTCCACATAGGCAGCCTGCCGCCAGGAGAAGTTAGTGGGGGAGAAACAGCTGATCTGAGTGCCTGGGGAAGAAGAAAAAACAGCATGTGAATGCAGAATGCTAAAAGCATAAAAGCACAAAAACATAAATGAAAAAGATGAAAAAAACATGAACCACGTTTACCACAGCTAAATCCATATTCCATAAATCACTATGGAATACAATAGAATACAAATGACAATAAAATAAAGATACACAATAAACTGCCTAACAGTAATATAGCAGCTCATATATGCCATAAATGCATATAGCAGCTTTGTACTGAATGAAATAGGAGTTTCAACAGCAAAATTATATGTAGGTAGATTTAATACCAGATGCTCCTCATATGAGTCAAGATAGCGGAATTAACTCTAGTTAGGCTGTGCATTACTGTAATTTAGAGCTGGGACTCACAAGAAATTTCACAAACTATTTTCCCAACAGAAGAATGTTACAGTTCATTTGCAGTAATAACAACAGTACATGTGGTTAAAATGAGGAAATATACACAGCTCTATGGATCTTACAAAAACAAATAATCAAAAAAAGTTAAATTTTGGTAGCTTCAACTTGGGTTGAGAGGGCTGTCACTATCAGTTATCTCAGTATGTGGAGGCTTTCAAAGATTTCAGAATTTTTAAATGGAAAAAAGACAAACTAGGACAAATACTCAGAACAATATAGGACAAAAAAATTATACAGTTGGGTATGTCGACTTGCAAATTTCCACAAGGAAGTCACACTCAAACATCTGAAAACACCAGCAAGTTCTATGTTATCCGAGTTGTGACTTTCACCAGCCAATACGTTCTCTGATACCAAACAAATTCAACAAACCAGGATGGCAAACGGTATGGCCTACCAATTGCTTTGTATCATAATGTGCATAAATCATTAGAACATTATGCATAGCTGTAGTGACATGGTACCTCTTTTCTCACCCTTTTCATTCTTCTGCTCACTGATTTTTTTCCTGCCTCTGCAAAGCAACCTTGGGTATGAGAAAGGTGCTATATCAACCAGACTTTGATGCTGAAGTTTGTTGTTTTTAAATAGTGTTGCTGATGGCGGGTCCAGGGTTCCTGCAGAACCCGTTTTCCCGAGCCATCACTATCAAGGACAGCTCTACGATGGGTGCTGACAAGAACAGTCAAAGTTGTTTTGGACAGCTGGCAGCTGCGTGGCCTCAGAAATTAATACGTCGGGCCGCCGCTGATAACTGCAGCTGGGTTTGCTCACCGAGACAGAGATGGCACCATAAAAATGCCATCAGAGGCTAAGTCAAGTGAGTGACTCCTAGTATTTCACACGCCTCTTGTATTAACACCTGGTGTTTTTATTTATTTATTTTTTTGCCTCTCCTGACTTTTCAACCTTTTTTCCTCTCCGTCTCTCTCTCGCCGAGCCCAGGAGACTGAACTGCGCCTCACTTACTGTACAGAGCTGCCACACAGCCTTGAGCCTCACCTGTCTACTCCTGTAACTACCCCTCCCTGCTAAGAGAGAGAGAGATGAGCCATCAGTTTCAAGAGGCAACCTTTCTTTGAAGGACTCTATAGTACTTATTATTTTTCTAACTTTTATGTTTACTTCAGTAACTGTGAATAAAACCAGCCCAGAGCCATACTTGAACTGAATTTTCTTGTCTCTGTGGTCTCCCTCTTCCAGAGCGCTCCCACAATAGGGTAAGGTCAGCCACCCTCACACCTGATTGTTATCCAATTTATTGAACCTCCTGACCCTATACCAAACTGATAATTCAAAAGGTACATATACGTTTGCTAACAAAAAATATTAGAATGTTGGATCACACTATTCAATAAATGAATAAAAAAAACTATATAACTGCTTGTTATTGGTATGACAAATGAAGATCTGATCTCATTTTATGTCAAATCTATGTAGAAATGCACATAATACAATAGGATTCATAAACTTTCAAGCAGCACTATATATAAAAAAGAAGACTTGCAACACTCCTTTGATGACAAAATTCTAAATCATTTTTATCTGCAGACAAAACAAACTGGGATGGTTAGATGTAGACAAGTCACTTTAGAGAGAAAAAAAATACTACCACCTGAGTTTGTTTTCTGTATGCACAGAAAAAAGGAACTGCAAATACTGACTGCAGGCTGGTCCTTACACTAACAGACAGACGACCTAATTAATATCCCCTTTCTCCAATAACCTGTTTTAGCACGGGTGTTGGGATCACATAACCTGCCATGCCTGCTTAAACCATAGATCAAGCATGCTTGCTGGTCACACATTTAATTTGGTGTCACAAGTTAACTTTGTTCTTGCTATGGTTTGCTAGCTTCTTAAGAACCAAGTCAGAAAGCCAAAAAGGATTCTTCTATTGTTACAATGTCAAGTCTGTAACAACAGAAGAACCCTTTTTGATGCTATATAGAACCCTTTTCTACTTTATATAGAACCAACTACAGCACATTCACCATGACGTAGAGAACCATTTTCTTTACTAAAGAACCCTTCAAGAACGATCTTTAAGTGTGTAAGGTGCATATGGGTAACGTGGGAAACCTAAACTGGATCTTCTATATCTTGGTGTATATACTTCAGTAATCACAAATCACTACCAAAGTTTATACTTCGGTAGTAAAGTGTTTAACAAGTGGGGTTCCACGTTTGAAATAATTTCAGAGGAAGCAGCATACTCCTTTTCCAAACCAGGAGCTGTGTTAGACACTTCCTATCTTTTTGCCTTTAGTTAATATCTTACAAGTCGAGACAAGTTTTAGTATCATAATACAGATTCAAATCTTATCTCAATTTAGGAATTTTAACTTACAGTATCATATCTCAAGTTAGGAAATCTTAACTAACTCAATCGCAGTCAATAAGCAACTGTCATGTCGGTTGTTAGATATTAGACCATATGCACATAGCTGAAACATAAACATGTAATTAACTTTCAGCAAGCTGAGTCTGAGATTTTTACAACGCTTTTAGGAAAAAAAAAACCAAGTCAAAGCATCGTTTTCAATGTAGATTAATGTAATGTTTTTATGCTAGTTATGTGTTAGTGAACCATGCTTCATGAAACAACAGAAACAGGCAGTTAAAACAGATGTTAAGACACTTCTGGGGTTGTCTTAAAGTTTGGACAGTATTTAGAAAAGTTTGTCTAGTTAGGATTCCCAAATCAGAAAAAGTTGGGACGGTATAGAAAACTCAAACAAAAAGGAAAGCAGTGATTTCTAAAATTTACTTTGACTTTGTTGCAGACAATTTGAACACAAGATATTTCATGTTTTGTCCGGTCAACTTCATTTCATTTGTAAATATATATCCATCCATTCAGACCTGCAACACATTCCAAAAAAGTTGGGACAGGGGGAATTTAGGGCTAGTAATGAGGTAAAATAATTCAGTATTGATGATTCGAAACAGGTGATGCCAACAGGTGACTGTAATCAAGATTTGGTTCAAAAGCAGCATCCAAGAAAGGCCTAGTCCTTTAGGAGGAAAGATGGGCCAAGGACCACCAGTTCGCCAACAAATGAGTGAAAAAATTATTGAAATGTGTAAAGACAATGTTCCTCAAAGAAAGATAGGAAGGAGTTTGGATATTTTATATGGTGCATAACATAATAAACGATTCAACAAATCTGGAGGAATTACAGTGTGAAAAGGGCAAGGGCGCAAGCCTAAGCTGAATAACTGTGCTCTCCAATCCCTTAAACAGCACTACATCGGGAACTGTCGTTTATTAAGCAATATAACCTCATTGGCTCAAGATTACATCGGCAAATCTTTGTCAAGCACTACAATATATAGTTACATTCACAAATGCCAGTTAAAATTTTACTGTGGCAAAAGGAAGCCTAATGTACAAGTATCTGGACTCTGAGGCCTCTGGGATGGACCATCACACAGTGGAAACGTGTACTGTGGTCAGACAAATCAGTATTTCAGGTCTTTTCTGAAGAAATTGATGCCGTGTGCTCCGGACCAAAGATGAAAAGGACCATCCAGACTGTTACCAGCAATAAGTCCAAAAGCCAAGGTCTGTCATGGAGTGGGGTCATGTCAGTGCCCTTGGCAAAGGTAACTTTCACACTGGTGATGGCACTATTATTGCCAAAAAAGTACACAGAGGCTTTGCAGCAACAAATGATGTCTTCAAGACATCTTTTCCAGGGACACCCAAGCATATTTCAACAAGTCAATGCAAAAACACATTCTGCACACATTATGAAAGCATACAGGCTACAGAAGAAGAAAGTGCAGGTGCTGGACTGGCCTGCCTGCAGTCCCAACCTGTTGCCAACAGAGGATGCGTGGTGCTTTTTTAAATACAGAATGCAACAACTAAGACCCCATGTTACACACCTTAAAACTAGTTTGCAAGAAAAATGGGACAAAATTACACCTAAAACACTTCAACACTTTCAGTCCCATCTGTTTAAGCTTTGAAAAGGAATGGCAATATTACAATATTATAAAAGTGGTAAATGCTTTACTGTCTCAACTTTTTATAAATATGTTGCAAGAATCAAAACTGAAGTGTTTATTTTGAAATAACAATAAAGTTCATGAGTTAAAACATCAAATAATGTGCAGTTACCTTGTTTTCAATGTAATACAGGTCAGAAATAATTTACAAATCATTGTTTTCTGTTTTAATTTAACATACAAAATGAAAGATCTTAAATATTTTTTAATGGTTCTATTGGAAGAAGGTTTTCCTTTCTCCTATTTTACCAATATAATGCTGTAGTAAACAGTAATTATCCAATTTACTATAAGATTCTTATAGGAATCCTTTAATACTACGTATTCTTTCCGAAATACTGAAACGAATCAGTGAACAATTCAGAAGGAATCATTTCAGTTGATGATTTGGACGGAACAGTAATGCCCCACCATTAGCCAAAGTAACCTAAATTAACATAACGACAAATGTATAATCCAACTGCCTTCCGGCAGCTTGTTTAAAACTCCTAGAACACATTTTAGTGTTTTAACTATCAGCTACTGAGCTCAGATTTCGCATAGACGTATTCGTCAGGCAAATAAAAGAGTGCTAACGGCAGGCACAATAAAATGTTACTATTATAGTATTTAACTAGTGTTTATACCAGTCAGGCCATTTTAAATTAGTTTTGCTTAACTCTGCATCGACCACAGACAAAATGAGCAAAAGACACAAGGAGGAAAAGGTGAGCAGCCTCCGGCGAATTTGAGATACTACGTAACGCCGTCAAAGCTGCGTGAGCGTACACCTACAAACTAACAAGTGATTTACTTAGTAAAAGTAGCTAATTATATCTTACCGACAGATACCTCCTGGGCGAAGGCGAGGGAGATGAGCAATAAAGGCAGCCCGACCGCAATACAAGTGACCATCTTATCCAAAGCCAGGTCCAGTCTTATACCTTTATACTTCGCCTCTGACGTTGGCTCCTTGAGTAGGAAATCTGTAAAAACATACTCTGTAGCAGCGTGGGCTATAGCCATTTCTAACTTCCGATAACAAAATTGTAGATGTTGATCGAATTTCAAGTGTGTCGCAGAGTTAGCTGAAAAAAGTTCGAAACAGAAACTGTCCGGGCGTTAATATTAAAGAAATGGAGCATTGTCTTGACTACAGGCTTCTTCTTCCTCTGTTATTGTTCATTTGCGGTGCCGAACCACATTTAAGCGCCACCTACTGCAGGGAACGCCGACTCCAGAAGCAAAAGTGGGACGCCTTCTGTTAACCATGTTTGGAAGCGCTGTTGTTTGTTATTATCATATTATTTTAATAAAAAAATGACAAAAATAATTATTCACATCCACCCAATTAAAAAATTATAAATCGTAAGTAACTCCAGCACGTCTGCCAAATGCCATAAATGCATATGTAAATTAGTATTGTTTAGTTTGCTTTAAGGTAATTACCCAGATAGCACAGGTACGTCCCGAGATGTTGGATTTCTTAGTATATCGTCAAAACATCGCGTTCCATTTGGAACGTCGTATATGTATCATCTGCACATCAGACAGGGCGATTTAAAACAACAGCGTCATCCCAGCAAACACAGTTACGTTGTGACAACGTTGAAATGTAAATCCTCAGAAAGTTGTGGCAACGTACTGGTAGAGATGCTGGAGCATCGAATCAGTGTCGATACTTCGGGCAGCGAATTGTTTCGAAACAGATTCTGTGCCTCGCCTCGAACGCTCACATAACCGCCAGCGAAGCTTCGTTACGTCATTGAAACCGATTCAAATACCCCGGGCTTCTTCCATGGGGTTAAACTGAATGAACTCCAAAACGGTTTCGTTGTTTTCAGCAGTAAGATTTAAAATACTTTATACCGTGTTCTTGCATTGTACACTGATCCATAAATAAAAAAGACATCTATAATTGGCCTATTTTTGTGTCTGAACCCATTCACGCCCGCTTACACAGAAGAAGTTCAAAAGTGTGAAAAAAACAACTCGAGAACTGACGCGTACACGGACAGAAAACATCACAGAAAACATCACAGAGACTGTTCCATTAATTAAACAGATCTATCACGGAGGACTCAAGAAAGAGACCCAGGCCTCAAGTATGGGATTACTTTTATTTAGCTAGCCAAAATAAAGTGAGCTGTATGAAATGTGACCAAACGCTATCATATTCAAACACTATTACCACAAATATTACAATATGACTCTTCTCTTACTTGGGAAGTTTATGATGTATGCACGATGAGAAGCCATTGTAATGGGCAAATAAAGTTATTTTTAATAATATTTATTAAATATTTTTAATAATTTTCTTTCTCCAAAGATTAATATAAACCATTTGTCAGTGCTGTATTTAATGTTCAAATAATCAAATTAACACATATGTGTTGCAATAAAGGTTTATTTGTGCGAATAAGCTTCAATGGAACTATGACAATCAATAGGAAACAGTCATTGTAGGAAATTAAACTGGACAGTAGATGGCAGCATGGAGCCGGGTGTCAAATGCTCCATCGGCCATCAGTAGATACTGGCAACGTTGTCAGTAAGTTGTCACAACCATCTAGATTCCTCAAAAGTTCCATTATGTGATGCAGGAACTCAAAGGAATTTTGCTACGCTGCCAATTTATAGTATCAGAGAACTTGTAGAAAGGAGAATTACCACTCTGTAATGCCTTCCGGGTTTTCCAAAGCTAAAGGGCGCTCCTGAGCGAGTCCTAAATAAATCGGTTAAAATGGAGAATTTGAGCAAAATCATAGTTTATAAATGCTTAAACATTTTTAATGTAAAGGAAAACATTCATTTCCTGAACACAGAGCAGCAAACTTGCTGCAAACTTTTTAACACTGCTGCTATATTTCTTTAGCGCTTTTGAACTCCAGTTAGCTAAAGGAGTTTAAAACAGTGCCTCATGTACATTCATGACGTTAGTGAATGCAAACAGCCAATAAGTTGCTCCGCTCGCCAACCAATCAGCACTCAGTAGCAGTAACGCTAGCGTCCCGCTGCCCCAAACCCATTTACTGTAGAAACAGGGAAACGCAGGTGTTCTCTTTGCTTTTTAGCAAAATACAAGCTTCTACTTTCTAAAATTAGCTAAAGTTCTTGCAACGTGACTAAAAACAATTTTAATTTTCTCGTTTTTAGCTCCATTTACCCCCATTCATAGGAGACTCACTCGTGAGCACCCTCTGGCAGTCCTGTTTTTGATATAAATGGGAAAATAGGAAGGAAAGCGTTTTCTGGACACTGCATCTAAAGCGTTTCCATATCTTTTCAGGTTTTTTGTGGTCATTCTGGTCTATTTTATTTGGTTTTTATCCACCTGCAGAGCTGAAGCTGCAGTAACAGTGATGAGGCAAGCTCTATCAGAGCACAGCTTGCCTACCAACATGGCAATGTGGTATTCTTAATGACATAATTCGGTACTATGAATAGATAGTCATAATAAAACATGACAACGTTTCTGAATAATGAGGTTGTGACAACATTGTGACAATCTTGTCCAAACATAAACAGCACAACTTTTTGACAACATTGTAGCAGCATTGTAAAAAAAGTAGACAATGTTATGACAATGTAGTGTTTGCTGGGATGGGGTATAAGCTTTCACTGCTTGCTACATTGGGCTTGTATATTCAGTGCAAAACTAAAAAAAGCAAAATTTAGGCAATTAACTACTCGGCAGAATCCATCCATCCATCTTCTAAACCGCTTATCCTTCTTGGTTGCGGTGGGGTGCTGGAGCCTATCCCAGCTGTCATTGGGCGGAAGGCAGGATACACCCTGGACAGGTCGCCAGTCCATCACAGGGCAGACAGACAGACATACACAATCACATACACTATTCCTGACAGTCTTACCAAAATCCTGAAAGATGATTTACTAATCATAGTAGCTACGCCTAGTGAAAGAATGTTGTTTTTAAAAAGTATCATTATAAAACAAATAGTTCCAGTCCTGATTGGCTGAGTTGCCTTAGAAGCCGTTATTAAAGTTCTTACTATATACACAATCGAGTCTCATTATTGTGACCACTTCCTACTTTCAACGGCGGCAGCGTGTAGCTCATGTCAATGTCCGACGTTGGTTTGAAGAGCATGACCAAGACTTCTAAGTACTACCCTGACTACCCTAATTTCCCAGACTTGAACGCAACTGAGCAAATTAGAGAGAAAATTGGTCAAACAGTTAAAAAGCAAAAAACTGCTCGCTCCTTGCTGCTAGATGCTGATCTAGAAGATAATAAATGCATCTGTGGTGCTAGCTGGAATTAGCAATATAAGCACTAACCTTAAGTGGTAGTCAAACTTTTTTCTTTGTTAAAGGAATAAGTCAGTTGAAGAATTAGCAAGATAGCAAATAAAGATGTAAGCCCACCCCCAAAGCATTTAAATCAAAATTTACTTCACACTATTAAGATACATTATCTGAAAGGGATTTTCCTAGTCTTTAAACCAGGAAATCTCACTTTGCACTACTGCAGCACTGCTGTAAGAGATGAGTATACATGTTTACAATAGCTGTAGTGATTTTTCTCTTTGGCCAGAGTGTCCATTAAGGAAAACTGGAGATTTTGATTATTCGAAAACATTTGCAAACGGCCTATGTTACATGTATGTTCGTTGGAAGACACTATCATCAGAATGACTTACAATCTAATCATATTACTAAGGTAACTAAAGTAGCATTAGGAATCTTGCCCAAGCAGGGACTCAAGCCTCAGTCTGTTTGGTACAGGGTAGCAGTGCTATCCACTACACCATACCAACTGTAAGTTAAGGATGAGAACATCATTCTGGTCTTCAGTATAGTGTAGCAGATAACACCCTTACCCTCTACCCAGCAGCCAGAGGTTTGATTCGCTACACAGGTAAGCCCATCAGGTTGTGCAAATACACATCTTTGAGCAAGGCTCTTAATGCTGCATTAATTTACCTCTGTAACATGATTAGACTGGAAGCCATTCTGGGTGCCTGCTTTAATAGAGGTTAAGTTTTATTCTAAAAATTAGTTTTATTGGCAGCCTAATATTGGACTAACAAACAAATCTAAGTTTGTAAAAACAAATTAACATTAGTAATGACTGCAAAAGCAACTGTTGAGAAAATATATAAATCTTAATGCATTATGTTGTATTAAACTTTTGAGTTCTCTTGACAGTTTTTTTAATAGCAAACAAAGTGTAAACTTCAGCTTCACCTTTAACACCATCATCCCAGAGCAGCTTTACAAAAATTTACTCACTTAATCTGACACTCTTTCTCATGGATCACAGACAGCCAACAAATGGTAGGTGCAGCAAGAGAAGTATGTCACGTTTTTCCCTAATCACTTCAATAATATGTGCTATCCCCCTTAGTCTTCTGCCCATACACAAATGACTGCACCCAAAGCTAGTTGACTGTAGCATAAAAGTTTTCATATGCAACAATGAGTCCATATGCAGATGTGAGGTAGAATTTTGGTCAATCTGGTATAATCTCAATAACCTGGATCTTAACATTTAAAACACAGGAGATGGCTGTACACTTCAGGAAGCAACAACCACCTCACCCTCCACTAGTTTTATATGGTTTAGACACCTAAATAGTTCCTAGGCACTTGGTGAAGAGACCTCCCACAGGTAAAACTGGCCCAATTCTACATATCCCTTATCCATAACTCTTTGGTTAGGTGCTGAAAAAATTGAGTTTAGTCTGCTGTTCATCCAAGACCAATTAAACATATGGGAAAGACCACTACAAACCTCTTTATTGTCAGGTCACATTTGGTGCCTCAGGCTTTGGTTTACACAAAAGCAACTATGAGTAATTATCAAAATGCAACTATGAGATTTCTGGGGCAAATAAGTAGAACAAAATTAGAAATGGCACTTTTCAGTCTGGTGTCCGCTTATTGATACATTTACCCATATTGACTTTCATTTCTTTTATTAGCCAATAGCAACTGAGCAACTGAGGACAGATGATGTTTATGCTCACCCAGTGATCCTGTTCTGTGAGACTGTATTGGCATCCACTTTACAGCTCTTTGTTGTTTCTAGAGAATTTCACTTGACAATAATAGCACTTACAAAATGAATGGGACAGCTCTAGCAGGGCAAGAATTTGGCACACAGACTTGTTGAAAAGGTAGCAGGGAGTATTATGCTACTGTGGAGACTTAATGGCCACAAAGGTTTCTTTAAGTGATGCCACTGAAAAAACTACTTTTGGTTCCCTAAAGAACCACATTTGAAAAGAGTTTTGTAAATGTGTGAACAACCTTTAAGGCATTAAAACTCTTACATAATATCTATTTTTTTATTTTACCAATTTAAATTCCAAGGAGAAGAGCGTTGTGTCTCTCGCCGCACTCAAGAAATTTTTTTCTTCAAAAATAATTTTTTTGGGGCAGTGGTGGGCTGGAGGTTAGGGAACCAGCCTAGTGTGTGTGTGTGTGTGTGTCTCGCTGCACGGATGGGTTAGATTGCGGAGCAACCACAGCAATGTTTATAATTCAGCAACTTTTAAACTTGCTTTACAAAATTATGTTTTGTATTTAGTTATTTGTTATTCAACAGATAACTTATTGATAACATTTCTCATTTTTCCGATTCCATTCAAACTTGGCAAACTTTGGTATTCTTTAGCTCTCTCAAATTAGAGCGGTAGCTCTGTCACAAGCTGTTGCTGTATTTGTATGTGATGCTATGCTAGTTTTATTCTGGTCATTTGTTACCTTTGCAGGGGCCTGTTATGTGTTATATTAAAAGACAAACACTGGTCATTATCTATCCCTTTTCCACTCTTCCACAGATGGAGTGCCTAATCATCAGTGCCTCTCTGGCCCCATAATCCTGCTGGTTTGGAATGAAGGAACCAGTAACACAAAGAATCGTGGGGTGGGATAATGTTATTACCATGTAATGTTGTTTACAGGGATCAATGTAAGCAATCATTTTCAAAAGTCAAAAAAAAAAGCAGAATTAAATAACACTATTTTATCATTTGTTTCAGAAAATAAATAAAAAAAAAGCACAAAACTATAAGGACTAGTGGTTCTTAAAAGAACCTCACACTCTACTGGCAGAATTGTCCTTAAAGGAAATACAAGATAAAAAAGGAAATTCCTAAAGGAAAGACAAGGCGTACATGGATATACATGAAGAGATACTTAAAGCCAGATTCACCAGAACAACAGCGCAACTTCAAAACAAATAAAAAAAAAAAGCAGCACAACAAAAGAACTGAAAAGCTTACACAGCTTTTTGCTTTTTAAGGTTTTGGAAAAGCAAGCAGGTTCTTTAAAAGGTTTACTGATACCTGGGACCACATCACTGGCACACTACCAAAATCAAAAGTTAGTATTTCTGTGCATCAGTGCTGAATACTATTCACTTCCAGAAAATAGCCAGTACATTTCAGATAAATTTTGCAGGACAGAAAACATTCTCCAAAATACACACAAAGGCCATTTATACATACTGCATACGCATTTTGATAAGTGACCCCACCCCATCCCAGTACTTAAAGACGGTCATGAACTCTGAGACACTCAGGTTGTTGTTATAGTATTTATAAACTTTATATTCTCATTTAAACATGTAGTTCTTAAATTTCAATAGTAATTTAAAGTGCAGAAATATTAAACAAAACATTATCGCAAGGCACAATGAAAATGCAATCATTAACAAAATGAGCAAATTTGATCAGCGGTCTAAGAATAACAGCATGCTGTGAAAACAAAATGTAAAAAAAAATTTAAACACTGATAAATATCTAAAAGAAAGCTGAAGTTAGACTGCCACCACTAGGGACTTTTTATTCACTATTTTTGTGAAGGCTAAGCCCTCTCACCAGTTGTTCATTTATATTTAGTGTGAGTAAATTTACTGTGGAGTTTACACTCAAGTTCACATCAATCTTTTCTCTTTAACTTATTTCAGTGTATGTGACAATACATAGTATACATTTATTCACAATAAAAATTCTACTTAATACTTGCAGGTCTGTCTTAAATCTATCAAAATCACTTAGTCTGCTAATGATTATTCCTATAATGCTTGTAGTCCTCTTCAGCCCAGATAATGAAAAAATAAGCTTGATGCTTAAGCCTTAGGTACAAGGACACTATAAACTCTCTGGTCAGTGGCTACTACTTTAAAGAAGCTTCCAAAAAGCACTGATGGACTGTTCCTGGTGTTTATTCACTTCATGTTTAGTGCATGTTTTTCTCAGCAGTAGTGTTTCCATTCCTGCCTTCCAGTAGTTGCCAGTAAAGCTGCAGTAAGGGCAGATTCTGCTTATAACCACGTCCGTTTCTGCATCTGGTTAGGTCACAGGAGCCGGGAGGCCACTGCGATGAATAGCAGTGTTTTCCAACAGCACTCCAGACACATGAAACCTACATTATAGAAGATAAATCTGGTGAGTTTCATGTGCTGCATAAGATGTTATAATTCTTATAAAGCCACAAAGGTAGATGGATGTGATTGTTAATTTGGTATGTAATTGAAAATTCTACTCTACCATTTTCAGGTGTCGTGTGCTTGGATTCTGCATCTGCATTGGAGAGAGAGAAAAGTAACTAAAACTACTAGAAACTCCAAAACAAAATAACATAATTTTACAGATTTCTTGAAGATTTTTACAGTTATGAGCCTGTACAGGTCTTATAACAGACAGAACACCAGTGATGGTCAGTTAGAGTTTTTAGAATGGCCTCTATTTATAATTATTGCTGATAAGGAGTCTCAAAAGAAGATGTTTACCAGCATGACCTTTTGACTTTGATACAAAGTACAGACAGTGAGGTTACCTGTATCATTTAGCATAAAACACAGGAGTTTTCTGTTCAACTTGTGTTCTGTTAAAGTCATATTACTGCAATAAATTTTCTCTCTTCTTTGTTTAATTATATGACTTTAAAAAGTAATCATATTACATTGTTTTAATATAGTAATCCTTTAGGTTAGCTCAGACTAGGTTATAGATTACAATTTTTAACAGGTAATCAGTGATCAGTATCAGAATACATTTTTAAAGTAACCCTCCCAACCTTGATCAACTATCTATTACAAACACAATTCTAAATAAAAGCTGCAACTGGGGCAATTTAAGACGAGGAACATGGTCAAATCCGTTAATAATCCGACTAATAGCTCAATTGGAATAGAATACGTCTATGTGTACACTTCAATCAGAATAGTCTAATCCGATTGAGGCCATTCAGAATACAATTTCTATCCGATGAAACGAGGTGGGTAATCCTGTAAATAATCTGTTAAACAGAAGAATAATAGCCATGTAAATGTTTGTATCCGATTACATTTCCAATCAACTTCCAATAAAGACGAAGTTCTTTAAAAAAACTTTAAAAGACGTTGGTCGGATAGGCATCCAGCTTATGTGTCTCAGAACATGATGTCTTCCTCTCACCCTTCTTTAATAAGTACACGTGAGGTACATTTTTTTGAGTCTGACATATTTTTAAAGCAATTAAAAACACAAGTGTGCCAACTTAAAACTCATCTCACTCTGACTGGACCTCACTTGAGGTTCGCTGTCATGGTAATGTTTACTCTAAGTGGTACTCCACGCACGCACGTCATTTTGGACTGGATTACTTGTAGTGCGAATGTAAACGAAGATTCTCCATCAGATTGTTGAACAGAGTGTGCATATAAACACGTCAGTCTTAATCTGTAATCGGAATGTATTCAATCGGATTGGGAAAAATCTTTGCGTGTAAACATAGCCAATGGGCATCATTTACCAGTATCTTATTTTAAGTTGTCTCTTAAATTTGTTCTTGAGAAAAGTCCTAAGAAAAAGTCTACGTCAGATTAATGACATGTTCTTAAACCGCAGAATTGTTTGCACCTTAAATGTATAAATGTATATAGATTTGAAAGTTCATGGAACCACAATTAAGTAGCCCTGTGCAGGTGTGCCATGCAGGATTTCTCTCAGACTAATGATAAGGAAGGTAAGGAACCAAGCAGTCACTCGAAAAGAACTGAAGGACGACCTGGAAGCAGCAGGAACAACAGCTTCTCAACTAAAAAAAGGAGCACATCTAAAGCACCTCTAAAATTTGCACACAAGCATTTGGACAATTCAGAACTGTTTTGGAACAAAACTCTAGTCAGACATAAACAAAAAAGAACTCTTTGGCAATAATTCATATTTGGAGACAGAAGATGTGCATATGATCCCAAGAACACCAAACCCACAGTTACAAAGGTGGGTATCATGTTATAGGGCTGCTTTTCTGCAAACAGTACTGGGACATTACAAGTCATAGCATGAATGGAGCAATGTACTGGGAGATATGTACTAGAGGACAATCTCATTTCTTTGGCCAAGAAAGGAGAGGAGTTGGACAATTCAACAAGAGTTTTGGTTGCAAGATATAGTGTAAGTTTCATAAACAAATATAAACAGATAAGCAACAGCACATTTCCACTGCACTTTCTATAGATATCCATGGTGTCTATCTCCTGCACTAGTCTAGTGCAGTTACCTTTCCTGGGCTTTACTTACTGAAGATGGTGAAGGTGGTCTCCATGCCTGCATGGATGTGGTCTGTCACATGACAGTGGAGGAGCCATGTTCCAGGAGTTCCTGCTACCAGTTCCACAGTCTGAAAGGTTCCAGGGAACAAGTCATATACATCAGCTCTGTGGGCGTGGTCCATCTGAAAGAGGAAGAAAAAGAGAAAGTGGAAGATGAGAGAGATGTTTTTGTCTGAATGTAAGAGTACATGCCTATATGAAGGAATGCGTACCTTGTATACGAAGCTCTGAGCATGGAAGTGTACTGTGTGCAGATCTATTTCATTCCCCAGTCCTATTAGATACCACTCAGTGCGATCTCCTTTCTTCATATTCAAACCATGCAGGTTAGCGTAGAGCTTTCCATTAATGCCTGATCACCACAGGAGGAAATAGAACATAAATCAGTACAAAGTGCTACCAGTGTACTTGTACAAATAATAATAACAATAATAATAATAATAATAATAATAATAATAATAATAATAATAATAATAATTTCAGTTTAGAGAGCACCTTTCATAAATTTAAGGATGCTTTACAATGAGAAGACTTGGAGGAAGAAGAATAGTGTGCAGTAAAGAGGAATGTCTTAAGTTGGGCTGTAAAGAAAGCGAGGGTAGAGCAGTCACAAAGAGATTTTAGGAGAGAGTTTCAAAGTTTAGGGGCAGTGGCACTGAAAGACCTGCCACCAACTGATGACTTTTGTGTTTGGGAGTGCACCAGTGCCTGAAGATCTGAGGGCGCAAGAGGAGTATGTAGGGGTGAGACTATGAAAGCCTTTGAAAGATAGCAGGAGAGGTTTACTACTTCATACGGGAGGATACTGTTAACCAGTGAAGCTGATGGAGGATGAGGATGATGTGTACAAAGTGCTTGATTAAAGTTTTCACAAAAAAACCCACGGAAATATGGGAGGCAAATCCACCCAAAAAACAAATTAAAATTAAAACAATAAAATGTAAACGCAAACCTCTTTTTGCCATGGAAATGAAATACCTACATTTGCAGTTTCATTTTTCACATAAAAGCATGTGTCATTTGTGACAAAAATAAATTTAAAACAGCTATTTATCATTTTATTTTAGTCATTATTCTGGTATTTTATGACCATATCTGAAATCCAAAAGCTAATAGAGAAAAGAAAATCCAAGACTCAGTTTGGCTTTGCCTTCATGAAATGCAGAATGCGTGTCAAAACTAAAATCAAAATGCAATGTTAATGTTTGCATTTCTATTTCATAGCAATAGGCTGCATATCTGACAAAATGAAAAATGCAAAATGGATAAATCAACAGCAAAGTGACAGTCAGTTTTCGGTGTGGACGTGCTTTAAGTGTCAGAACGGCGGAAACGAACACAGGCGCCATCTGGTGGTGATTTACGTTTCATTTCCCACTTTGCTTTTTCCTTTTCAAGGTGACCAACATGCAAATATATGTTAATTAACAGTAGGCAGGGCTATGAGGTACATTTTAGGACATCCTCAGACCTCAGACCCAAGTGAGGCTTGGATTTTTTCTCTATTAGCTTTTCCATTTCAGATAAGGCCATGAAATACCAGAATAATGACTGAAATGAAATGATCAATAGCTGTTTTAAATTTATTTTTATTTTTGTCACAAATGACTCATGCTTATTTGAAAAATTAAATTGCAAATGTAGGTATTTAATTTCATTCTCAATTTTGGCAGGATATTTGCGCAGATGTTTGGAAAAAGAAGTGGCAAAAAGAGGTTTGCATTTACACTTTATTGTTTGAATTTTAATTTCTTTTTGGCTGTATTTGCCTCCCATACTGAAATGGGAGTTGCAATAATCAATTTGGAAAGTGAAAGCCAAAGGGGTCCAAACTATCGTTTGCTGTACTTTTTTTAGTGTTGAGAGTGTTAAGGGCTTTAGCTACTAAGCGAGGAGAGAAAAAGTGAATTGTAAAGAGAAGTAGTAAGGGGTGTGTCTATTTCATTGAGAAGCACGTCCATATTAGTATTATCCAATAAATGTCCAGCACCTGCAAAGTTAGTGTTAAATATTTGGTATATATAGAGTATTATATATACAGAAATCTATATAGTTTGGAACAGACACTGATTTCTTTTTGAGCAAATGAACTGTCTTCCAGAATTTGAAGTTTGAAGAGTTTGAAGCTGAATTTGAAAAAACTCAAGGTAAAATTCTGCTTTAGCATTTCTGATGTAGGATGTACATTTATTTCTTAGCTGCCTGAAGGGATTTCAGAAGCGTAATGAGTATCACTCAACGGCAAGTAATTTAAAAAGGACTGGTCATTAAAATTTTAAAGTTTCTTCTAACCACCTTCCGACCGCTTGACTTTATTATGCTAGTGTTTCTTATGCATCCCATAGGGCAGTGCTCACTAAAACCAAAGTCATATACATCTACAGAAGTAATTTTTTAGATCTGTCAGATAAGATGCAATCTTTTAGTGCTGACTTGGTGGGGTCAAGCAAATTTGGTCATGTTGGGTATGTAATTAGTTGCATTAGAGATTTATACACACTTCCTTCAAGTGATCAGATGCATGAGTTAACCAATTTACATTAAAAACATGTAGGATCAGCATTTCTGAGTTGATGTATGGATTTAAACGTTCAGCTAAATCATCAAAAGCATAAGAGTGCCCGGACATAGGTCTGTAAATCCCAGCTACCAAAAACCTGTTATGGTGTCCTGTGCTCACATTTAAGACTAAAAACCCAAAACATTTTACTCTGGATAATGCATTAAGACTTTTTTGAATGTAAACAGCCACTCCCCCAAACGATGCTTTCCTATTAACTTTGTTTTGTTTCCAATACTACTGCATTAGACACAGACTGTTTTAACCAGTATTCAGTCACAACTACAATATCTGTATCAGCTAGTGAAATCAAACTGGTCAGATTATCCAATTTATCATAAAGAAGGCTTCTAATGTTTAAATGGATAAAGCCTATGGCTTCTCTGTGTTTGAAAGTAATAGGCTCTATTAATAATTTTGTAGCAAGCATAGGTTTTGGGGTCTTTGAGGCAGTTTGGGAGCAAAAGGGTTACCGGGATGGCTTAAAATGATGAGATTAGCTGGGTTAATAAAAAAGTTACCAGTTTATTCCCATGTTTGAGTGGATGATCCTAGGTTGTTTGCTAGTGATTACAGGAATAGCTAAGTACTCATTTCTAATTTCAGGTAGTCATTCATCAAAGATTTCAAATGGGCATGCGTATTTAAGCTGTTTAATTTACTTTCCGGATATGTCATCCATATCAAAGGAAAACAAAACCACTCAAACCAAAAGCCAATTGTCCAAATCAAAATAATTAATTACTGTATGCTTTTCTGGAGATCCAATAAAACTGGGAAATTCAAAGAGCCCAGGGAAAGAGAGTAAAACAAAACACAATTGTCAGTACGTCATCACACGGTGCCTGGCCCCTCTGTAACTTATCTTTCTCTGGTATACATATAATGCCATTTGGATTCTTCCTTTTTTTAACACACATATGCATGCACACAAGCAGATTACCGTGCATCAAGTTGCTTTCCATAAACTGTTCATCATCTGCATTGAAAGTCTTAGGGTCTTTTTGCAGGTAAGTTCTGATGTTCTCCTCCAGGTACCAGGACTCATTCTCATCAAACACCATGAAGAGCAGAGCAAAGTCTTTATCTACATCCCTTCGCCGGTTGTCCTTTGTCAGAATCCCTTCACGACATACCACCAAAGGCCCAACCAAACCACTTGCCAAGTCCTGTTGCAGCGCACAATACACGTACACACAACCATAACACAAAACACAATTTTACCACAATCCAAAAGACATACAAACACAAAGCCATAGAAGCATATGGAGTGAATGCATATCAAACTGCCTTCAAAACAGTCCAGCACAGTTTGGTGATTTCCCTGCTCCAACGCAGGAAAAAACCTGGTAACTGCCAAGTTGGATTTTGTGTGTTTGAACAGGCAAAAAAAGCTGTGCTGGTATACAGCCCTACAAGACTTGAGTTCCCCACCCTCAATGGCCTGCTTTCACTTTGTATGCCACAAACTCTGCACTGTGCATCGGTAGGAATATTCAAAAATGTTAAAAAAAAAAATCACTATTATAGACTTGTGCAAAAGAATGGGCACTTCTGGTCAAATCCATGCTTTATTTTTCCAATATGTTAAAGTTAGCAAATAAAAAAAAAGCTAGAAAATGCTATATTAAATTCGCTATAGGGGACAGTTTAACTTATTTTCACTTACAAAATCAACATGTTATTTGATTGTGGGTGTTAAAACCTGTGCATACATTTGTATGTACCCAAAACCAAAGTCAGCATGCTCCCATCATGGTGCTAAAACTATACCTTGACAAAGTTAGCTGATGAGTAGTAGGCAAAGGTTATGCAGTTGGGCTCAGCTAGACCAGGACCGGCACTGACAGTCCAATTATATCTCATCACTTCACCTAGAATAAACACACACACATACCCAAGACACACACACACACACACACACACACACACACACACACTCTTCAGTATGTGAGACAGGTGTTATACTAAGGCACCATTCATATTACTACAACTCCATTTCCAAAAAAAGTTGGTCACAACTAATGAGGTTAACTGGCCAGTGACATGATTGGGTACAAAAAAGAGCATCCCACAGAGGTTGAGTCTTATAGAAGCAAAGATAGGAAGGTGTTTACCATTTGTGAAAGACTGTTTGGGCAAATAGTGCAGCAATTCAAGAATAATGTTTCTCAACGTAAAATAGCAAAGAACTTGGGGATTTAAACATCTACGGTATATTAAAAGATTCAGAGAATCCAGTGAAATCAGGGACAATTCCATAAACCATTGTCTGTGAACACAGTTCATCACTGCGTCCTCAAAAGCAAGTTAAAACTCTACCACGCAAAGAAGAAACCACATATAAACAGAAACCAGAATCATGACCGCCTAAGCTTGTTTAAGATGGACTGAGGTGAAGTGAAAAAAAGTGTCCTGTGGCCTGATTAATCAAAATTTGAAATTCTTTTTGGAAATCATGGACACCGCATCCTTTGGGCTAAAAAGGAGAGGGACCATCCGGCTTGTTATAAGCACACAGTTCAAAAACCAGCATCTCTGTTGGTATGGGGTGCATTAGCGCACATGGTAAGGGTGATTTGTACTGTGAAGGCACCATTAATGCATTATTACAAGCACGTCTCCATATTAAGAGTCCAGGTGCTAAACTGGCCTGCCGGCAGTCCAGACCTGTCGCCCACTGAAAACATCTGCTGCATTATAAAACAAAAAACATGACAAAGGAGACCCTGAACAGTTGCTAGAATGGGAAAATATTTCATATTAAAAACTACATCAATTGATCACCTCAGTTCCCAAACACTTACAGAGTGTTGTTAAGAACTGATGCAACACAGTGCTAAACATGCCCTTGTCCCAACTTTTTTGAAATGTGTTGATGGCATCAAATTCAAAATAGGCATATATTTTTCAAAAAATAACAAGATTTCTCAGTTTCAACATTTGATATGTTGTCTTTGTACTATTTTCAGTTAAATATAGGGTTTAAATCATTTGCACATCATTGCATTCTTTTATTTACATTTTACAGACCATCCCAACTTTTTTGGAAACAGAGTTCTAGATTGAAGTGGCACAAATTCATTTTTTTGCCCTAAAGGAATAATTTGGCAAAAAATCAAATTGACAGTTTTCCACTTCCTCAGAGATACACAGCCAATTCCCAAAAAGCCGGGACAGTATATGAAATACCACCAAAAACACAAAGTAGGGATTAGTAAATTCTGTTTGATCTGTGTTCAACTGAAAACAGAACAAAAACATGATATTTGATGCCTGCAACACCTTCCAAAAGAATTGGGACAGGAGCCTGTTGATCATTCTTACATCATCTTTCCTTTAAACAGAGCTTAATAATCATTTGGGGACTGAAGACACATACCAATCCAGTTTTGAAAGCAGAATTGTTTTGCCATTCTTCAGTTATACGTGTCTTCAGTTGTGCATATGTATGGAGCCTTCTTTGTCATATTTTGCACTTCATAATGTACCAAACGTTTTCAACAGGAGACCAGTCCTAGCACCCGCACTCTCTGACGCTTAGTCATGCTGATGTAACTTGCACAATGCGGCATGGTGTTGACATCACTGAAATTGAAAGCGTCTTAAAACATATGTTGCTTCAAAATGTGTATGTATCTTTCAGTGTTAATGGTGTTTTCACAGATGTCCAAGATACCATCCCAGACCATGACTCTGGCTGTTAAACTTTATGTTGATAACAATTCTGTTCTTCTTTGGTCCAGAGAATATGATGCCCATTTTTTCCACAAGCAAACTGAAAGGCTGTCATCAGACCACATTTTTCACTGTGCATCAGTGCACTCTGGATGTTGTTCGTCCACTGTGCAAAGTAGTGTTAACATACATTGTGGATGCAGCAACAAACAGTATTTATTGACAACGATGTGTCACATGCCTTGCCCTTTATGCCCTTTCGACTCTTTTGATGATATTATGGACTGTAGAGGGTAAAATACCTAAAATCCTTGCAAACACTCATTGAGAAACGATGTTCTTCAACAGTGGGACTATTTGCTGATGCATTTTTAGGCAACGTTGCAGGTCTCCCTCAATCCATCTTCACTCATAAAGGACTAGGCCTTTCCAGGGTGCTCCTTTATTACCCAAACATGATTACATCACCTCTTTCATGTCTTCTGAACATTCAAAAGCGTTTCTTAAAATGCCCCGTCTACCTTTTTAGAACATGTTGCAGGCATCAATTTCAGAATGAGTGTTTATTTACAAAAAAACAATGAAGTTGATAAGATAAAACATTAAATCTTGTCATTGTGCTGCTTTCATTTAAATACAGGTCAAAGTGGATTTCTGTTTTTATTGGCATTTCACATAATGTCCCATTTCTTTTGGAATTGGTTTTGTAGTCAATCAACCAAGATATGTTTCCTGTTCAAATTTGGCTTCTTTAGTTTAGCGTTGGAGCTAATGCAGCTAACAAACCCTATAAGTCAACAGTCACCCAAATCTTTTTTTTTTTTTTTAAATCTTTTTAGATATTTTTGTCGAACTATTCCTTTAATGTGACACAAATCTGTTTTTTAAGAGCTGTGTGAATGCAAAAATATCATATATGTCAAGTCAGATCTGAACCACTTATATATATATTGTAGCTTCCCAACAAAATGTATTTCCATTTTTTTCCAATTGCTTTTTTCTACATTGTTTGAGCACATAAGTTGCCCTTTACATACTCTGAAAATTTCATGGTGAATTGAGTAACTAAAATGTTCCAAAATTGCTTGTAATAAAATATTTTTTCATTCCCTTACATGAAAAGTAAAGAACATTATTCTTTACTTTTCATGTAAGTAAAGAATAATGTTCTTTACTTTTCATGTAAGAATTTATTCTCTGGATAACGATGATGTGTTCCTAGATTGGATACATATCCGATTCAGGGCCATGCTTCTGTAATGACAATGGCCAGATTGGATTTCATGTTTTTTTCAGCACCATTAGTTTGCACGTATTACTGTTATCATCTAGTGTTGGAAGCTTGGCAGCGGTGGATAATGTGAAGTTATCACCAAAACCATAATGCATCTGGCCATTTTTCTGCTTATCCCCTAATCATGCACAGCTGATGAGTATCTTCATTTGTTGTACATTAGAAATAACGCTTGTAATGTGAGTGAAGACCAACTTGCCCCAAAATATAAAAACTCACTTCATAATGTTGTTACATTAGATGGAGCACTGTTTTGTATACCTTGGGAAACAGGTGTCAGGTGAGCCTCGCTGGTCTTCACACCATGAGCATGAACTGAGAATGATCCATTAGCTTTGTTCTTGAACACTACCTGAATCCTCTCACCAACCTCCATTCTGAGGATGGGACCTGTACAATAAACAAATACATAATCAAACACAAATGTGAATGTACAAATAGAACTGAAATAATTTTACAATGACACTGCACTGCAGTTGCAAATGTCACCAATCTTCAGTGATATTCCTATCAATACAGAGTTTCACCAATCTCCCTCGTTGGGGCACAACCTGACGCATTTTGTTTTTTGCTTAATAATTTTAAATGTATTTGATCAAGATTAATGTTGGTATGCAAGTAGCCTATACATCTCTGCTACAAATGAAAACAATGAATGAAAACTGAATGAAAATTTTGTTTCCAGTACCTGCCGTTTATAAAGATTGAAGCTAAATGCGGAGTGCATGGAAAACAAAAATTATATTTCATCAAAATAAATAGGAGTAGTGAAAAGGTGCTGTGTTAAATGTGGTAAATGTATTTTTTATGGACTACTTTTATCTCTTATCTTAGGAGTCCTATTTGTAACACAGCATTACAACTAACCATGCCATGTGGAGGCTGCACATCAGCTTGGCTAGCTCTTACTGTGATTTGTACATGTACATGCTTCAAATAGTGCTGTATGACAGCCAACAAATTGGTAATAAAAAAAGTGGGTGTGAATTCTTTGACTTATACCCTCACCTCAGTAATCTAAACATACTTTCAGAACAGCTTTCAGAGTGAATCAAGAAATACATTACATGGGCAAAAGTATTAAGACACACCTCTTCATCGCTGAATGCAGGTGTTTTTTAATTCAGTCCCTTTGCCACAGGTGTATAAATCAATCACCCAGCCATGAAGTCTGCCATTACAAACATTTGTGAAAGAATGAATTGGTACTGTAATGGTACTGTAATAGGATGCCACCGTTGCAACACCTCACTTCACGAAATTTCTTCCCTCCTAGATAGGAACCAAAGCAATTCATCCACAAAGTGGCAAACCACGTAAAATTACGGAGCGGATCGCCGAGCGCAGAGGCGCACTGTGCATAAAAGTCACCAACAACTGCAGATTTCCAAACCACCTCTGGCATTAACATCAGCACAAAAACTGTGTGCTGGGACACAATATTGGTTTCAATGGCTGAGCAGCTGCCTGCAAGCCTTACATCATAAGCACAATGGCAAGCATCGGATGGAGTGGTGTACAGCACACTGCCAATCGACTCTGGAACAGTGGAAACATATTCTGTGGAGTGACGATTCACTCTTCTCTATCTGGCAGTCTGATGGATTGGTCCGGGTTTGGCGAATGCCAGAAGAATGTTACCTGCCTGACTGCACTGTAAAGTTTGGTGAAGACGGGACAATGCTAAGGTATTATTTTTCAGGGGTTGGCCTAGACCCCTCAAGGAAAAATTTAATGCATTAGCATACTAATTGGACAAATTGTTTGATTCCAACTTTGTGGGAACAGTTTGGGGAAGGCCCTTTTCTGTTACAGCATGACTGCCCCAGTGCAAAAAAGCAAGGCATACAATGGCATGGTTGGCTGAGTTCGATGTTCGAGACAACTGCTTGGGCAATGTGAGGCGTTGACACATGTTTACTTGGTGGTATCAATTCACAACTGACAATCCTGCAGAAAATAAAGCCTGAACTACTCTGATGGTAATTTTCCCGGTAAGAAGCTGAACTGGATTAAATTATGTATTACACATGTTTGATTCCACATACAATGCACATACACACAGACAAATTAACCATAAATGCTGCTGTAGGAGTACAGAGGGAAAAAAAGACTTGCTAGAGATGGAGGTCAGATTTGGCTTTTTAACTGGCACTGTACTTAAAACTGCCTCTTTTTCCTATGTCAAATTCGATGTTTGGCGAATCTTCCACTTGTGTATGGAAAACAGGTTTAGCTTGCAGTCCAAATATGTGAAGAATAATTTGACATGTTGCACTTCTTTAGCAACTTAATATTATTTTTCAATTTACAATGGAATTTACAAGTGAGAAAAACATTTTACTAGTAAAAGTACATTTAAGCAGTTGATATTTAATATTTAACTTTCACACATGCAAATCAAATTCCTGATATCAAGAATTAAATATTTGCTAGTTGAAATTCAAATTTCATTGTGTACATTGAATTTCTGAGATCAAGAAAAAATGAAAAATAAGGCAAAAATGGCTTGCCATAGTAATGAGTATTTCAGCATGTTAATTTGAGTTTTAATTGTAATAAAAAAAAATGTTAAACTTTAAATTACATTAGTAACAGTTATTATAGTTACACAGTTCACAGTTCACAGATGTGCCAGTGACCCATGCCATGTGCACGAATGCACCCCATATACCATGATGAATACTGGCTTTTGAACTGTGCACTGATAACAAGCTGAGTGGTCTTTAGTCCAGAGGACACAGTGTCCATAATTTCCAAAAAGGATTTCAATTGTTGATTCATCGGACCACAGGACACTTCTCCCCTTCCCCTCAGCCCATTTTAAATGAGCTCAAGCCCAGAGAAGGTGGCGGCGTTCTTCTTTGCGTTTTAGAGTCTCAATTAGCATTTGTGGATCCAATGCCGAACTGTTTTCATAGACAGTGGTTTTCAGAAGTTTTTCTGAGCCGATGCAGTGATTTCCATTACAGAATCGTGTATGTTTTTAATGCAGTGCCATCTGAGGGCCCAAAGATCACAACCAGCAAACAATGGTTTTTGGCTTTGTCCCTTGCATACAGAGATTTCTCCAGATTCTCTGAATCTTTTAATGTCATTTTGTACTGTAGATGATGAAAAGCAAACTTTCTTTGCTATTTTACATTGAGAAATGTTATTCTTGAATTACTGCACTATTTGATCATGCAGTCTTTCACAGTGTGGTGAACCCTCCTCATCTTTACTTCTGAAAGACTCAGCCTTTCTGGAAGGCTCATTTTATACCCATTCATGTTGCCAATTAACCAACAGGTTATTTTTTAAGCATTACACAACTTTACCAGCCATTTGTTGCCCCGGTCCCAACTTTTTTGGAACATGTTGTTGGCATCAAATTCAAAATAGGCATATATATTTTTAAAAAACAATAAAATTTCTCAGTTTCAACAAATATAGGGCTTAAATCATTTGCACATTGCATTTTGTTTTCATTTACATTTTTCACAGCATCCCAACTTTTTGGAAATGGGGTTGTATAATGAATAGGAAAAAGGCTTGAATTAGTAAGATTCTTATTATGGTTATTATTATATCTGACAAAGAAAGTTTGTTTCTTGAATGAGTTAACAGCATCTTTGCCAAAATCTTTACTATATACATATATATATATATATATATATACATACATATATATATATATATATATATATATATATATATATATATATATATATATAGTAATTTTAATTAATTATTGACCCACAAAAATGTAATAAGGGGGTAAAAAATGAAACAGTTTAAATTAAACAATGGATCAGTGAATATTAGTCTAGTTACTGGCCACTTACATATCAATTTCTAGCTTTCTACTAGGCAGGGAGTGTCATTCCTGCACTTCCCCTGAGTTACATAACCAAAGCAGTATTGCTACAACCCATGCTCACAATGTAAGGTTTATCTCTCTGCTTATTTGCATGCTGACTCTACCATTAGCTTTTGAATTTTGCACTTTCTATATTTTGAATTTGTTTTCATTGTTCTTAATGCATACTTATTCCCAGTTCTCAGTAATGCCGGATTTCAGAACGTCTTTGACACATTCTTCCTGTTTTCGTAATGGTGCACCATTTTCTGAAGGTACACTTTGTTTTGTCTGTGAGCTGTCAGTCATACAGTCAAGTTCATATTTACAAGTAAAATATGTGAAAATTATCAGTCAAGCTTAGGCCTCATTGTAGAACAGACACAGACTTACTGAAAATAAATTATCTTTAACTCTTCTTTGACAACTCATCAGCTTCCACTAAATGACAGTGACACTCAGATGATGAATATCAACTTAACAAGTCTGAAGACTTTAAAGCTTGGACATTGAGCAACTTCCTCCTATTCAAATAAGACAAAACACAGATCTCTCTGCTTGGCCCAAAACCAGTTAGAAGGTAGTTCTTCTTTTGAGTCTTGGTTTCTGCCTCTTTCTCACAGGGAGGTTTTTCTTGCCACTGAGGTCCTGCTCATTACGAACATGGAGATTTCTGTAAAACTGCTTTGTGATGTCTTGCTGTAAAAAGTGCTATGCAAATAAATTTTAACTGAACAGAAAAAACTGTATGAATTCATTGTTTCTAATTGTAATTTGTCTTTCAGGGCACATGCTACAACACTGGAACAGACTACTAAATCCATAAAAATACTGCTAAGTGCACTATTCTTAAATGCTGCAGATCAACAAGTTAAATGCATTTAATTTTTCCTGGTTGGGCTCCTGTAATACCTGCTATGAAGATGTTCCAATAAAAGCCTAAACAAGCTTCAGGTAGGTGGTCCAGTAAGTCTAGAAGGCAGCAGTCATTCTTATACAAAAAGCATATTATTCTTGTATTGTCAACATTACACTAGTTGCCACTCAAATGCTGTACTGATAACAAAATATTGCTATTGACTGAAAGCTTTAAATGACCTTTAGGGCAGTATCTGAGTGAACCCGTGACCTATTATGAGCTGCAACAAATTTATTTCACTATCTGTAAGAATGCAAAGAGTGTTTTCTAGTTTTCTATCTGATAAGACAAATCCCAGATAACCCACTTGTATGCCTCCTCCCTTAGTGACCATAAAACATGTTACATCAGGAAAAAAAAGAGCTATTATGATTAAGTAGGTTGGACACAACCCTTTTTTTCAAAAAGATAAATGAATCTTTTAAAAGACCTAATGTCTTTGGAGAAGCAAATATTTTACCTTAAGGGTAAAACAGAAGTGTTGAAAAAGATATGAGAACAACATCTTAAGTGTATAGGATTTAGGGAGAATCTTGGAGGGTATCCTTGATGATGGGGTCCTATAATAATTCTTAACAGTTATGTATTCTCGAGTGAGAAACATATACTGCTTTTAAAAGTAAATTGCATTAGATTCACATATTTTTGTACCTTTCTCCCTCTTTCCTCTTTGTGAAGCTAGAGCCTTGAAACTTGGTATAAAAAGATTCAATGAAGGCTGAAAAGAACTGAAAGCACTTTTCAAACACAACTTACTTAACCCTGCTATACTTTTTTCACCTTGTCACCATCCCACAACCATCAAATTTGACTGAAAGATTCAGCTGATTTGCGTAAGCATAGCGCTCTCATAATGGGCTTTAGTAAGTCTGTGCAGAAAAAATCTCTCTGTAGATTTTTACATTTTAGTGGACATTAGTGAGCACTAATGATCATGCCCTCATGCTCTGGCATATTAAACATGCAACTTCTGAACAGATGGATGGAAACAGCATAATCTGGATTCAGACATTAGTGGAATGCACCATTCAGGAGCCCCATTATACATGCTCTAATGACTACAGCTATGCTGAAACTTCAGAGGTCATAGATCTATGTTTATGCTGTACCCAGAATTCCTAAATGCTCTTCATCAGGACCCCTGACCATCCTGTTTGCGAAGGTATCATCTGTGTACTGGCGGAACACCACCTTCTTGTATTCAGGGCCAATCAGACTTTCTGATTTGCTGAGGTAAACACTTCCAGGACTGAAAGAGAGAGACAGACATGATCAAACATTTTAATATTTTAATTCAGTACTTAAGAACAACATGTGTATGTCTGTTTCCAGGGTGTGTATGTGTGGAGATCTTTGTACCTTAAAAACTGACACTGACCTCTCCTCCAAAGCAGCATTATGTGTCTCCAACTCCCATGTCCGGTTTGGGGCATAGTTCCACACCACTTCTTCTGCAGCTAAATAGAACATCCTATCAGGCCGAGAGGTCGTGACTTTGGACATGGGGTTCTGGCTCTGTGAGCATTGCTTGACTGTGTATATATGACGCATGCCCCCACGATGGTGATCAGTTGTAAGACAGCTCAGCTCAAAAGTACCTGGGGCCAAAGAACAAAGGGCATAAAAGATTAGGGTATCTAAAGCATAGATATACATCAGTGTTCACCAAACCTCCCCCTAGAGACCTACTTTTCTGCAGTGTTTAGACCTGCATCTAACATGCTGCCCCACCCCCTTACCTGACATTAATGCAGCTGACCCAATCAATCAAGAAGTTCCATGTTATTGTTAATTAGCTAGAGCAGGTATGGCAGACTGTGGTTTGTACTAGACCAGTGGTCACCATCCTTCCAACCCCCTGGAGAGATTAGTTCCAACCTGCATCTATAATATTGCAAAAAGGGATTATATATACATCGCTGCTGTCGAATCAAAACCTCGTATCTTCAAAATGGTAACTTTACAGGAGAAGGCAAAAACATACTTTACTTTTAATGTAAGTCAATGGAACCAGACTTTTTTCCACGTAATTTTGGGCCATTTAAACACAATGTAAAGGGCAACAGAAATTTTCAAATTATGTCAAAAACTGAAAATCGACAGAAATGATATGAGGTTTTGTTCCAACAACAGCGATATATATATATATATATACACACACCCCCCAGTCAGGCATAACATTATGACCACCTCCTTGTTTCTACGCTCATAAGCATTTATTATAAGCTACAATTACAGACTGTAGTCTATCTGTTTCTCTGTATACTTTGTTAGCCCCCTTTTACCCTGTTCTTCAGTGGTCAGTACCCCCATGCACCCTCACAGAGCAGGTACTATTTGGTGGATCATTCTCAGCACTGCAGTAAGTCTGACATGGTGGTGGTGTGTTAGTGTGTGTTATGCTGGTACGAGTGGATCAGACACAGCAGTGTTGCTGGTGTTTTTTAACATCAGGTGCACACCAAATTTTTTTTGTGCTGCTCCAGACAGGTAACCAGCATATTCACAGTTATGAAATAGAAATAGTATCAACTGACAGCAATGTGTGCAACCTGAACACCTTTTTTATGTATTTTTAGTTTATTTTCGTTTAGTTATAGCACTCAATTGGTACACAGATGTAAGCAAATTGTCAAAATACAGAAATCTGCATTGCATTTTGTGATCATTTTCTTTAACACTCTTATCAAGCTCTATCACTGGAGTGTAAACACGCTTGTATTTACAATTTGTGTGCATTTTTAAGACAGCTAGATTAACATTAATGCTCAGTTTTTTAAAACCTAGATCATAAACATTTGATCTACTGTCTCTCTGTTCCAGAGAGATCCCATCACTGCATGTAAGCATCAGATAAATGTAAATCTAAATATTAATTCACTCAGGCATGTCTTATGGCTGTATTAGCTTCCTTATTTAAATTTTGACAGGTCTTGTGCAGCTGTCTTTTGAAAACAGAGGTGCATTACAAATATAATGCCATGTACATCGTATGTTTAAACAATCAGAAACATGCAAAAATGTCTATGGATTATAAGCAAATTATGGGCAATTTAATCATGAAAACCTGTATATGCATACATGAGCATTTGTTTATGTGTCTTGACTGCTCCAAGATGGACGCATAGATGTATGGCCACGACTGAGAGCACAAAAAAAAAAAAGTTCAAAACTTAAAAAAAAAATTTTGCATGAACCACTCCATGTGAAAGAAAACCTAAACAAGCTTTTTCACATTCTAGTCTAGAGGTGCTCCAGACAGATAATATATGAAAAAAGTACTGGCAAACAATTAGCTTGGTGAAACAAAAAACTTGGGGAGATAACTGGTTGACAACTAGCATGCTAATGCTAAGTATTTTTTTCAATCTTGTCTCTGAAGGAAAAGCTAAAAACACTGATTTAAACAGCTGCAAAGCTCACCTAGTTAGCCCTTCAGCAAGCAATGCTAGGCTAGTCAGCGCTAGCAGCTGCAAACGTAAACAGTGGTACAGGTTTGTTGAACAAATACATTTACCCAATATATTTCTATACTCATTTCCAAAATATATGTTTATACACACGGTACAGGACCCCAATTGTGTGATTCCCATGTCACAGAGTGGCCATGGTTTAGTGCCAGAAGACCTGTCATTCTAAATCAGTTGACCAGTAGATACTGCAGGTGAACACCCTCTTTTAAGACCCACCTTGTGAAAATGTGCCAAATGTCAGAAGCAAAAGAAATATTCCAGAAGCAGACAACGATAGCAAAGGCTGGCAATATAAATATTACATTTATACCAAAATCAGTAATAAACTTTTAGAAAAAAAAGTTAAATTGACTTAATTCTTATTTATTATTTTAGTTGAAAAGTTTGGCACAAAATTAACTCTATTGTTCCCTTACCCATTAAAGAACAGGTGAAAAAAAAAACACTGGAAAACTAAATGGCTAACGATTTGCATGCTATTTCAGGACCAGGTGAAAAAACATTCTTAGCATTAGCATGTTCATTGTTAGCCAGAAAGCTCCCTAATTTTTTTCACCTGAGGCACTTTCAATCTCAAAACCCTGTGTACTGTTTTGCTATGGTTTCCGAGTTGAACATGTTTAATCCAAATGGTGCGAAAAAGTGTGCAACAGGCTTTGATGTAAGTTTTCTCTTGTTTGATGGGTGTATCAGAGGTTTTGCCCAATCAGAGACGTGTATATAAACCCTGCCCTATCAAAAAGGCAGTGCACACAATGGGTTCTAAAAAAATCCTCTAGCAAAGTACTACTGAGGACATTAGAAGACATGTTTGTATTTTTATTGTAGTTTTTTAAAAGAATAAGCTATGTGTACACTTCCACAAACACTCTTTGTCATGTTTTTGAAAACATCAACTTTATAATATAGTTGTTTGTATAATTACTTTTATTCACATATTTAAATTCATTTTTTATCAGACTCCTCAGGACGCCTCAGCTGCTGCGGTTTTCAACACACCACCGTTTCCATTTTAAAAAACACTTTGCATGCTTTGTTCATGCAGCAATGGAAAAAAATTACGCCAGCTTTCACCAGCAAGGAGTGGCTGTTTTCTATGGAGCCCTGGAGGGGATGGAGGTAGAAAAAATAATTAACTAGAGTGAACGTTTTGCAGTTCGTACACACGTTTTCTTTTATTTATGGTCACGATTTCCTAAATCATTCCCTCGTTTTCTTTTAATCGCGCGCACATTTTCTTTACTTCGTGGGTACCTTTTTTTTTTCATTCATGATCACAATTTTCTAATTTGCTCTCTCGGTTTTTTTTAAACCATGGTCATGTTTCATTTTTAACTGAATGCACGTTGTTTGTATTTTGATAACAGCTCCCTGAGACTGTCTGATGGGTTTTGATGTTTTAGATTGATGAGATAATGAACAGAGATGCTAATCAGGTCTGATTTTGATTTGGGGGTTATGAGGAAACTGCAGCTCCTCTTCACAGCAAACAGCCCTCGGTGTTTCTGCTCCCACGTCAAGCTGCGGTGTTAGAGACCATCACACAATTACAAGAAGAAATGATCAGTGATTCAACATCCTCACATTAACATATCTATATCTAATCAATAGATCTATTAAACTCTCTTGCCATTTGACATCATTCCACATGAACATTTCTGTTTGTGTTTAATTTGAGTTTGTTGAAACGTTGACGCTGATCATTTCTTCCTGTAATTGTGTGATGATCTCTAACACCACAGCTTGTCCCGGGAGCAGAAACAGCGCTGAGTGAACGCGCTGCGTCTATATCTCTGTTAAATATAATCATTAGAAAGTGCAGTTTAGTGAAGATTGTGTTTAATGTCTTCCTTTATTTCACCTTCAAACTGCAGCTGCACTGATGAATCTGTGGGCCATTTGCTGTGAAGAGGAGCTGCAGTTTCCTCATAACGCCCCAAATCAAAATCAGACCTGATGAGCATCTCTGTCCATCATCACGTCATTCTAACATGTCAAAAGCCGTCAGACAGTGTCAGGGAGCTGTTAGTTACTTCTGCACAGGACAAATAACACGACCTGCATCTACTACATTGATTTTGCGCACGAATAAAAAAAAATAAACAACGCGCATTCCATTAAAAATGAAACATGACAACGATTAAAAGAAAACGAGAGAACAAATTAGAAAATCGTGATCACAAATAAAAAATAATGTACCCATGAAGTAAAGAAAACGTGTGAACGTTTAAAAGACAACGAGGGAACAATTTAAGAAATCGTGACCACGAATAAAAAAAACCATTCGCTCGAAATAATTTTTTTTTTACCTCCATCCCCTCCGGGGCTCCATAGTTTTCTCCAGGGACGAGGTAAAAAAAAATCCTGAGAAGCTAAGTGGGTAAGGTGGAAAAAAAATCTTAGCACACTAATTGTTAGTCAGTTACCTATTTTTTCACCTAGTCTGCATTCATCCCCAAGAAAACATAGCAAAACAGTGGTGTGTTGAACAGCATGGCAGCTGGGAAGCAACTATGGCAGCTGAGAAGGCCATTCTTCTTGTTTTTTTTTTTCCCAAAGAATTTTCAGAGCCTGATGAAATTGGTATAAATAAGTGTTAAATACTTCAAAATACATCTTCTGCTGTAAAAGTGGGACTCTTTGGACTTGAACTCTTTTCTTATCTTACCCTTCAGGGCTTCTGTATGATTTAGATCAGAAGTCACCAACCCTCCTCCTGGAGATCTACTTTCCTGCAGAGTTTAGTTCCATCCTGCATCTAATATGCCCCCCTACCCATAAATAACACTAATGCATCTAATCCAGCCAACCAAGAACTTCTGAAGAAGTTAATAAGCTGGAGCAAGTGTGGCAGACTGTTGTTGGAACTAGACTCCACATGAAGGTAGCTCCCCAGGACCAGGGTTGGTGACCACTAATTAGCAAAATCTTTCAGTGAACATTTCAGCAGCATATTGAAAAACATCTACTTTTTTCATAACATCAAGGCAGCCACTTACCATCATTGTCGGGTATCATTGAAACTGTGACACTAGTGTGAGGGAACAGACTGAGTGTATCACGTGTGGTGCCATCCCGCTGAAATGTATTGCCCTGGAAATAAACACCATGGAGATCCACCTCTGTGCCCAAGCCCAACGTGTGCCACACAACATGGTCCCCTTCACACAAATCCAGCCCAGGAAGGTTCCCATACATGAAACCATTCACCGCTAAGAGGGAACACACACAAGACATTTACACATTAAGCTGTGTATTCACAGTGAAGCAAATATACACATTAATAGTACTTACAGTGCATTTTATTGCTCTCCTGAAATCCTTCATCATTTCTGTCTTTCTCAATGCTTCCAAACTGTTCAATGTTCTGGTTCAGATACCAGCTTTCATTCTCATCCATCACTGAGAAGAGCAGGAAAAACTCCTTTTGCACCTCTGACCCTGAATGCTAGACACACACACATGTACGCACAAAGGCCAGATGTCAGACATTTGTTTGTAGAAATGTCACAGAGAGACAAGCAGATGTCAGTTGAGTAAATTTAGCAAAAAGATTAAAATCTAATCTCTAATTCAAATGTCCTTTTTATTAGCCAAAGTAGCAAGGACCAAAATTTGATTCAACCAAAAGAGGTGGCCTCGGTCTGGATCAAGCTGAACCATGGTTCGGTTTGCAGTGTGAAAGTTAAGACAGGCTATCGTCAGCCATTAAACAATAAAAGAATAAAAAGAACTGGGAGAGAAGTAAAAATGAGCCATGGTAGCACATGGGGACAGAAGGAGACAAAATATTTAACTGTAAATTGGTCCAGCGAAAAAATGGCAAAAGTCAACTTGAAAAACTTGTAAAAATGCCAAAACTTACACCTTATTTTCTGAGAGGGTGAGAAAGAGAGAGGATGTTCATTTTTCTCCATTCAAATGGAAAAAACACTGCCAATGTCTAATGCAAATAGGGAGAACATGCAAACTCCACACAAAAAGGACCCTGGTTTCCCAGCCATGGAACCAAACCCAGGCCCTTCTTGATGTGAGGCGACAGCGCTACTCACTGCGCCACCATGCCGCCCTCAAAGAAAATTTTGGTAGGTGGACCAAAATTCATCTTTTACTTTGGGGGAAAACACATTCCATCAAAATAATGAATGCACCTATGATTTATTACATAAAATATATATAGATACTCTTATTCCAGATTTTCTTTAGGGCAACTCACAACACTGTTTAGGCAAAAAGAAACGGCAAGCATATACAAAGAAAGGGGGATTTTCTCTTACTGATTTTAAATGTTACTATCGGGCTATTAACATAAATTATAGGAGAACATGGCTACAAAAAGACCAGCCAACACTAAATCAGGGTGGTATAAAATGCATAGAACTGATCATCAGGACTTTTTCAAGTCCCCCAAGCATCTCTGTGGAATAATGATGCCAAAAATGTTAATTGGTCACTAAGGCATACAGCAGGGATTCCTTATGTTAGGCATTTGATAGCAATACTAAGCTATTTTCCTACGCTTCAACCAAGTGACAAATTGACAATGTAAATTTCCACATAATCAGTTCTGGAGGTATGTCCAAATGCGAAGTACCCTGTCTAAATAGTTAGGAAGCCTCATATTCTGCCCCATTGGCAGCCCAATGGAAGAACTACTGATTAGATCATTATCATGTCGCAGCATCACTCCCAAGAGTTATCTCTTACTGAAAGAACGATTGTGTGACCCTTTGCTCACGGTGAAGAAACAGTGGACAGGGGACCTAGCTGTGGAGGTATGTTCGAATAACATTAATACAATGTAGAAAGAAATGGGTAATAGACTCATTTAACTAAAAATAATACACAGATGGCACTGAAAACCAGAACAACCATTTAAATAGAATCTAATACCAGCAGATTCCTGCTGGAGATGTGATTGAAACAGCAACTTCATTCTACATATTCTATGGTCATGTCCAGCACTTACAGCACTTGAATAAAATTCAAGAGGTTGTGTTTGAAGTTCTAAACAAAAAGTTTCAAATATCTGCCTAACTTTCTATTTTAGGTTAAACCACTGAACTTCAGGACTTTGACTTCTCTTTTACAGAGATAACAACTGATTCTACAAAGACACTGGAGGAAGAGACATTCGCCCCCCGAAGAATTAAGAATGGTCTACAACAATGGCTGCTTATGAGAGTAACACAAGTTCTACTGAAAAGGTTTGATCAATATATGCTTATGTGGGGCCCTTTCTCCAACTGGCTATCTGTAACTTAAAGGTCAACCTAGTAATTCAGTATTATAAACAGGCTGTAACTTTGTACCTTGAGGTAATGCCAGTTTGGTGGTTCTCTTTTTTTCTGTTTTGTAAGTCAAAGTGTTGATGGTTCTTCAATCAATTTCTTTTTGTCTCTTTATTTTGTATTTAAACTTTCAATAAAATGTTAATTTATAATAATAATATATATATATATATATATATATATATATATATATATATATATATTATGTTAGAAAAAGTCTTTTGCATCTACTGTATGGATGTTCTATATGTGACAAAACAAGCAAGCTCTAACTGCAGCAGGTACAATTCTTACTAGAACCTAAAATTTGACCATATTAGTACTGTTGCCTCCAGTGTGCTCTATGGGGGTCATTATGTAATGCTGCATTGTGATAATAAACTGGACTGTCTTTCGTTGTGAGTGTGGAGGAGAAAAAGGGGTTACCTGTCGACCACTCTCATCCAGAACTCCTTTTTTGCACACTTGTAAGGGTCCCACCAAGCCAGAGTTGGTATCCTTGACAGGATCAGTCCCAGAGTAATACAAATATGACAAGCAGGGTGGATCACTGAGTGAGGGACCTTCTGTCACAATCCAGCGATAGATGAATGTCTGGCCTGGAGCCACACTGGCCCCATCTTTCTGAGAACCTAAAGCGAACAAAGGTAGAGTTGTCCAATGCGGCATTCAGAATTTAAGGTTTTACTGATGAGAGAAGTCTGATTGATGAGAGATCTAAAGTAGTGTGCAAAAGTCTACCTGTTAAAGTACTGTGCAAGAGACCACCCTTCTATTAATTTCCAATTCCAATTTTCCATTGTCCAGCCATTAAGTACAAGTTATTTATTTTTCAGGAGATGTTTTGGAGGAGTTTAGCTATTAGACAATCCACTTTGATAAAAAAGGGAAAACTCAAAAGAAAATAAGGGAAAAAAGGAGTTTCCATAACAGGAGCTAAAAAATGTTTTAAAGATATTGAGAAATTGATCATGCAATACAACCATCAAAACCACCACCAAAACAGTCACCATCAGAAAAACAGCACTTATAGTCTTCATTTGTAAGGCCCATTAAAGGTGTTACCTGATTAATTAAATTCTAATTCACAAACCAATAATATGGATATCTGCTAAGGTTTATTATAATTGCTTTGATCGTGATACAGATAGACCCACATATGTAATTTGATGCCCTTCAGCAGTTGCTGTCTGAAACTAACTAAACCAAAGAAAAAAGATATAAAGTCACAAAACCCCAAACTCTGTTGTGGACTAGATGTGAAAACTACATATGAAAACAAGCCTAAGAGATGTTTCGGTTCTTCCATTGTGAGAACACAACTCAACACTATGGGTTTGAAAGGATGTGTAGTTGTCAAGAAGTTGTGGTACTGAGAAAACAGAAGTAGACAAAAAAAAACTGCAAATCAAACACAGAAGCTGCTAGGGTTCACAGCCACCCCAGAGCCCAACGCTGAACATCATTGAATGTTTTTGGGATTACTGGGATTGTGACAAGCAGAAAAAGATTCTAAGACTTCTAAGACTGAACTGCTGATTTCTTTGAAAAACTGAAAGCAAATCTCCCAAAAAGAATACAAGCTATAATAAAGGCATTATACATTTATTACATTTAGTGGTTGAGGCTTCTGTATAAATTTCTGTTAAATGTATAAAAAATAAATAGCTTTTACTTAATGGTTGTTTTGGCTGGAAGGATGTTTTCTGACTTTTGCACATTACTGCATACAACAGCATTAATGAAAGTAAGCAGGAAGTGTATATTTGTTTATGTGCATGTATGTAACATGATACTTTTATTTGAAAAAGTAAAATGGTCAAAAGATTTCATTACTGAGGTTAAGATTAGACAGTATTTAGCCAAAATAACACACAGTTCAATGGAAAACCTGTTTAAAGGTAGTAATACAAGTGTATGTGTGTGTGTGTCAGCCTCACCATCCTGATATGTTGCTCCTTCATAAGCTTTATCATAATGTAGGCCATGAGGCTGCATACTGAAGGCACGTTTAGCCATATTTTTAAATGTTACCACAATGACATCTCCAGATTCTGCCCTGATGACTGGACCTGTGGAGGGCAGAAATTATATCAGGAAACAAATCCCACAAAAACAAACATGCACACACAGACACAGGGAAATAACTGATATTTATTGATCATGAGTGAACACAACCTTTCTGTGGCCACTGTGACAGTTTTCACAGAGTAGGCTTATTTCATCTGCTGAATCACTCATAATCTTTTATAAACAAAAGAGAACTTCTGCCAATTAGGCCAGATACACTGGGTCATTGATAGGTTATATAAACTAAGACATTTTTATGTATATAATCTAATAAATAACAGCCTATTAGTGGTCTAACACTCACTTTCCACTGCCTTTTTATTATGAGGAAGGCATGGGACGTAGATCAAGTGCGTATAAATAATATTAAATAAAATAGCTATACCATTAACTGTATATATTTAAAGAAAGCTTACCCAAAATGCCAAGGTGTTGTTCTGAGCCGTGTTGCGATAGCTTGTTTTTAAACGTGTTGTCATTATACCGAACATATCTGGCCTTCCAGTACCTTCCACCCAGCTTACCCCCCTTATTAGTAAAGAATTGTTCGGAGTCACTGCAAAGAGAGAAATATCAACTCTCAAGTGTTTGCCTAAGAGTTATGCTGTGTTCTAAAAGTGCACTTATTTACAGTTGTATGGAAATGTTTTTGCACCCCTGGCAAATTACATGTTGTGAAAAAAGCAAACACAATCTGCAGCAAAAACTCTAAGCAGCTGGCTAAGTATCTGAAACTTAAGCTAACTAATGTCTACAAAGCAGGGAAGGCTGTAAAAAGACATGAAAGTGCTTCCAGTTTGCAGTTTTCACTGTTCAAAATGTCATTAAGAAATGGCAGTTAAAAGGAAACTATGAAAGTCAAGGAAAGATCTGAAAGACCAAGTAAAGTCTTGGATATAACTGCTTGTATGCTGGCCAGAAAGGCAAAGCAAAACAACCATATGACAGCAAAGGGAGGTTTAGCTGAGTGGTAAAGCACTGTTCTATGCAGCTCTTCTTCAATGCATCTGCATGTATGAGTCATCAGAAGGAAACCTTACCTGCAACCTCATCACAAAAATCAACATCTGAAGTATGCTAACCCACATCTAGATAAGCCAGGGGCATTTTGGAAATAAGTGCCATGGATTGATGAATGGTTGAATGGATGAATGGAACATTTTGATCACAAGAATATGTTTAGTGAGAAAAGGAGCAATATTTGATAAAAAGAACACCTTGCCAAAAAGAATGTATTCCATTAAATAACAAGTATCATATTCTGGAAGCAAATATGATACAGTCAGTCAAGAAACTGAAACTGAAAACAGGCTGTCCTCTATAACAAGACAGATCCAAAACAGAGCTCAAAATCCACCGTGAGCTACTTCAAGAAATGAAAGCTGAAGATCTTGGAATGGCCCTCACAGTCTTTTAAATTTAATGTCATGGCTATGCACACAAGAGGACCGAAGGTCAAAGAACTAAAAGTGTTTCGCGAGGAAAAGTGGGTGGAACTTCCTAAAAGAAGAAGAAAAGAATACTCCTAGCTAGCTACACAAAGCATTTGCAAGCTGTGATATCTACCAGAAAAGACGTTACTAAGTACTGACCTAGTAGGGAGTCTAAACTACTGCACATGTGATAATTACTATTTTATGCTTTCTATTTTTCTAAGTTCATCAAATATAAAGTACCTGTAGATTAACATTTGCCAAAATTATATCTTTTTAAAATACTTTGCTGCAGAAGTAGTACTTCTTTTTACTTAAAAAATAAAAAATAAATAATTTGGCTATGGTGGAAATTACATACATCTGTATGTTTGTTTTTGCTTGTACGTACAGTACGAATGCATGTGTATAAACTTGCATGTATATATTTACCTGTTTGTTACATTCAATGGTTTATCGGTTAATAAGTTTTTCCCTGAGGGAGCATAGTCCCAAAGATGTTCCTCTGCAGCGATGTAGTAATGTCTCTCATGGCCAGAGGGTGCTTTGGGTGTAGTGTTACTCCCACAAAGAGAAACCTGATAGAACGCCTGCATACCTGCTGCTCATTGTGGTGGTAGCAGCGATTTTGAAAGACATAAAAAGCATGATAGAGCATTTTGGTTCTGATGTACATCAAACAAAGTTAAACAAATAAGACCTGAGCCACTTAAACACAAGTACACATAATGTCTTTAAAATGTATGATCAACCTTCAGTCATGGTACTGTTATAATAATAATAATAATAATAATAATAATAATAATAACAATAAAGCTTCACCAAAAAATAGTAACATATTGCAGTCACCACTGAATAGTAGTTTATTTTACAGTACGCTAAGTAACCAGTGTTAATAGGTACATTTGTAGTACTTACAAGTAATTTTTTCATACATACTTTGCAAGTACACAGCACATGGCAAGTATGTACAGCAGTACTTTTGGAGAATTTATTGGAACGCAGGTGGTCTTTACAAGCAATAAATACTTGGTGCATACTTTAATTTAATTTAATTAGTTTAATATATATGTACAGAGTTAATAATGCAAGTAATACAAGGTATATTTCAGTTTTAGTGCTAAGAAGTTACTTGGTAACGGCAAATACTCCTAAACAGCTTCTGGAAATACATGCCTGTGTGATAAACAATAACAGATTACAGGTACCGGTGATCAAAGGTGTAAAATGGTAAGGTACCTACCACTGAGTACTCAGTAAGTAGCTCCAGTATATACTCCAGTATAGTAATTCCATATTACTCGGTACATTTACTGGTAAGTTCTCTGTAATTTTATGGAAACATGACTGCAAAGTAAAGTGTGACTTTGTACACAGTATTTGTTGTTTGCAGAACACAACTATACATAGTGTTCATGACCATACATACTGTTATGGATCTGATCTATGTTAAAAAACAATGGTAAAAGGCTAGCAGTGTGTGTATTGAAGTGTAAAATATGAAATGAAGCAAAAACGACTCACAGGATTAAGGCAAAAATGGAAATGTATTGCAATAATACAAGCTACCTAGTAAAATTATACTTTCAATATGGACAATATCTACACAATATACACAAATTCAACAAACTATTGAGCTACTAAATCCAAAAGGCACACAAAATTTTGTAAAGATTCAAACAGTTCAGAGTTCAGAACAGAACATAATGAGCAAATATGCAGAAAACTAAAGACCTGATTTAAGATGCATAACTGGCCTGTTAGCTCTGGCACCCAGACTCATTACTCTACATTTGTTTCTTTACTGTGCTTTTATCAACTTACTGAGAATTTACCAGTATGTACCCGGTAGCCTGTCTGGTTAATTTCTGCATATGATGGTGATAAGAGAAGAGACAGTAACTGTCTAATTACTATGTGAAAAATTACACTTTATTTTTGCAGTCGAGGTTCTATTATATCACAGAGAACTTACCAGTATGCACCTGGTAGCATGTCTGGATAGTTTCTGCACATGATGATGATATGACGATAAATAGGGAGTTAGTAGAAGAAGACTTACAAGCAAACATGCCAAATAATATGGAATGAGTTGTTGTATTAGAATGTACCCACTCTGTATTACTTTTTGTCACATATGCATGTATTTACTTAAATGCTGAATCAACAGAAGATGAAATATACACTCACATTTCTCACTTTGTACTAACATACTGAGCTTGCATACTGTGCACCAAGTATAACTAAAATCTACACAAATACATACTTGCCACTGTTTATATAGTTACGATGTATGTCCAAAGTATGTTCCAGAAAATTACTTATTAGAACTTCATACTTATCTGTTAAATACTAACCGTACCCTAAAATAAAGAGCTACTGCAAATTTTCATTCATTGCAAATGTAATGCTATGCAATAACTATTTCATGAGATATTATATATACTTCAAAGAGATACCTCTCATGTGATCGTTGACCTGGCAACTAAGCATCCACGTCCCAGGTGTCTTGGGAACCATTATTGCAGTTACAAAACTGGCAGGAAAAAGACTGAGCACATCAGTGCGATGACCACGATCAAGTAGAGTATGGCCATGGAAGTAGGCAGAGTGAATGTCAACTTCATTTCCAATTCCAAAAAGATGCCAAGACACAGTCTTTCCAACGCATACATTTAATGCTGGCAAGTTCCCGTAAACAAATCCATTTATTGCTGAAAGAAGACAGAGAAACAAAGAGAAACTGAAATGCATAAAAGCCATGGTGAGAAAGGACACTAAATATTACACACTACAGCTACCAGTAAGAGCATTATTATTATTATTATTATTATGTGCAAGCTAAAACAGTACAGTGAAACTGAGACTATATAGTAGATAGTTAAGCTAATGGCTGATGTTTGTTACTTGTTATCCTCGCCATTTATATTATCCCTGACCTTCAAATACCCACACTAATACTGTGTTATTTTAAAAATAACAGTGTTTTCAAGTGTTCTTGGAGTAAAAATAAGTTTATAAGATCTTGAAGGATAAGACTCAGTATGGGTCCATAATACCCAGTGACGAGCTCAGGTCTGGAGAAAACATATTTTTTTGTCACTGTTACACGATTAGGGCGGCATGGTGGTGCAGTGGGTAGCGCTGTCGCCTCACAGCAAGAATGGCCTGGGTTCAATCCCCGGCCGGGCGACCAGGGTCGTTTCTGTGTGGAGTTTGCATGTTCTCCCCGTGTCTGCGTGGGTTTCCTCCCACAGTCCAAAGACATGCAGTCAGGCTGATTGGACATGCTAAATTGCCCCTAGGTGTGAATGTGTATGTCTGTCTGTCTGCCCTGCGATGGACTGGCGACCTGTCCAGGGTGTATCCTGCCTTCTGCCCAATGACAGCTGGGATAAGCTCCAGTGACCCAGAAGGATAAGCGGTTTAGATGATGTATGTATATATGTTACACGATTAGTGCAGCAGCCGGAACACAATCTAAGACAAAAGCGATGCGTATGGTAATATTCATTTCGATACGAAGGTTGCAAGACATTACGCTCTCTGAACAGAATATAGATAGAATTCATGCTATTAAACACATAACACTGGGAATCTATTATTTTCCTAAAAATTCCACTGCAGAGCTCTCAGAACTGGAAAAAAATGGTTTAGTTAGCCTACTGATGGCTGATCAGCCAAGCTGTTTGAAATGGTTTCTCAGTGGATTACAATTATGATGGGCAAAGACTGTAAAATGTGTAGTTACTTTTTATATTTAACATTAAGATTTACACATCAACAAAACATGCAGCGATTCAGCACTGTTGATCGGGTGTTAAGAACTAACTAATTGCACTGTCTCTCTCTCTCCCTAAGTACATAATATTAAACATGGTTGATTTTGTTGCAGCATCAAGACAAGAAAAGACTGGCATAAGACAGCCATCCAGACCACCTACTAAATGATCAAGATGATGTGAGCACAACGCCACTGCAGCAAGACTCTAATGGTTTTATTTCAACATTGGAAATCAGTCTGCGACAGTGAAATTGCTTGAAGTAATTTGGTGTAAAGCCGGGATAACTTGCGCAGTAGTGATGTTAATAGATACTGGTTTGCATCTCTATTCAGTTGTAGCATCCACCTCTATTCGACTGTGGAAGTTTGCTGGGAGTGATTAGAAAATCACATTTTACCACGTTAGAAAATTCCCTCTAACTCATTTTAGCCAGAAGGTAAGAGCCACACTTTATATAGAAACACAAGATCAGGTTGTAAAGTAAGATTGTAAAAGCTGTAATGCTCAATTCAGTTATTATTCAGATGTAGCCTTACAGTTTACATTATTCCACAAATTACAAAAAAAATGTTTTGGGAATTACCAAAAAATAAATAACTATAAAACTAAATGTTAACATTTCTTTTCTAATTCTGTACTGAAAATGCAGTGTATTGTAATGACAATACATATCATAATGTGAAATTTGCGTATCATTACACCCCTAGACAAAAGGTGCTTTGGGTGTATTTGTCTGACACTTAGGGCACATAACAGAACGCATAATGATAATAATAATAATAATAATAATAAAAGTAATAATAATAAAAGTAATACATGTGACATATCCAAATATATATTTATAATAACAAGAATATTAATAATCAAACAGCCTAAACTGAGTAAATGTATTTGTCAAATGACCACTGCCTGGACAGCTTACAGTGCAGGAGGTTGGATTTATGAAACTCCTCATCTGCATCCAGATTGTCAGTGTCAGAGCAGCAGTTCCTGATGTTGTCATCAAAATACCAACTAAGATTTTCATCCACCACGCTAAACATAAGGAAAAACTCATGACCTACATCAGAACGAAGTCCATAACTGTCCAGAGCACCTAGGAACAAAAGACATAGAAAGCATGCTGAATATTTGTATAGCATAAGTGGTAATGTGTTTGGTTGCACATGCGTAAGCATATACAAGTGTGAATTTGTGCATGTGTGTGCACTTATGTATGTTGTATATCTGCACAAACATGCATGCTGTGTGTGAGTTACCCTTCTTGCAGGTTAGCAGCACACCAATAAGGCCAGTTGCAATGTCTTTAGGTGCATCTACATGTGAGTGGTAGATCCAGGTAAGGCATTTGGAGTCGTTTTGCATGGGGGCAAATTCTTCTTTCACCTTCCACCTGTATTTGTAGCTTTCACCCGGAGCCACGGCATCATCTCTCTTGTTCTTACCAGATGTACCATCTGGATACAGTGCACCTGGCATTCACAGTGATGTCATTATCAAATTATTTATTTAATTAATTCTTTTTTCAATCTTAGAAGCCTGCTGAGATCGAGTAGTTACAATATGCTTGAGATTACTATAGATAAGTTTTTAAAAGAAGGTCTAAATGCGGTTGTATTCTATGACTTTCCAAGAAACAAATGTAAGGAATTGTTTTGGGTAACACTTTACTTGGAAAGCTCACTGTAGGTGCTTTGTAAATGTTTACCTTGCATTTGACTTACATTCAACTAAATATGCATTAAATTCACCCAAAGCATGGCCCTAATCCTAGTGCTGTTGAGAATCAGAAAATTCTCAACAGCACTAGGATCAGAAAAAAAAGTTGAAAATTCCTTACAGCAATTTTGTCATTTCTAGACTTACTCACATTGTTTTGAACTCAGATCTAACACGCAAACTAAATCTGGGTTTTACTGATGACTTGAACCCTGGGGACATCGGCTCTCCAGTTCAACACTCCTGTTTTGTTATCAATCATGTTTGACCTGATAAACAAAATTTGTGGACAGATAGATATACAGAAAGACACACAAACAGAGAGAATGATTAGGAAACAAGAAAGGCACACTTTACCTTCAGAGTCTTTTTCATAGAACACTCCGTGTGGATGAAGTGAATAACGCCGAGATGCAAAGTTCTTCATATGCACCACAATCTCATCATTCACTTCCGCGCGGATCACTGGTCCAAGGAAGCCCAGCCAATCTGGTTTTCTGACCTCGGTGGAGAACTGCTCATCTGTGTATTGCCGATACACAGCCTTTTTGTAGATGCTGCCAATGCGGTGTGGGCCACGCCCCAAATATGTAGTGGCATCCCTTATAGAACAGAAGAAGAGAGAGAGCAATGAGAGGAAAGAAAAGTACCAAAATCCTGAAATAAAAGTGCCTTTTTACACTGCATTACACTACACGTAGTAGACCCAGAAGGATAAGCATCTTAGAAAATGTATGTGTGTGTGTGTGTGTGTACAAAAATTAATAAATATATATTTAATCCTTTTAAAGGCTCACTATGCTGATGTAGGTTTGTTCTGACAGTAGCCATTATTGCTCCACACATTTTATAGAGTAGAATTTGAGAATACAGTAGTATTTGAGCTGTGCATGAGAATAACCATTAGCTAAATGGTTGAATTACTTCATCTACACGCAGTAGAGCACAGTTCAAGCCTACCTCAAAAAAAAGAGCTAAACTCTCACCAGTCTGTACCTTTACCTCACACTGAGGTTCTCTGACCAGTTATGATTATAATTTTGGTTATAATATGAAGCACAATATATTCTTCTTTCTAATCTTCATCTGTGGAAATATATATATACATATATCAGATATCAGTCTATCAGTCTAATGCAGGGGTGTCCAATCTTACCCACAAAGGGTTGGTGTGGTTGCAGGTTGTTTGGAATGAAAACCTGCAGCCACACCGGCCCTTTGTGGTTAAAACTCGACACCCTTGATCTAATGACAGACAGGAGTTTGCCTTTTCAAATTGGTTTTCAATTACTACTTGAATCTTTTAAACACAAATTCAAAGGCTTTTGTAAGAGTTCGTAAGAATTAAATATAAGAACAATGCAGGCAAATATGGTTTAGCCCCAAATGTGTTTTAGGTTTTTTAAAGAGCTAAGAATAAATTGTTCTCTGCATTGACTGAGACTAATAAATGTAGCTATAGGTTATAGCATAAAACCACTGATCAGCCGGTCAGTAAATTCCCTATTAATGTTGATCTAATGTGAGAAAATTGCCTTCTCCTTGTTGTAATTCTGCTATCATTGCCAACCAGAAGAGGACAGGTTCCACTTTTGATCGCTGGTTCTGTTTTGTGGCAATCTTCATTGCGAAAATCACTATACAAATTTATTTTAAATTTGATTAATATCTAACATTTAACCCAACATATCTTGTAAGCATGCTCCCTGCACAGCTCCTCCTTTTAATTCTTTTAAAGCTTTTACTTTTGTCCTTCAGACTTTGGCAAGGCTTCTTTCAAGAGACTAACAGGAATAAATGTCTTGCACTTATTAAAGGTCTTGTATTTTTGTTGTATATCCTGATGCCAGCACTGACTTTTGTCCCTGGCAGAATAATTAGTTCAGGGGTTCAGCATTTGTACTAACTTAAGGATACTTATTCCAAAAGTCAGCAGCTTTCTTAATGCTCTGCCTGGGACAAGAGTAAGCATTGATATATATAAGAAAGCAACACAAAAAAAAGATTACACTACAATTATTCAGTGCAGTAATTTGCTGCTGTCAGCACAAAACCTTGTATCTCCATTTTTCTGTTTTTGACATAATTTGAAAATGCGTGCTGCATACATAATGCATGGAACAGAAGAAACGGCCCAAAATTACTTGGAAAAAAAGTCTGGTTCCATTTATTTACACTACTCTGCTCAAACCTGCCAGTGGTAGGTGTAGATCTAATGGCTATTTTCAATCTTCTTTCTTTTGACAGTATTATTATCAGAATTATTTAAGCTGAAGCAATTATTTTCCACATCTGTCAGCTTGTTTATATCACAACAAACAGAATATGAGTTGGGTGTGTATTCATCAGCTGGGTTGATGCATGTAAATAAAAGAGAGCAGAGAAACACGCTTATCTAGACTCGTCATGGGTCTCACAAAAACAAACATTCAAACTTCTGAATAGTGCTATAACATGTAGAGGGCAGCAATGGGTAATGTTTGTTCATTTGAGCTTGAGCTCTTTCTGTTGTCTAAAGGGAGCTACTAAGTACTGACATATACGAAGCAAGATAGCTCTGATCAGCCAATTGGCCACTTCAGGTCAGTACTATAATATTTGTGCTCAATGAACAAAAAAGGACAATTAATCTGTTACTCAAAGTTAAATACATGCCTAGATTTGAGTGCAGAATAAAATATATGTTTATTCTCTCAGAAGCAATTTAAGACTTTGAACACTGTGAAATGTTCAAAAAACATCTTGTTAATGTACTCATGCTTGGATATAAAAGGAGCATTCAGGAAAGGTCTAGTCCTTTATGACCAGGGATGAGTTGAGGCTCACAAGTTTGCCAAAAATGCAATCAACAAAAAATTCAGTTTTAAAATAACATTCCTAAGCCAGAGACTGCAAGGATTTTTGGTATTTCACTCTCTGCAGTGCATTGTGTCATCAAAAATTTACAAAATGCAGTGAAATCTCTGTGCATAAAGGCAAAGCTGAAAACCACAAATGAATGCCCATGACCTTCAACCCCTCAAACAGCGCTACATTAAAAACCAGCATGTTTCTATGATGCATATCACTGCATGGGCTTGGGAATACTGTTGTCAATAAACACTGTTCAGCACTGCATCCATAAATACAAGTAAAGACTGTAGTGTGCACAGTGCAAATCATATGCCAACAGCGCCCAGAAACATCACTTCTCTGGGCTAAAGCTCATCTGAAATGCGCTGACATACAGTGCAAATGTGTACTGTGGTCAGATGAGTCAGCCTTTCAGATTGCTAATGGAAATAATGGACGTCGTGTTCTATCATCCCTGTGCACATTTTGACACAACATACACTGTCTTCTAGACTTTTTCAGGGACACCCATGCTTAGTTCAATATGACAACACCAAGCCACATTCTGCATGTGTTACAACAACATGGCTTCACATGCATTTCTCTGCTCTACCTCTCTGACTCAGCTCAAGAAGGGGTTGATAATTAGCTAATTATATGACTCAGATGTGTAAGAGCAGGGGACAAAACATATCTGCGGAGTGCTGAGGGAAGGGCAGACCCTAGGACTGAAGTTGAGAAATGCTGCTCCAGCTTCTAATGTAAAACTAACAGTTAAAATTCAATTCAACTTTATTTATATAGCGCTTTTCTTTTTTTACTGGCTGTCGAGCAGAAATCCACGTGCATGCCCCTAGTGAGCAAGCCAAGAGTGACAAAGGCAAGAAAAAAGGAAAAAACATGAGAAATAAGAAAAAACATTGAGAGGATCCAAGACTCAAAAGAAGAACCCACCATCCCCTGACCAAACTAAATTGAACTGAATAGAATTATACAAAAATTTTTAATTTTGTATAATTCTATTCCGACTACTGTAATAGCTTTTGAGCTAAGTACACTACATGTGTACGTTGCCTACCAGTCAGTTTTAGAACTGATTTTAAAATTTTGCTAATTACCTATGAATACCACATGGTTTGGCTTTGGCTTATAAATCAGACTAATACGTCTCATTCACCCTGCAATTCAATACACAATCAAAACACAAATGCCACAAGAGCAGATTTGTGGTGCAGTCAGAAAACCCTTTATTTTGGAAAAGACGTTGGATGAGCATGTGTCTACATGCACATATATATAACACTTTTTAGCTTGTAGAAGGAATAAATGAAACAAAAATTCTGATAAAAAATAGACCATATATTGCATATTTAACTAATTATGTATCTACTATGTGTTTATGGTCATATAGTGAGTAAGAAAATAACATATAATGAAAATAATGATAAATATCTACTCTTTTCAAATACAGGACCATATATGACCATACATAAGATTTTCTTTAGGAGAGCTTCACTTGAAGCATAAAAAATCTGACTCCAGTTGAAATTAACTTAACTTTCCTGACACTAACTGGGGACAATGTGGATGTTAAGAGAGGAAATCTTTATGTTTAAATAAAAGTCATCATTTTCATTTGACACTTTTTCAATAATGTAGATAGCAATGACAATGTAGCAAAATGATAACAATAGCTAATTTTGTTATCTAGCTAATTCAGTTTGCTAATGTTACATTTTTGTTAGCTATCTGTCATCAAATATATTAATCTATGATGCAAAACAACTACACATTTATTTTTATAACAATATATGATATAATACCCTGACATTTTTTAATTTAACAATTTCCATGTTTAGCATGTATAGTTAAAGCCTGTTAGCTAGACCTTGTTAACCAGCTGGATAAAAACTAGCTAGCTAGCGTTGTCTAACAGCGGAGTATCGGTCAACAGTGGAATCCACACTGTGACTGTGAACTGGGACCCCTAACAGCCTTTCTGCAGTTGTCTGTAGGGCACCTGCACCCCCCAAAAAAGGGAGATAACATGCTAGTAAAATGTCCATCCAGCTTGTGTTCAGATCATTTTGAACTTACAAGTTATTAAAATGCCTGCTGCACCATTTAAGGTGGAATGGGAAAATTCAAACAAGAAGCTAGCGAGTTAAAAGCTGACTTCACCTTTGTGTTAACAATATAGTTAAAATGCAAAATCGTAAAATGTAACCTGGCCCTGAACCTGAAAATCGCAGCCTTGTAGCAGCTTCTTAGTGGTACTGTTCAGTACTGGTACTGGTACTAGTACTGGTTAGATTACTGTTTGTTAGCCATCTAATCAAAGGTTTTGCATTTTTACTGTAATGTTAACACAAAGCTGAAGTCTGCTTCTAACTTGCCAGCTTCTTGTCTGTGTATTCTGTTTCATCTTAAATGGTCCAGCATTCACAGTCTGGATTACGCTTGATGGAGAAGCTGTCAATAAACCCACTGGGGTCCAGACCCACACACTAGAAAAGGCAACAAAGAAAAAAGAAAATATAAAACACTCCTTTTAATGTGGTTTTTGGGGAAAAATATAAAGTAACTTAAATATATGAAATTTTTTGCAGAAATATTTATTTTTCACAGATTAAAAAAAAACAACTGTGCAGGATCTTTAAGGTTAACCATATGCAATACTTTATTTCATTATTGGAAATTTATTACATTTTTTATATAGTCTATATGCAACAACCTAATGACTTTATTGGGCATTAATTATTTTTACTTTTTTTGTTTACATTTTGGATGGGTTGACATGTTGTCAGACTTACAACTGTAACTCTGCAAGTGTGGGTGTAAGTGTGTATTTGGAGATCTGATTATAGATTTCTGCATGTTAATAGACTGGAAACACCACCGATGTTAGAAATTTAAATAAAACATTAGTGAAAACATTGGTGAAACCTAGTTTGCGTCAATTTTATGCGTTCAGATGCCTAGTCATAAAGTTATAAAGTCATCTGGCAATCAGATAAAAGAAATATATTTGTGATCGAGATGAAAAGTAAATCAGTCAAATTTGATGAGAACACAATTTGAGCTGCAGCAGTGGTACCTCCTGGAGGTACAGGAATACCCTTCTGAAAATGTATTCAGAGCTGGTGACTAAACATTCTAGTAAGATTTCTTTAAGACTTGCTGAGTGGACTCTTAAAGAGTAATGGAATAATTTAGTGAACTGAACAAGCATTTTGTACTTTATGAGTGAAATAGGAGGTCAATTATAATATTATTTAGGATACCAGCAAGCCACACTATACTTGCTAACACGCATTTGTATAGATTTTTCCCCCAAAATGCAGTATAGGACAATAGAATCTCATGGGATTTCAATACACACAAAAAATCCAATCTTTTAACAAACTCAAACTTGATTAAATTGAAGAAGTAAAATGATTGTTGGCTGAAGAAGCTCATATGAATCACTTCTGAATTACCTGCAAACCTCACACTTGGTGCTTTAATTCGGTCACAATTTTTTGTTTCACTAGAAAAAAATGGATTATGAAGAGTGGGACACTTTTCACATGCTTAAAAAACATGTTTGATTATAAAGCGATCAGCCACAATGATTACTTATATGTAATGAACCATGAATATTTTGTTTCATTGATAACGCAAAGTGAGAGTTGCATCTTTGGAATGAAACATAAGCATGCATGGATGAACACATGTTGAATGAGCAGGTGCTAAATACAAGCGGGCAGATTGTGGACTATAGATCCTATATTTGGTTCAAAATAGCATAATTGCAATACTGCTGCGATCTTACATATCTACAGAATGTTGTGCACCATCAAAAGCTACAGTTCTGTAGACTGCTTAATATGTTTATATCATAAAGGTATGAAATGAAAATTCATTTTAAAAACTGTGAAACTGTGATATTAATGTATTCCACAAATTATTTGATCTTTTGTACAAATTAATGTATTTATTCATATGATAATTTATGTATTTTGTATTTGTTTAATACTGGCCTCAAATGGTATTCAATGGTGTTTTTTTTGCTTTAAAGACATGAATGTCAGGGGAAAAAACTGATTAAAGAAATTACAGAAAATAGTCAGTAGTAACGGAGTAGATATCATGCTAGAGAAATGAATGGCAGAAAACTGAAACAAGCCTCCCTTTTGTAAAAACGCTTCCCACTCCACACATCTGTCTGAGCATTGCCTATCAAGTCTATCAATACATCTGAGGTCTAAATACTAATGTGCACAGGTTCAAGAATATCTCCTCACTACATGTGCTAAACTCAACTCTGAATAGAGCCCAAAATGTAGAATATGACCAGACTAAGTATTACATCATCTGTCAAAAACAAATCACCTAGTAAATATAATTAAATCCCAAAAATGTAATAAGGTGTTCCATTATAAGCAAAAGTATCATTACATGAGCACTTTACATTTTACTACTTTATTGGGCAAGTTATTACATTATTGAGTTTTGTTACATTTTTGATAGATGATTTTCTACAGATTCAAAAGGAAGTAATGATTTATACTACACTACTAAGCCTACTAATGTAACAATTTACTCAGTGTTAGATATCTAAATACAAGAAAATGTAACAGAATGGACATTTTTGACCTTCCAGCTAAGTAGATCACATCACATATAAGCAAGAAAATTTAGTTTAGTTGTCAAAATAGTGGTTGTTTTGACAAGCATTTGACATACTCATACTGCCTCGAAAGGCTTGCCTGGTAGCTGCAGTGAAAGTTCCGTTAATAGTAATGGCATACTGTTGAAAACTGATAAAGAATGACCTGTAGAACTCACTATGCAGGGGTTAGCCATAGGGAGGCAAGGAATAAGACACTGCTCCTCTAAAGGTATGAACAGGCCTGGTCCAAAGCACTGCTGTCGGGCGATTTCCCCTTCAGTGCAAAGTCTTAGGGTGGGGAACAGAGTGCTGGAGTCCAGCACAGTTTGCTGATTTCTCTGCTCAAAAACACCATCTAAACCTTGCAAACAACTGGTGAGTTGAATAAGACATGTTTGAGCAGAGCAGGAAAAAAATAAAGCAGGAGTCCAGCTCTCCAGGACTGAATTATCTCACCCCCTGGTCTAAGCTATATGTGTTTAAGTCATATGGAAAATACACATATCAGTAACATGACTCCACTGCAAAGCTGTAGTCTATGTGACATGCAGATGTACCAGTGGTTAAGGCTTGCAGCAGAAAAGATCAACGCTCAATGTTTGCTTTACAGAATCAAGGGCCCACTCTCATTCTAGCCTGACTACTCATTTTTATGTTAACTCTGGGGACTCGCCACATTGAAGGCAACCTCAACATAAATAGGAGGAAGTAGGAGCAGATTATGAACGTTCCAATGGCAAACATGCAGCAACACTTCTCGTCTCTCTTGAAACCCAGACAACCAAACTGAGGCTTATTTTGGACATATTCTGAGAAGAAACAATTCCTTAGAAAAGACTATTATGCTTGGAAGTGTTGAAGTAAAAAACAACCAACTACAAGATGGATACAATGAGAAGAATTATGTTTTCTGTTTCTAACAACCCACTGTTTTCCATTTCTAACAACCCAATGATTAAGCTGCTGCTCATATTCACAGTCAGTGACGTATCTAAGAATTCCAGCTTTAAGCCTTAGAGCTGGACCAATCATGGTCCTGGAGCTCAACCACCTTGGACACCTCAGATCAAACACATTTGTCTCCAATATTCAGACACTTCTGCAAGCCTCCATTACCTGGATTAGTGTTTTTTGATTTGAGTTGAAGCTTAATTCTGCAGGGTGCAGGGTGTTAGATTTCTAGGAATGAGGAGGATCTCCGGGCACCCCTAGGTTTAGAGTGATGTTTTTTCCTCACTGAATTGGTCCTGTCCTCTGGAAATTAAAGCATGATCGGTTGATTGCTCTGTTATTTTGTAATTATGCTAGGCTTTCTCTTCAGTGCTTTAAGTCGTAATCAATAAGAGAGTTTGCTTATCTATGTCTATCTACCATGGGGAAAAACAAATCCTGATTTGCCTTTTGTTTCCATCGTATACTTAACAAAAAACAAGAGCAGTATTGAAATACGTGCAGAGTTTAATTACAAGCAAGATTCTCCTGAATTAAAATGTACTAAAAATGACAGACATAGATTTACCATGATCATTACATAGAAAACTCAGAAGACACACGTAGGTTCACTATAGTTTGGGCAGTAAATTAAAGTGGCTATTTTACGTTGTAGACATGTGAACTCTGGTTCCTTTCACCACCATTGTAAAGAAACAGAAACACAGCAACTTGAGACGATAAGTTTCTCTTCAATGCACCATTTCAGCTCAAACCACTCTGAATGACTTTGTTTACATCTCAGCGACTGAAATACGCTGCCGTTTTGGAAAATCGGAATTCCCCTTTAAAAGCTAGACAAGATCTCTTGCTTCATGTTTGCGAGTCATGTTGGTTTCATGTTTCAAGCGCGGTAATAAAATAACTAGACTATAAGTAACTTACCTGTCTTCGCTGATATCGAGGCCCTTAACCACATTTTTTCCTTGAGGTGCATAATCCCAGTTTTCCTCCCGAATTCCGATGTAGTATGTCCTTGTAACGCCTTCGCTCAGGCGTAAACACAGAACCAGGACTGTCAAGCAGAAACAGAAGGCTTTTTCTTTCATTGTACAAACAACCAGAGAAACTGAAGCGTTCGGCGAGTTCGAGCTACAGCCAGTGAGAAATCTGAATACACACGTAAGAGGAAAAAAATTGAAAAACGCAGCTACTTTCGCAGGGTTTCCGCTTATGAAACGGGCGGTTGGCTAAGATACCGGTTTGTCTCAACAGTCTGTAGCGCTCTGCTGGAAACCGAAAGTGATATGTAAATCCCAAAGTGCGTTATGCTTCAACCCGGAATGGGCGGGGAAGCTGATCATTTTCGACTGCAAACCACAAGCTGTCTGTTGACAGCCACTTTTATGAGCCAATCACTAACCGATAGTACTTGTCTTTTCTACTGTAACCATACACCTTAAGTTTCTCCAAAAGAAGGCGGGACCTACGGTGGAAAAGATGCTGTATTGAACAATGACAATGAGTTTTTTTATATATTTCGGTCACAAACAATCTGTCCATATATATGTAAACTATTAACAGTTCCTACTGCGTGTTCTTTGATTCGTGACTTGCCTGTATGTGATTTCGAGGGAAAGTAGATCTTATTCATTAGTCTCGTCATGTTCTTTAAACCAATGTTGCAAAACAAAAAGGCAGTCTAACCGTCTACATCGTTAAATGATCATTGTATAATGCAAGAAAACAATATTTAGGGTAGCTAAATTTTGTTTGAGCACTGAACCCAACATTTATTATGATATGATGTACCTACTTTTGGGTCTTCCAATGGAAACGATCTGTTCAGCATAACAACTGAATCGGCTGTACTTATATTGTTATCTTTGTATGAATCTTCTTTTGCATTGCACTTTACTTGTCATGTAAGTAATGCTATTTGGACTGCTGTATTCATCTTATACTTACGTATTATTGTGTATGAATGTGTTTTGTGGAACTTTTAACAGAAATATGTTATTTGAAAGTTTAAACAGAAAGTAAGACATCAAATGGAACTTAATTGCTATACTGATAATTTTGCTGTTGCATGACTATAAGTGGTATTCATAGTTATATGTTGTTCTGTAACTACTACAGGTGCTGATTTTTTTTTATTAAATAATAAATTAAGCTTAATTTATCTTTCTGAGGTTTATCAAATACATGGGTAAAAAATAGCACATTAACATTTCTCCACAGTGCGTTATTTTAAATATAAACACTCACACATACATAGGTGCACACACACACTCAGCATCTAGCCATCAAGAAGGTATTGATTGAGATGCTGTGTGTATTTATGTTTACATTTATTACATTTAGTAGACAGTCGTGTTTTGTGTGACAGGCTAATGTGTGTTTTTGTCCATTTTAGAATGTACCCCAGGGGCTAGTATAAATATTCTAGAATCTAAAGACACCTTAGAGCTAAGATACTGCCAAAATCAGAATCATTTTATTTTGCTGTGTGTGTTACACATTTGAATTTGTCTTGGTGCGTGCCTACATGTATGACATGTAACTTACTAAACCAAGTACGTTGACTGTTAACAAATGCTGAAAAGAGAATATAACATTTAACTAAGGGACAAAGAAATACAAACAGACTAAACTCAATAAAGAATAAGAGAGTAGGTAATAAATATCCAATGTGAAAGGAGCTGTTGAATATGTAAATATGTACATACAAGCAGGGTCTGAGGAGACATATAAGAACTACTATTCAAAGTAAATTACATAATTATATGAACATTAGTAAAAGTAACATTTGTACGGATACACTGTAATGCAGTAAAGGAGTTTTGTTGGTTTCATTTTAGGTGTGATGTGTCCACTGTGGTTGAGTGCTACAGAATGTCTGAATGGTTGTGTTGGCTTTGATGGTGCTGAATCTTCTACCAGAGGGATGTGGCTAGAAGAGGGGATGCCCAGGATGAGAGGAGTCAGTTCTAATCTTGCCAGCACTCTTCATGACCCTGCAGTTGTAGATGTCCTGAACTGTTAGCAGACAGAGAGGGTGGATTCTGTGATAGAACTGGATTATCAGGGTTGAATTTCTGCAACTGTCTCTCTCTAATAAATGCTGACTGACTTCATATATAATTGAACAAACATTCATAACATTGTTTACTGAACACCTAAGTATAATTTACACACTGGACCTACCTCTGAGAATCTTGTACATATTTTGCATATTATGCATGCACATATGCACACTGTCTATGCACCAGTACAATTCTGTGTTTGTAGATTATTCTGGATTTATTGTCTATTTATTGTATTAGTTATTTATTGCTATTTATTCATTGCCTATTCATCGTATTAGTATTAGTACATGCGCCCTCATGTCCTCATATATATGGGGGTATACTGTATATGTATATATATATGTATATATATATATATATATATATATATATATATACAATAAAGTCTTGATGCTTGTCTTCAACACATCTTGAAGGATAGCAGGTCTAGCCACACTTGTCCCAGTAAATGTTAAATGTAAATGTAAACACCACTAGTTTCTGTAATTAAGCGTGGACACTCAGAACACCGTTGTGTGAATTTGGAAGAAAAATAGGATTTATATTAGAGAACTTTTATATTAGACATCATCTGTACATGCTTCTTCCTAAGTATTTCACCCTTGATTGTAACCTTTAAATAACATGATAGTCATGACGAAGGCTCTGATATTTCCAGTGTTGTGCACTGGTTATGCAGATAGCCATCTCAGTGTTAGATATGTCTTATTATTTTGTGACCTTACCACTAACTGGTTATGAGGCCAGTATTATTTCATATTGACCAGGTACATCTTTATTTCAATTCTCAATAACAATAAAAAGGTATAAAGGGTAATATTGCATGAACAACTCCAATTTTTAATATTAAAAAGGAAATAGACTATGTGTTTGATTAGTAATAAGAAAGAGGAGCTTCATAACTAATGCAATAACACTATTAGCCTGCTAGAATCTGTTTAAATAGACTATCTTTCTAATTAACATTAGCAGTATTGACTATACAACACATACAGCAGCACTTGGCAAACATAAATTACTTATCTTGCAGATTATCCACCTAAGATTACAACAAAAATGATGTTCCACATTCCAACTTACTGATCATGTTCCTTCAACCTCAAAACGAAGCTCTAAAGAGGGTGTTGAAAATCATTGGCTGCAGTAGAAAATGATGGTCAGCTAACTTTGGCTGGCGATTGGCATAATAAAAATTGATTGGCAGAAAAATCTGTTGTGTGATCAGCATCATAATGATTACCGTCGTCTCTGCCCTTTCCTGCTTCCCCTGTGCCCTGATCTGCAGCCTCCTCCCTATGAGTTCTGACAGGCCCCAAGCTAAAAGCCCTGCATCTGGCAGAATGACACTGCACATAGACCTTTTGGTTCTCTAGTCTGTGGCATTAATGTGTTAATGGCCTAATAACCTTGATCAATTACATTTAAGTGCCGTTTAAAAGTGTTTGGTGTCCATTTCTAAATGGTGTGGTGTGATAATGGTGTGAGCTCAGTTTTCACAGGCTCTTAAAGGATTGTGCATGGGCACCAGAAAAATATAGAGAAAGTGAAAGTAATTTACTTCACTCTTTCGAAGCTGGATAAAAATTGAATGAGAACAGCTTATTATTTCTCATGTTTGCCTCATACCGAAACGTAAGTAATTTTGAATCGAATATTGATTTGCACAATTCAGCAATGGCATCTGCTAAAAGTTAGTTTTGAGTCAATTATTTTCCAGTTCCTTTCTAGGTACAAAAAACACATTTAAATTATTGTCCAGGTAATCAGTACAGGTGTGGCAGATACAGATTTGGTTGTGGAGTATTTCTTAAAAAAAGGGTTAATTAATTATAGCACACATTAAAGAATCCATTCCATCAATACTGGATCCCCACTAAAATTCCTACAGACAAAACTGCTCCGCTGAGGATGCCATAACCACTGCCATCCATTTGGTCTTACACAATTGAACAACAAGGACACTTATGTTAGAATGCTTTTTAGCAACTTCAGCTCACAATCAACACCATTATACCCAAGAAGCTAGTCAGCAAACTCCACTTGCTTGGACTAAGCTCATCTCTCTGTAAATGGGTTCTGGACTTCGTGAGTAACCATCAGTCTGAACACCAGAGCCCCCCAGGGCTGTGTAATAAGTCCTCTGTTGTATACCCTGCTCACCCATGATTATTTTGCCAAACACCACAGCAAACACATCATCAAGTTTGCTGGTAATGCTACAGTCACGGGGCTCATCTCCATCCAACAATGAAACTGCCCACCAAGAGGAAGTGAGGCAGCTGGAGTTCTGGTGCAAGGGAAACAATTTCTCTAAAACAAAAGAGATTATTGTACACTTTACACAGTCACCTCACACCCCTCTGCACATCAGCAGTAGAGTAGTGGACACAATGCACAACTTCAAGTTCCTGGAAGTGCACATCACTGACCATCTTTCCTGGGCCTTGAACACCTCCTACTTTGTGAAGAAGATGTCTCTACTTCCTAAGGAGACTGAAGAGGGCCGGCCTACGCACACCCATCCAAACCATCAACTGCTTCGAGAAAAGCATCACTGAGAGCCTCCTGACTTGTAGTATCACTGAATGATATGGAAACTGCTCTGTCTCAGACAGGAAAGCACTGCAGCAAGTAGTGAAGACTGCCTAGTCCATCCATCACTAGGATAAGCTTCTGTGCCATTAAGGACATTTACACCAAACGATGTAAATGATGTAAAAGAAAAGCATGCAGAATCAGGAAGGATTCCTCTCATCCACCATACTGCTTACAAAACTCCTATCTGGAGGAGGGCTATGGGGCATTTAGGCCAAATCCTCCAGACTCATGAACCTATTTTGCATATATTGTATTCAATTCAGTTCCCCCTCAACAGATAACAACTCCAAGCAACATTGCAGAAAGCGAAAAGGTTCAAAAAAGGTTTGTACGGCACCCAGTCACCGACGAACAGTACAAAAAGTATTGAAGAGTATGATTGTTTACTGTTTACTCAAATTTGAAATAATATTTATCACAAAATCTAAATTATGCAATGTTATCTTGGGTGAATTTATATTGGGGATTGGGTGATTGTCTTTTTTTAACTTTTCCACTTTCTGTAGTTCCAGTGTTGCTTGCTGTTGTTTTCTGTTCAGTGAATGCTTGCACCCAACGATGATGTGGAACATGAGTTTGAGGGGGAACTGAATCGGATACAACAACAGCAGCAGCAGCAGCAGCTTTTTTTTACAGTTTATTTTTACAGTTTTCTTACCTATTTTTGGAAGATGACAAAGTGTGTTGAGGACTCCAATAAGGACTGTATCCAAAATGTCATAGAGCCTTATCAATTTGAACCAGAATACACAAATGACTTGCAGCAGCTTGAAGAAGAGAGAGCAAACAAGGGCGAAAAAGAGACTGAATTAGCCGCCGCTGAAGCAGAAGAAACCAGTTTATGAGGTAGAACAGCAAGGTGCAACTGTAATCTATCACAGCTCCTCTGATAAAACGTTACTCACATAAGCTATGAGTTTTGCTGACACAGTGTGATGCAACACCACCGTTTAGCAGCAGATAAAATGATGATATTTGTAGTGTAGACATATGGATATTTGGCTCCTAGTACTATAAAGGTGAACAATTTTGACGAGAAAGAAATTTCTCTAGAAAGGCGTGTTTCACACCAAACCACTCTGAATGTTTTGTTTACATCTAAATAGTTGAATGATTAAGTAATTTTGCAAAATTGGTGGCGTTCTCCTTAATGTGTCTTGCCCAAGGGCACAACCAGGTATACTTTGTCAATCCTGGGAATTAAATCCACAAGCTTTTGGTTGTTGGCTCACCTCATGTAAAAATGAATTGGTATAGAAGCTTGCATGTTCTCCCCATGTCTGTGTGGGTTTCCTCCAGGTGCTGCGGTTTCCTCCTACAGTCCAAAGGCATGCTTTCAGGCAAATTGGAAATGCTAAATTGTTCTAGTTGTGAATGTATATGTCTGTGTGTCAATCTTGTGATGGACTAGCAGCCTATCCAGGGTGTCTCTTGCCTTCTGCCCAATTAGCGCTGGGACAGCCTCCAGTTCCCTCTGCGACCCAGGAGGATAAGTGGCTTAGATAATGTAGGTGTGTGTGTGTGTGTGTGTGAATTAGGTACATAAACCCACACAAATGCTATAAATGGGAAAAATAAGGTGCAAGTAAAATGTAGGATATGGATCCTTCAAATCCTGCTATATAAGCCTAAATTATGCCAGTATAAAATAATTCACAGAACTCACAAAACATGAAGCCTCTTTGAGAAAGGTTCATTACATGTCTGTCCAAAATATAAAATGAGCATTAGCAGTATACTTTAAATGTTCTGGGAATGTCCTCAATTACAAACATGAAATTTTAAAATTGAAAATTCTCTGAAAAAAGAAATAAGAAAGACAGACTTGTAAGACATACAAGTTAGTCTGACTTGCCTTCCCTCTAGAGTTTGGAGAATTCCTTTGATTTATCCATGCTGACCACAAAAAGTGTTTTACCTTCAGTCATAATGAAGTTATTATTAATCAGTAGATTTCGGAGGTAAGCTCATTCATGAAAATTAACTTTTGGTATGAGGAATAAACCACAACATATATATATATATATATATATATATATAATTCTTGTAAAAATAGAAGAAGGGAAAAACATATATGTATATATGAATATATATATATATATATATATATATATATATATATGTTTTTTCCTTCTTCTATTTTATAAGAATTGAATGTCTTCAAGAATTGTCACCACACTGCATTTATTCCAATATCTTGTTCAAATAAAAAGACTGAAAAAAAACCCTTATTGATCAGTCTGCAAAGTGTCAATGACCACAAGTGCAAGAGAGTGCACAGCTCACAACCCCTATTTGTCTAAACCTGACCCAGAGTGTTAACTGTTCCTGTGACTGGGTATGAACTAGAAAATGTACCTACAAACGTGTGGATGAAATTTCTAGAATTAATCTCTAGAATTAAAGGATATTGATTGAAGTTCTTTACCCTCAAGTTTAGGAAATAAAAAAGCAAAGGTAAGACTTTATACAGTGGTTGGATTTATCACTTCCTATCTCTGTTCTTAATCTTTATTCAGTTATTCGTTATTGCAGTCAATGATTCATTTGCTTTCTGATCCTGATACTAGATGCAACAAGTAATGTAGCATGAATAAGTCATGGAGAGAGCATTTGAATAGTTTCTTTCACAGTTTATGTAACAGCACTTGACTACCTTTCCTGTAAAAAGTCTGGCTGTGGTCTACTGAAAATGTTGTGACAGATGGTCACTCATATGTGTTTCTTCCCTAGTTGACTATGTGTACAGGAAGGTGGGCTAAGTGCACAGGCAATCTGCTGTTTCCGTTGGCTCTGTGTTGCATTGTAGCCAACATTCTGCTCTTCTTTCCTAATGGAGAGGTATGGGGGACAGAGCAGATAATGGAGAGTGTCTGGTACTTCCCTGGAGTCATTGGAGGAGGAGTGCTGGTGAGGTCTTGTGTTTTGGGGCATAGAAAATATGGTTCATAGGTTTAAAGTTAGGTAATTCAAAATAAAAGACCCCATTTTTATGTAGAAAAACTATATTATTTTCAGTAAAACTCCTCATTTCTGGACAGCCAAAATAAAAATGACCTGGCTTTGCCCCTTTGGACAGAAAATGGTTTGACACTTATGCAATTTTTGCCTAGACCTTCAACTTCTTTTTAACTATTTGTTTTTTGTATTAAGTATTTGTATTTTACACTTTGTCAAGTTTTTCCATTTAACTCTACTTTAAAATTTTATTATGCCAGAAGGTTTACCCAACAGTCTTTAAATTGTTGAGGTAAACAGTAACTTTAATCAACTGTCTTGTGTTTAAATGTTAGCACTGTTATCCCAAGCATGATTAATAATGTTTTTTTTTTGCCTTACTTAGAAGCATAAATAAGTTACAGCTGTCATTTGTCTGGTGATAGAGGGCAACTCTTTGACTGGGGGTGCTGATTATTTTCGAAGAAATTTGATTTATAAACAAAATTGTCTTACTTTGGCTTTACCTCAAAAGTGATGGAAGCCATGTTAACCAGACTGAAATGCATTTAATATAGATCTTTAAATTGCAATGCAAAGTAGTCTACATACGTTCATGTGGTTGTCTATAATACTCATGAAAACGGATGGATATTGTGGTAAAATTTCTTCAAGAGACAATGAGTCCCACCACTGTACTAATTTTCAGACTTTAAGTCGATTTATTTTTCATTGCATATTTATGAGTAATTTACTGTTCATATAGTAAAGTGACATGCAAAGCAACATTCATGAGTGATTAAGAGCTCTATGCTAGACAAACCCATGAATGTAAATAGACTACTTTGCAAATTAAAGATCTAGATAACATGCATTTCAGTCTGGTTAATGACCCTTCCATATCTTTTAAAGTAAAGGCAAAGTAAAAGGCAGTAAAAGGCTAAGTTTATTTATAAAGCACATTTCTGACAAAATGATCAGCACCCTGAGTGAGGAAGGTCAAAGACTTACCACCTATCACTGGATCATCAGCAGCTGTAACTTTCATCATACTTTGTAGTAATGCAAAACAACATAACAAATCAATCCTTGGGATAACAGTGCTTATAACATTTAAACTCAAATAGTGTCAATTAAACATAGAGGATAACCAATGCACATTTATACTTGTGCCTTTTCCAATACCATAAGCAAGGAAGAACATCATTAAAAGTAAAACAAAACCTCTAAATTATTACTTAATCTGTGAGATAACGATGCTAGAATTTAAACCCAAGATAGTTGATTAAACTTACAATGTTTTCCTCAACAATGTATAGACTGCTGGGTAAACCTTCTGGCACAATACAATTTTAAAGAAGACATGGAGTAAAAAGGAGAAAGAATAACAAAATGTAAAATACAAATGCTTCATTAAAAAAAAAACTAACAATTATAAAGAAGTTGGAAGTCCAGGTAAAAAGTGCATAAGTGTCAAAGCACTTTCTGTCCAAATGGGCAAAGCCAGGCCATTTTTATTTTGGCTGTCCAGAAATGAGGAGTTTCATTGAAGATATTCAAATTTTTTAAATTAAAAAAGGCAATTTATTTTTACAAATATATCTGAGTACAATGACATAGTAGTCCATATTAATGTCATGTAAAACATGTATACTTTATGAATGTTGATTTAAACATGTTATGGAGTATTTATGTAAGATGTTATGAATGTCTTATGTGGAAACCCTTCAAGCAAAGTGTTACCGATAATTTAATCTGTACTGTGCAAAAAGTGGAACTGTCTTCATCACTGCCAAATAGCTAAAACATGTTACTGTAAGCTAAAAACAACTTGAAAGATTTGCTTTTCAAAAATGTTAAAAGCTGCTGCTGGAGTTTTCGACAGTTTAATACACTACACTAGACTTACTCTCAAGTTTAAACTAATAGACTACAATCAATGGCAAATTAGAGCTAGGCCGTAAATGTGAAAACTTGAGAAAAAAACCTACTTCAACGATAATGCTAAACTTCTGTTAGCGTCCCTATAGGATTCTAGTAGTTTGTTAGCATAAGCTAACAGCGATTTGTATGAACACTTTCTGACAAGGCTGAAGTTAGCTTTTTAGTGCATTTAGACACCAGAAAGGAACTACTGCTTAAGGTTTGATGAAATTTGGAAGAGGCAGTTCTAGATTTAACACGGACATTTGAAGCTTCTAAAAGACATTCCTTGTTTTACTTTAAGCTTGTGGCAGGCACACTAGCATGTAGTTTGCCTTGTAGCAGTTTCACAATGACTCTTTCTGTAAAGAGATCTGGTACAAAGCTGCTGACGCTGTTTTCCGTTTCTAACAACCCACTGATTAGACTGCTGCTAGAATTCAGTCAGTGTCGTATTTTTGACTTCCAGAAGGCTTACAATGATGTATTTTTCTTATGAAATTTTTCCTACCCTTTCGAAATGAAATTGTGATTGTTTGATTCTTCTGTCACTTCATAATAATGTTGATAGTTAATCTAAGATGTTAGAGCTTCTCTTCAGCCCTTGAAGTCCTAAAGCAGTGGCAGAGTTCGCTTACCTATATCCACCTAGATACCATGGAGAAAACCCAGATGATCTTCTCAGCTGTCCTTACAATCTGCTTTAGGGTCCTGCAGTGAAATGTTTCTCTGCACATTTTGTTTTCCCTTTTCCCAACATATCATATTTAATTAATCAGCTAATTAACAAGCCCTTCCTTCAGTGAACCTTCAGTTCAATGTGCTGTGCATCCCAATCCAGTCCAGTAAACACAGAAGGACAGGAAGTGTTGAAAATTTGTTGCGTAATGGTCTCAATACGTATAACAAGGCTTAGAGCTTGAAAGTCTAGTAACCCTAGGAGTGGTTTTGTGATGCCAGTCAGAACATATCATCACTGTCCAAAGAGAAACAAGTATCTCCAAAATGCTAAATTTACAGGAACAGGCAGCAACAGCATAGTCACAAAGCTGAAGACCACCACAATGATTCTCTTAAAATTTTTCAGGAGAAATAGCATTAGACAAAAAGAGACAAGATACAGGAGAAAGGAGAGATCAGAATTTAGTTGTTGCTAAACATGAGTGTTATTATATATGTTATTTATGGCAAATCTGAATTTGTGAATTTATTGTGATCTGTGAGATTACTGGAGTCTTTTGCCCAGGGGAAAATTTGTGCAGCAGGAAACGTAAGCAAAATTCTCATGCCTTTCCACCTGATTTCATTGTTGTCTAGGTGATATATTATATAAAGGGTAATATAATATAGCTCCTTTTTTTGCCTATAGGCTGCTGTCATTGTTACCCAAATGTCAGGCATGATGCATCTCTTTCATTGTCCACTTTGATAACAGTTCTCCTAAAAAACCTTTCCTCAAGGTGTGTGTCACTCTGTGATACTGTCTCTGCCTGTACTACAGCTCCTTCTCAAAAAGTCTCTTGCTAGACAGTCTGTCCATGCATGTCTCTTTGGATTATTTTTTGATTGTGCTCCTTTTTCCTCAATCTTTGTTTCCTAATGATTTTAGTGCTGAGATTTTAACTATTGTTGTGTAACACAGCTTCTTGTTGTTTCATATCAGGTAGTCTCATGTAGCACAGCCAGTTGTCAGTGGTGAGTTCTTGGGGTCATGAACCCTGTTATGTTTGACTATTCTCAAAGACAAACATGACACATGACCCTGTTTACATGCCTGAAAATGACATGTAGTCTTTTTAGTTTGGACTTTAATTGTTTACCATCACAGAAGGTTACATGAATTTCACATGTGAATATAACACATGGTTTTCAGCTCACTTCACATGTTAAACATACATTATGTGATCACATGTAAAAAGGTATTCACATGTGGAAATTGTTGATCTGTGAAAACCTTTAAACCTTTTTTTTTTGTACACTTCACATATGACAAATAGGTCACCTTTCTGTAAGGATATGTTCATTTTTCTGTCATTTTCTCATGCTTTTAGCACTGAGTCAACTGGTCTCATGTTGCACAGCCTATTGTTGTACCACATCCTGTTTGTCACAATTTTATCTCATATTGCTACATTTTCTGTATCGTCTTTGCTGATGTCAAATCAGAATGTAGCTAAGGTTAAACAGTCTGTGACAGCCCTGAAATAGTGATTTCCCTGTACAAACACACCTGATAGAACGAATGAGTTATTTATAGGGTTTATAGAACAAAGAAATTACCAAACTGTACTAGGCAGTTATAAACCCTGCCTCTTCTTGACACCTAAACTGGGGTCTCTCAAATTTGACGTTATGCATGGCCATACAGTGCTGCTGGAATGGAAAGGAAAGAAAGGAAATGAGAGCCTGTGCACATATCTTAAACTAATGTGCTACAGCTGTTGCACATGGGAAACAGCAAAATTGCATCTTGCAAGGGGAATTCCTTACTTTGAGCGATAGCGATCTAAAGGCAACAGACAGTTTTCATCTGCTGTGTTTGCTCTTGATGTCTTTACTGGTAGCTCAATACACTTATTTTTTCTTGTTGAAGGGTCAGCCATTCAGATTGTATCAATCATTAGCTGCTTTCATTTTCAACTTGGCCTGACTTTGGCTGACTTGATGGTCAACGTGAACTGAAGGACAGATTCTACTTCTCCAGGCGTAAGCTCACAAAAGTGACCTATCTTGCAGCAATTACCTTTATTGTTGCAGACCCTAGGGCCACACTTTGGCATCACCTTTGGGAGAGACAAGCATAGGAGATAACAGATCTGAAGTCAAAACGTAACATATGTGAGACACACACCATGTTTGTCATTGGAGATTCCAGCCAATGAGGATGATGACCTGACATCACAATAATGTGTCGTAGCTCGTATTGCATCTACAGCGCCTGACTTAAAAAACTGTGACATGGTGACATTCTGCAGTGATGGCGAGACATTCTGCAGTGATGGCGAAAGTTAGACAAAATTTACAACCAGCATGCATTGTTTTAAGTCCAGCACACATCACGTTACGTGAGGGCTGTGCAGAGCTGTATTAAGCTGAAAAAAAATATATGTAAGGTAAAAAATATACAGTATATATTAAGTACTGATTTAAATATGATAATGGAGAATGCATTCATCACATTTAGTGGTAGGCTGTTGGTCACGGCCTTGGCGTAGTCACTCACAGGGTTTAGAAGCAACAGAATACATGTAATGATGTTACGTCATCAGGATGCAAAAAAACGTTACTGTAATCCGTTACAGTTGCAGCAAAAAAGATAGTAATCAGATTACAGGTACATTCTAAAATGAGATGATTATCAGCAGGATTACATTTAAATTACAAACATGCAGACTTGTTGCCTTTTGTCTAAGTTCACCTTTTTCAATGATAAATATGTCCAATGAATTGTGCAGATTTCAAGAGTTTTTTTTTTTACTGTGGGAGGTGGATAGGCAGAGGCCTCTGCTGCTAGGAGAGATCTTTGAAGAATCTCCCTCCTCAGCAGCAGTTCACAGTCTTTTATTCAGCCAGTCAACAGAACTTTTAGTAACCGTTTCACTTATATTGTCAGAACTGAGATCTGCAGTGTTTTCCTGAAGATGAACCGGGCCTCTGCTTTTTTCACATTGCCAGATTCTACAACACCAAACTAATTTGATCTAGAAGTAAACTTTTTATTCTCTGTTGTTGCTTCATGAAATTCTACATTCATATTCTATTCATAAATTTAGCTTTTGCGAATGTTATCTTGCCAGATTTGCTAAAGTGAGGTATTAACATTAACAAACAGCTCTGAATCAGGAAAAGAGAGCGAAGTCTCTGAGTGGCATAGTTTAATTTTTGCAAGTATAATTCTTCCTTCAGTAGTTTTTGAATGATGGGAGCAAAATGTTAATTTGAGTGAGAGTTAATCAGCTGAGAGCTGATTAGTCCGAGCATGACGCACCAACATGAAACCTTATGAGCTAGTACAGCCTATTAGTAGATAGATCCCAAAGGTTGGCCAGTTAGTTTCAGAATGGCATCAGTTTGTTATTATTGTTGATGAGGGGTCACAAATGAGATTTCTGCTTGATTGGTCTTTTGACTTAATATGGTAAACAACAGATTTTAGCAAATAGCGTAAGGCAAAATCACAGGAGAACGCACACACATCTTCTAAGCCACTTATCCTTCTGGGTCTTGGGGGGAGCTGGAGCCTATCCCAGCAGTAGGAGAGCAGTATAGTTTTAAACTATATTGCATTTGCATGTTGATCTCAATGAACTGGATCACTCTTCAGCAATTACTTGTTTCCCTGCCTTTCCTTTTAGTCTTCTTTCATTTTCTTGTCACTCATTTTTTTTCCTGAGAAGCTCTGCCTTGATTTCTGAACTTTGCACTGCTCACAAGTGTACATGTACAAATGTGTCATCTTTATGTTTCCATATATTTCTCCTCTAAGATTTGGCTGAATGTGTGATCAGTGACTGTTCGTGTGAGTATTTAGGTCACTTATAAACTATTATTCTGTTTCATAAAACAGTTTTTGTGTTTGCTTTGTGTTAAGTTCAATTCCTGGTGAAAAAGTCTTGTTGAAATATTTTTTACAGATTTTTATCTTGACTATATTTAACTATGCAAATTTAAAAAGACAAGTAATCCAAACGTAACTGAAAGTAATCAGATTACATTACTTTAATAAAGTAATCCTTTGGATTAGGTTACAATTACATTTTTAGCAGGTAACCAGTAATCTGTAACAGTATACTTTTTTAAAGTAACCCTCGCAACACTGGTCACACCATAAGCTTCAACCAAGACCATGGAATGGCCATGAGTAACTGATGTGACCTCAGAGACCTGGGGCAATGTAAGAGTGGAGCAAGTATGCAATGTAGGAGGGGTTTAGCCCATGTAGAATTTAAAAAAAAAAACAATAGTGGACAGAGAGGCACTGAAGAAAGAATAAAACTGGAATGATTAGGTGTCATTTGTTGGAGCCGTGTGAGCAGTGCAGCAGCAGCATTTTGTTCCAATTGAAGACATGCCTAAAAAACTTAATAAAGCCTACATACAGAGAATAGTTTGTACAAGAGCTCAAAAGATGGCTTGATATTCTATATTATAATTGCCCAGACAACAAAGGTGATTTACTGATCAAATCTGAACAACGCTCCCACATTTTTCAACAGTCCGTGTTATTATTAGTAATTGGGGGAGCAAAAAGAATGATATAAATTTTATTTTTTTATTTAGTTATTTTCCTATTTAGTGAAAAATAGCTGACTATCCTTTTAATACCCTTAAGATGCTTTAGTCACACAGAACATTGGACTTTAAATTGAGCTCAGTATCACTGCCATAACAATAAAACTAGATATTTATACACTATATTACCAAGTGCAAACATATACAAAGAGGAGAGATCCTAATATGAAGACTTGAGGAACCTCTCAGTCAGAGGTTGAACCATGTCCATGGTTTTGGAATGGGATGTCCAAAAAGCTCATAGAGGTCTGATGTATATATAAATATAATGTAGCATTATACAATGAAAGTTTAGTTCCAGATGAGTGTATTATCTTCGCAAATCTGAGGACAAAGTGTGAGTTTATTGAGATCTTTAATTTTTTCTACACTCCAAGCACATTTGTTTCTCAAATAACCCAGCCAAAAGCAGCCCAAATTGGTAGAAAACTGTCCAATCTGTTTGTAACGATGAACCACATTGAAAACCATGGTTTCAGGTTTCTTTGATGACACTAAGTTACTTAATGTGCAGGCAAGTCTACAACTCATTCTTAGACAATAGCTATTACAATGAAATTCAAATGAGCTTAGCTCACTAAAGTTTATCTAGATCAATGAGACATTTCAGTCTCTCACCATAGTCTTACTGAACATATTTCTTGATGTTTCTTTGGATTGTCTGTGTTTGTATGTGTGATTTGCTAGGTGCTCCTACCTGCTTCAGTAATGAGGGCAGCTGGAATGGAGGGGAGCTGCTTTGCCAACAGATGCGGGGTGAGTATGTGTAACACTGGTGTGCATGTATGAGACAGATGTGTGTGTGTAGACAGTTGTATGCATAAGTTAGGACATCCCTGGTCTGTTGATTTTTGAAAGTAAAAGAAGTAAACACAATTTCTTGTGCAACCATTAGAAGAAAAAACGTTTTTGCAAATGTTAATGTACAGTCTTTTATATTTGATTAAATTAAAAAAATAAAACAAAATTTGGACATGCTATTAAGTCCGTACTTAAAAACACTTCCTTTGGGACACATGACAGCTTGCAAATGCTTTTCTAGATAGCTAGGAGTCTTTTTGTTTTTGTTTTCACCCACTCTTCCTTGGACAATGCTTCTAGTTCTGTGATATTTTTAGGATCCATGCTTAACAGTTGGCAGGGTGTTATTTTCTTCAAATTTTCTTCACTTGTTTCCAAAATGCCTTTGGGTTATCTACATGTTGTTTTCATAGTTTAGACATTGACTTTTGCATTGAGGTTGTAGGTAAGGTGACTCTTCCATGCAGATCATGATTGTGCAAGCATGCAAGCATTGCTGCATGGTACATAGGTGCTCAACCACTCCTATGTCAGTGAAACCTTCCTGTGGATCATTTGCTCTCATGTGGGGGTTTTGCTTTGCCTTTCTGGCTAGCGTATGAGCAGTCCTAGCTGAGAGTTTTCTTGATCTTTCAGATCTTACTTTGACTTCCACTTTCACCTGCCATTTCTTAATGACATTTTGGGGAGTGCAAAGTAATTTGAAAGGTTTTATAGCCTTCCCCTGCTTTGAAGTCATCAATTAGCTTCATTTTCATATTTTCAGTCAAATGCTTAGAGGAGCCCATTGTTGTTGAGTGTTAGCACAAGGTTTGAAAAGTCAGATAATTCATTACACTTATCATCACCAGCATGACATTGTCATCAGCTGGCAGTTTCTAATTACAATTCTTGACCTGCTTAACTTGTCCTAAGGAGTTAATTAAAAGTTCAGAGACTACAACTTCAGAGGGGTGTCGAAACTTTTGCACATAATTACTATACCATATATTTTTTTTCCATCAAATATAAAGTAACTGTGAATTAACATTTGCAGTTTGTTTTACAGTTTGCTGCAGATATTGAGTATGTTTACATGCACTTAAAAATTTGATAAATGCAGAAAATCAGATTTTGTCAGTAATTCTATAACACATTTACAGGGACTTGAATAATTAGATAATGGGAAGGTTCAGGTCTACAAGAGTCAGGCAATAATCAGATTTCTGCTTTGCAACACACCAATAAACTCCCAGAAAAAGGATGTGAAGTAAAATTTGAACTTTTTGCCACAGTTTTTTTTAAACATGGATAATTGTACTGGCAAATAAGAAAATGTTTCAGCTACAAGATGAAGTTCTTATTCTACACCTTGTCAAGCATGTAGTTGGTGTCAGCATTGCTTCAAAAGTGTTTTGTGGCCATTTCACAGGTGCTGTGCTGAATGTTGCTTGCAGTTTCCCAGGACAGTTCTTAATATTTCTGCACAGAATAAGAACAGTAAAAGAAAGGGAGTAAGGGAACACGTACTGGAAAACCTGATTACTGAGCTAAAATCCAGGTCTCTGGTCTTTTTATCAGATTTCTTGTAATACAAAACAACCTTAATATGATCTAAGAACTAAGAACTAGAGTATGCTGTTTTCAGGACACTAGAAAAATCACATAACTTCCAAAATCCGTTAATCACATAATTGTATTATTGGTGTTCATGTAAATGCACTTATTGGGTTTGCTCCAAAATCAACAAAATATGTAGTTTGGCCAAGAGTGCCCAAATGTTTGCATACAACTGAATATATAAATCACATGCAATATCTGCATAGACAAAGTTAGAGTGCTAATATTGCAAGTACATGGTCTTTATAAATGCATTTTCGTTATAATGACCAAATGTATTAAATTTGGGGTTGTGAAATATGGTATTTTCTTTGGGGAAGATGGTTGGAAGCTTCTTTTGCTGACAACAGATCCAGACATGTGTGGCACTAGATAATGTACTTGGTCTTTGATATTGCAGATGATGGTTTCCATGCTGCTGTCTGCTGTGGGTGTGGCTGGAGCACTGTATTGTATGATAGTCTCTGTGGTTGGGCTGCAGGATGGCCCTCTCTGTGACACTGGAGATGGCATATTTATCTACCCCTTCTTCAATCAGACTTTAAAGTAAAATGCATTCACCCACACACATCCTCTTTGTTAGCACTAAAAGGAAGCGTTTCTGTTTTGTTTGGGGAACAGAAAGTGTATTTACTTTAAGGAACGGAAAGTGCAACTAATGTGGCCTAGTTTCAACTTTTGAGTCACTTCATGGATTCTTTAAACAGCTCTGAAATTACTAAAGCTTAATGTTCTTTAAACACAAAGCCATTACCATTTCCACTTAATCCCCACCTTAAACAATTTTTTTTCATTTGCTAAATAACCTGAAAACTGCTATTAGTCTTAGTTTAGAAGTCTTAAAGCCAGAAAATTTTAATCTTGGAAAAGCTGACTATTTAAAAAAAAATAGTTCAAACGTTTTTTTTTCACCACAGTGAAAGCTACTTGTTTAATCAGGAAGTTTGGGACGTGTGTGAGCATCCAAAGAATGCAGTTCTCTGGAACATAGTTCTGTTTTCCATTTTGTTGGGTGTTGGAACCCTGGAAGCTGTGCTCTCGCTGTCGCAAGTCGCCAATGGCCTTCTGGGATGCCTCTGTGGAACCTGCATGAACAAGAGACAGGTACATTAGCTTTATCTCTCTCTCTCTCTCAGCCTCACAGAGAACATCATTGTCTGTTAGTGTGTGTAATAGACAGTAGCCAGTCATGGAAGCTGCACTTGTGAAACTGAAGATAAATGGCGATTGTTCCAGAGAAGCATGAAGTTAATACTGCCTCCTAGTGGTGACTAATGACCACTACATTTTAGATACAACTAACATCTTATTGAACTCACTTGTTTTGTTTTATCCTACAGGGTAATATGGCATAAACATCACTGCCTTATCTCATTCTGGAATGGTGAATCCTGTGTCTGAGACCTGTTCTGCTACCACAGCAGTTAGTTCAGCAACATCATCATCTAACTATACACTTGACCAATCTAAAGATGGAGACCAACCACACCATTGCAACTGTATGGAGATACCTTTTAGTGATCATCGTTTTCTCCACAGTGATTTCATGATGCTGCTGGAATTAAAGCTATAAACTTGAGACCTCACATATAAAACATTTGTACTTACAGCTTCAAGTAGTAATTTGCAAAATTTAAATTGGTGGAAAAAAAGGGGCGTAGATCAACGCAAATTTCCAACCTGACATACAAACAGCAGGCATTACTGCACCTTGCGCTGTGATTTTAAAAGCCAAATTATACGCAAATGCTGAGAACTTAAAGAGCAAGTTTAGATTGAAATGTAGGTATGTAAATGAGGCCTCAGGATTCCCATCCAGTCCAGAGCTCCCCATACTAGGCACATTTCTGTGCTTCCTAAATCTACCACACCTCAACTAATTAACAAGCTCCTCCTGTGCTGGGTCAAATGTGTTAAAGCAATGAAAACACTTTGAAAAGCACTGCTATAAACCAACAAAATCAGTATGTGCTTGCAGCGTGAGCTAAAATAATTAAAAATTTGACCAAATAAAGTAACATGAGTTTTTTTTTCTCATGTTACCCTTTTTGATCATATGATCAACCACATACCTTGGGAAGCATCTTTATTTGGCACTGAACATTTATGCAATATCAAGAGCCTTGCTATTTAGTCATTTATCTTTCAACGTTGAAAACCTTCACTTTCCTACTGACCCAAAAATCGATTAATTTTCTTTTGACTTAAGCTTATCACATTTGAACTTAACTGTGGAATCAAATCCACTCTACTGCTTTTTGCTCACAGTGGACTGAACATTTAGAAAATAAAGCAGCTACATCAGAGGAGTCCAGTCGAAGCTGCAAAGGACTGGTGTGGTTTTCATAACAAACAAGCAGGCACACACCTGATTTCACACCGTGCTTTCCATCTTCAGTTGATCATGTGTGCTCATACTTAGCTCTAATGAAAACCTGCAACCACACCGGTCATTTGCGGATAACCCTGGACACCTCTAATCTACATGGCAGAATCTTAGTAAAACAGCTGAAATATACCATAAATCTGACGCAAAAGAATACATTTACAAGCCCAAAACCACATAAGCTTTTCAGTTTACAATCAAATATGTAATGAGTATACATTTTATTAAACTACTATTTAGAATATGATACTTTTTGACTGCATCAAAAAGTATTTTTATAGCTTTTGTAACTATTAACCACTTCTACTGCAGAACTAACTTACTATAATAAAAGATACATAAAAATACCCACATTATAAACATTTTGTTTATTTGTTAGGCTTAAGAATAAGTCCAGAGCCCAAAGTCTCTTCTTAAGAAAAAAAAAAAAAGATCTGCAATTAGCATCACAGCATCACATGAAACTGCAGAACAAAGTACAAATAAAAGTGGTATTAAGCACAAGTCAGAGACAATAACTTCTCTACAGCATAGAGTGACCATGGCCATTTATCATCGCTGCTCAGACATAACAGCACAACTGGTGAAAATGAATTGCCACACAAAACAAGAAGACTTCAGTGAACAGTGAAGTGAAGACAAGAGAAGCAGAAAGAGAGTACAGATTCTGCATACACATGAGTTCTAAGGACAGGGAGTCAGTGCTGCCATTAGAAGCTCCATTTTGTAGACAAAGTTCCTGCCCTCCATCCTGCTCCAGTGCACTTCCTTATATGGCCCCCGCAAATGACTCCACTTTCCATCCTGCAACACGTCACTCTTTGGCAGGTCTTTAGCCTGGCAACGTGGAAACTGAACGAGAACCTTACAGCCACTCTCGGGTCCATTCCGTACTGCACACCCAGAGACATACAAACAAAAGTGGTTGCACAATTAATTGGACAAGGCTTCCTTACTGGTGTAGTTAACAGGCTGGCATACTTGTAATAGGTTGCCATACTTGCTTCAGAGTTATACTGGGAATTCTACACTGCGTATTTGTTGCAACAAATTTAAATGTATGTTTGTTATAACAATGTATGGTCATTCAATCGGACATAATTAAAACCTTGTCCCAAACTGAGGTGGCAAATGTATGTATGTGTATAGAGCTATGTGTGCTTGGAGGCGGGTGTGTGGGAATACCCGAGATGGCGTACTCTCCGTTGGGTGATGCTACAGTGATGGCAGAGGCATTGCCAATGCTTTCGACAGCTCCAAGCCCCACATGGTTACTGAAGCTCAGCACATGCCAACCCATCACCTTTGCCAACTGTTGTACTGCATGCACCTGATGCTGAGACATCTACAACAAACACAAATACAAAGACATCAAGTTCTAGAGTGTCTTGGGTCCTTGAGGATTGGACTGAAGCTCTGCTTTAAGGCAAATAACTTGTTTTATGTAGTTCTCATATGTTTCTGCTGACAAACCATGATCTTGAATGTAGGTGCATGTGTACCTGTGATAGTAAAAAGTCTTGCAGCTCTTGCTCCTGGTGGGAAAGAGTGATGACTCTACCATCTCTGTGCACCACCCTGATCTGCTCCACCCCAATATTCAACTGCAACTGAATAGACCTGAGCAAGAGAGACGGAAATATGTAATTCAAATGTTGTGGAGAGCCACACTATGACACAGCTTGGAGTGTGAGAAACCACTTTTTTTCTGCGCTTACTTGCAGATCTGCTCATAGCCCTGTGAGGTGATTAACACTTTTACACTGGACTCATAAACATCGTTAATGTTGGACCAGTGAGCCTGAATCTGAGGATCCTCTATACGACTTGCCAAGCAGTCAATGGTACGTGCCGCCCTATGAAAGAGAGAGGAAATTTGTGTGTGTACCTGCTTGTGTAAAAGACAAACAGTGTTTGTATGGAACAAATAACATTGGCCCACATTTTATATTTATCTAAGAGCAAGAACACTGATCTAAGATGAGATCTATTCAGTATTATGTGAAAAGGATTTGCTGACCCTAGATCATCATTCATACTCCGAGACGTTTGATGGACACAGGCCATTGTGTGCATGTCCATTACCTGCTCCTGAGGAAAATGTGTTTGGCTTGTTTGACGATTTTCTCCAGCAGGCCCTCACTGTGCTGTAGACAGCTGATCTCAGCTTTATCGTACGCCATTGGCCCAGCCAGTCGCAACCGCTTTGGCCCAAATGGAGCACTTGCAGGGTGGGGCATAACTGACGAGCTCAAGGTTTGCTTATGGAACTACAAGCGCACACAAGAATAATGCAAGATTTACTCTCAAAACAAAAATGGTAAATGCTACTTCTCCTCAGTCCCTCCAAGAACCTCGCCATCTAAAACATGGCTTATGTGTTTGCGCATGGGTGGGAGAGTGGTTTAAAGTTAAAAACAACAACAGGGAACTGAGTAAGCAACAGACTGTGCATCTGTGTACAGCTGATCAGATTTTTGTGCGTATGAGAATGTGTACCTCTCTAATAAGCTGGTGCAGGTTGTGCTCAAGCACATAAAGGTGGTCATCTGGCTTGGCTTTGTCAGGTGAAGTTCTCTGGTTTTTCTTCTCCACAGTGGAGTGGCACAGAGAAATGGAGAGCTGCAGCCCTGTAATTACACATGCACTTACATAAAGCCCTGCAAACACCGAGCTCTGATAAACTACACATAGAGTCTGGCAAACACCAAACTCCCACTATATCCACACACACTCACAGCCCTGCAAACACCAAACTAGAGAAAAACATAGACAAAATTTGTAAACACCAAACTACCATAACATGCATATAACACTGTATTACGAAAGTCTTCTAATAGTAGTCATTGATGTGTATGGATTAAACCAGGGGTGTCCAATCTTATCCGCCAAGGGCTAGTGTGGCTCTTTACAGTATTAAAACAGTATTATAACGGTTATTATCAGTCAAGCTAAACACTCCTGTCCAATGACAGGATAGTTTCTTTTCTTTTTCTCTATATTCAATTCCGTATAATAATTGTAAAATCCTATTTTCTATTCATATTGCTCTTGTTTTATTATTGTTATATTGCTATCAAGTGTTGACCAGAGGAGGATGGGTTCCCTTTTGAGTCTGGGTTGATTCCTCTCAAGGTTTCTTCCTTTAGCTCTTAGGGGGTTATTTCTTGCCACTGTAGCTTGCTTATGGGCCTGGTCCTAGATTCTCTGCAAAGCTGCTTTGTGACAACTGTCATCTGTTGTCAAAAGTGCTATATAAATAAATTGTGACTTTTATCTTTTACTTACACAGACCTGCAAACACCACTTCAGTCACCATTCTGATGCATGCACACTGGCATATATGCACTCAGATACCGGTACTACACAGCCATTCAAACCCTGTCTCACACATACACTCCCATATCACCACACACACAGTAAATTACTGAGCTACTTTGAGGGAGCCAGGTATTTGTGTGTCTATTCACCAGGGAAAGGCTGGGAGATTATCTGGTTCTTGACAACGATGTGTGGAATGTGGGATTTTATCTGCACAGCCTCCCGAGAGAGCTGAGCGAAGATCTCCTTACAGAGTAGCACATTCTGAGCAGCTTCCAGCTTTAGATGCCATGCCTGGGAACCTGAGGGAGGAAGGGAGGGAGACATTAAGAAATCAATTAGTGCTTCTTGCTTGGTTTGTTTAGCTGACAAGTCTCTAAGAAAAGATTTCTTTTATCAGTTTTAACCAGTACCTGGCCTGGCCTTGGGTTGCCTTCTTAAAAGGTTTACTGTGCCCAGGTCTCCTATGTCAGGAGCCTGTTTCTGAATAGAGACCTAGAGAGAGACACAACATGGATTCTTCCTTAAGCTCTAGGTCATGTTTGGTTTAGCACCATGTCAGTGTACTTGATGTCTAGCGAGTGACTTCACCTTTATGTAAGCCGAACCCTCCAGGTCGCTGGGGATCTGGACATTGAGAGGACAGTAATCATCTGGGATCTTCTTATCTAAATCAATATCTGTGTTCTTAATGACCTCAAATGTGCCATGATGGGTAAACAGAGATCCTGTAGGGTTGAAAGGACATTTACTGCACACCACTGCAATTCTCAACAAACCATAACACAGTCAAATTCCTTAAAATACATATCACCATTAGATCAACAATGTGTCATTTAGTGTCAGCCCATGTCCCTAAACTTCACAGGATAGTCTGTTGGTGTGGTGAGATTAGGGCTGCAAATCACAGACACATGCACACAGAGTCAGTGACTCCATGCTTATTTTTTGTTTCAGCAAACAAGAAATGTCATGAAGAAAGATAAATGAAATAATTAATAAAGAAAATTATCTGAATACAAGGCATCTTTTAAAATGATACATTCCATACATTTTAAGAGGGTTTTGGTTCAAAGTCAAAAATGTGGTGTAGTGGTGTACAAAAGTGGTGTAGCCAACCTAAAATGTGTTACATGATAAAAGCATCACTAAAAGCCTGAAATTACCCACCCCTTTTCATAGTAGTTTACAATTTTATAGTAGTATACTATATTCATATTTTAAATGTCTTTTTATAGGGTTGCATCAATACCAATACTGGTTTTGGGCTGATACCGCATTCACTTACTCATACTTGTAAAAATTCACTGAAACCAAAAAATGATATCACCTGATACTGTGTGATGTAAGCTGAGCGTAGCTGCCACGCTATTGAACAAATGCAGTGCAGGAGGCTCTGTTCACACAGTGAAGAGTTATTGACTCCGTGACAATCGGATTCAAAGCCATCTATCAGTTTAAACATTCTGCCTTGGAAGATTCCCCACCAGATACACACTTTCCGATTTTAACTCATTTTTAAACACACACAAACACAACCGCTTCCCCAATACAGGTGGAGACATGCAGGCCAGCTAAATGAAGGGGAAAGAAAAGTTGACATTCGCTACCAAAGTTCGTTTATATCGAATTTACTCTGATTTTTTCAAAACTGTTTTGGTATAACAGGCTGTAGAGAGACCTCATTGTGCTACTATGTACATCATCACCTTTATTTTCGCTTTAGTACTCAGTGTTAGCAGCGCTGCTTACTTTCTCTATGCTCAGTACTCAGTGTGCATCGTGTTATCTTGAATGAAACCACTTTATTTGAAATTGCCCGTAGACACAGTTGTGAGGTCTCCAGAGGCTGCGTTTAACATAGCACTGCTCGAGCGTTTTTGTCAGTGTAAGTAGGGCTGGGCAATAACACGATAACGATAATTATCGCGATAACTTTTCCTCGATAGAGCGATACGACATGTTCGCTAAATGTTCGATATAATACACCATTCTCACACTTCCACATTCTAGCGAAAGCCTTGGCGGCGTTTTCTACTGCAAGGAAAGCGAAACTACTCTGTTGTCGCCAGGAGAGGGCGCACTTCCGAGTTTTTCAACATGATTTAGAGAGGGAGGGGCCACGAGTAAGATGAGTCTTTAGCAACGGCTGAAACGCGGAGTTATATATTCCCTGTTTGAGTGGAGCGACCGGTGATCTGCTCTCCTGTGACCGAGTGTGAGTGACGAGGTCAGTGGTGTAACTATACTGTCCTACAGCGAACTCACCTCTTTCCTAACATCCTAACCAGCTTTAGCAGCATTAAATCACAATCACAATCCTCACAACTGCAGCGCTGTTACAGCGCTCAGACAGTCATATTTAAATATTAGTGCATTCCCAAGCAACGAAAGTGAAAGAAAGAAGTGGGTTCATGTTCGTTACAGCCCCGATTTCAATGAAAGTAAACTGAGGAAACTGTGAGGCATTGGAGAGCGGGAGAGCGCTAACGCTAGCTTTCCAGGCTAGCTGTTTTTAGCAGCTGGCTAACTTGAAGCAGCACTCCGTCACTGCACAACACGGTGAATTGATGATACTGTAGATCAAACACGACACAAAAGCACCGCTTTCAGTTTAAACGTACCTAAAAAGAGGACTCTGTCTGGTGTTGATATATTGAGGTTCACCCCTTAAACTACTACGACAGTACAAAGAAATCCAATCGTCACTAGCTGGTGTCTGAATACTGTGCTGTCATTTGTAACGGGGTAGCCGAGCGCTCGTCACCAGCTAAAAATAATCTGTTTTCTTTCTTAAATTATGACTATTACAAAAATAGCCATGCTTTTCCAGCTAGTAAAAACAGCTCACCAGACACTTTCTCCCATTCTCCCATGACAGATTTGTGAAATGTCCCACTGTTTGGTGAGTGTTTGTCATGTTCTGATCATAAAGGATAGTTTAAAACAGCAGTTAACCACCCAGGAGCAAAAATCAGCCTTCAAACTTGAAAGAAATAATAATTTGACATTTATTGTGATATGTATCGATATCGAACGATATGAATTTTGTTTATCGTGATAACATTTTTGGCCATATCGCCCAGCTCTAAGTGTAAGTCACCAAAAAACAAGATTCTAAAATCACACAGTGTATATTTGGCTTTTGAGGATATTTAACTACAGCTCAAACAGCCAAACTTAATACTTCAGACATAAAGCTCCACAAGTGAGCCCCTCAGATGCACTAGTCTCAGATGTGATTCCTGCTGTCACTGAGCTACAAAGACTGATGTTAAAAAGAGACAGATCCCAGCAAACACTGTTATGTTGTGACAACCTATTGTTTTGGTGCCTACAACGTTGAAATATAAGTTCTCAGAAAGTTGTGACAACGTTATCTGACAATCCTAAAGCTGTCAAAGTCGTTGCTTAGCAATGGCGTCTCAGTGGAGTGATACAGTGTTTGTGGAAAAAAACGCATGGTTAGAACGCTTCTCAACCAAACGGCTTGCGTGGTCGGAACTAACTGTTGTATAATACATAATGATAGTCATAATTATGGGAAATTCTCATTGTCATCACTTACTAAATGGTCTTTTTTCTCCTCAGAGGTGGAAACACTTTTCCGGAGTGTCACAATACGCATATCAATATTAATTTTTTTTTTTAATACAGGGTTGTGAGACGATACATGCTGTGAACTGAATGCAATTAGATTTCATGCTGTCAAATACATGATATCAGGAATGGATTCTACTTTTCAGTTTAACACAATTTGTTATAAGGTTCCTAAAATGTGAGCCACAAACAGAAAAAAACTTTGCTACAGAACTGGAGAAACTGCTCTCTGTGCAAGTATCAAAAACCCATGCTAATCACTCAATTATGGCTGTGCACTTCAGTTGTGGTGCTGGTCTCCTGAGTGGCACAGCCGTCTACGCTGCAAAAAATGGTATCTTGGAGAATTTTTAAGTCAATATATGTGGTATTTCTCATTTTGAGATTGCTATAAGGTGATATAATGATGGTATAACATATAACACGATATAACATTATTTAACTTAATTCTAGACATTTTTCAGTTGAATAATTTTATTACGTGAAATGATCTCACTATACTGGCAGATAATTTTGCTTTTTTTAAGAAATATGCTCAGAACAAGCAAAATTATCTGCTAATATCTGCTCTCACACGCATTTCAGCCAGAAGGTAAGAGCCAAACTTTATAAGTGAACACATAATTAGACTGTTAATTAGCTTGTAAAGCACATTTTGTTTAATTCTGAGATGTAGCCTCATGGTTTACATTTTTTGTTACTTGTATTATTATGAGCCATACTAACACATGTTTGCCAAACATGTAATACACATCTTGCACTTCAGTTAATATTATTTGTTGTCTTCTGAAAAACGAATTGTACCAGTTATCCCTTCAAGTAAAACTTGGAATTACCAGAAAATAAATACAGAAATAAATATATGCAAAACGTATGCTAGCATTTCTTACCTAATTTTATATTTAAAACAAATCTGCAATACGTATCGTATCAAGAAATTTGCATATTGTTGCACCCCTTCTTTAAATAAAAAAAAACTGTTAAAAACTATACTGATACAAATAGCTAACTAAATAAATAGATAGGTAGAGTGGAATTAAGCAACAACTGTTATGGGCAAAATAATAATTAATATGTGTACCAATTTAGTCGACCAAGATGTTCTTTTCAGGGCCAATACCACACCAATTATTAGTAATCAAGGATACAGAGCTAATACATGGCGTCGATATTCATTTACCATAAATTTGATGTTTGCAGTGTGAAAATTTAAGGGAATGCAACTCTTACTTGAAACTTACATTAGATGAACGTGCTTTGAGCTTTAGACAGTACAGGCTACAAAAAATGTAACAAACATTTTAAAGTTCAAATCTTCAAAAGTTAAATAGCTCTCAGTGATGCTTAACAGTCAGTGAGGTTTGTAAGAAAAATAGTGGTCAAAAAGGGGTGTAAAAACTTTAAATTCAAAATGTTTACAAAATTATTATATTTATGAAAGTTGTATATAAACAGATATGTGGCATGAGTCACTGACAGTGTTGAAGTGAAGCGAGGTGTTGAAAGGGAGCGGAGCTTGCCGTGCAAAGGAGAAAACCTAGATACAGACTAGAAACTGTATAAAGCCTACACTAACCAAACACACACACACACACACACACATTTTCTAAGCCGCTTATCCTTCTAGGTCACGGGGGAGCTGGAGCCTATCCAAGCAGTCATTGGGTGGAAGGCAGGATACACCCTGGACAGGTCACCAGTCCATCGCAGGGCAAACAGACAGACGCATACATTCACACACACACTCACACCTAGGGGCAATTTAGCGTGTCCAACTGGCCTGCCTGCATGTCTTTGGACTGTGGGAGGAAAGCAGAGCACCCGAAGCAAACCCACAAAGACACAGGGAGAACATGCAAACTCCACAAAGAAAGGACCCTGGTCGTCCGGCCAGGAATCGAATCCAGGCCCTTCCTGCTGTGAGAAGTGCCGCCCTTAACCAAACACAAAAAAATGCAAATGTTTTACAGTAAAAATATTACACTAGGCATCTGAGCAATCATGCAGCAAAAAATGGTCACAACTACTACTGTAAAATCACAACAATGAAGGAGTATGAATGTTAACATGTTTATTTCATTTAGTTGTTCCACCACAAATGCATTCTATGTGATAACAAGCGGTAGTTGGACATGTTGAATGTATTTAGGTGTATTCTGCGCTGCATGATTCTATGGAAATGGCTCGCTTAATCTAAGCAGTGTAGTGGAATCTTTGACAGTAGTATGCTGCAGCTGTCTGTACTTTAAACAAGTAAAAACAGAAATTATGCATATTTAATCAATGTAAAATAATATGCTATGATTTTACAAATAATTTACCGCTTTCGGGAGGCTCTGCTGCATAGTTTGCCCACACATTCTAAATGTGTTCAAACTCCTACAGAAGCAGTGTATCTGTTCCCACACACAGAAAGCTCACTCTCACCAAACCAATGTGATGTTTCAGGCAGGGCTCAGAGCTGCATGCACGAGTCACAATTGTCTGGCTATATTGAGTAAAATTATATGACCGACGGCGCTGCCAATTAGGTCGTCCACCGTGACATGTTTTTACCTTTCCTCTCGCTGGGGAAATGAAGCAGGCGATGTTTCATTCCCTCCTGTGTCTCTCACAAAACCAAAACACACGTTTGATTGGATTTAGACAGACTACATAAGTGTCGGTCGACTTCTAGTACCTATACATGTGTTTAAGGTGTATGAAAAACATAGCATTTCTTGAAACCAATCTGAACTCAAACCTGTTTAATGCATTTTTTTCTCAAAATCTTTTTGTCCTTGATTCACATACACACACAACAGACTTGAGGCAGGACTCACCAGCACTGCGGTAGCTCAGGTCTCCAAGAATTTTGTCTCCAACTTTGCGCAGTTTCCACTGTGACCGCAGATGCAGCAGCTCTGCATTAAAGTCACGCTGGCGCCGCTGTTCCTGGCTCTCTGTTACAGACTTGCTCAGCTTCTCTGCCCCTTTCAGTAGCAACTGGGCTGCAGTGGCCAAAGACTTCTTCTTACTGATCAACTGGAAGACCTGAGGTGTCTGGGCAAAAACAAAGACACACAGTCTTAAAGGACAGAACAGTTAAAACTGCTGAAAGTGGGATGTGCAATACTACCAGTGTCTCTCATTAATTACCCAAACCGTGGTGGCTATAGTCTAATTTGTCCTGCCACAGTTTCATAATGAACCGAAAATCTTTACATTTCTCATAATCACAATAATGTGATTTGCCCCGTTGCCACAGCAAAGCATCTCTTACTACCAGTAAGCCCCCTCCCCTCCGCCGCTGTATGCGTGCAGGCTCACACACACACACTGGACTGTCATGTCATCTGACTGCATCTGAGAGGGTACATTTTGAGGACACAACACCATTTGATTTGAGGTAAGTAACATGAACTTTATAGTATCCACTGCAGTTATCCACTAGTCCAAACACTTTGTTCTTATCATTATCAGTGTCAATGTAAGACAGCAAACAGATTATGTCAATGCTGAAGTTATCATTGATAATCAAAGTTAATCAAACTTTAGTTGAGTTAGGAAACGGTAACATCAGTGTGTCCTTTTCTTGTCTCCTCACCTTAAAACGCTGTTCAATTTGCAGAGTTTTTCAACTTATATGACATCAATGCTGCTAACACATCTGCTGGTGTATTTTCGTCCTTCAAAAATACGACTGCATGATCTAAACAAAGCTACTGTGATATTTCAGAGACTTCTGAGATGTGACTCTTTGTTAAGGTCTTTGCTGCGGCCAGTGCAGCTGCAAAGATACGAGATTATGTAATGCACAGGCTCTGACAACATAACTATTTTCATCCTCTGAGGAGCAAGTTGGATCTTCATGTAATATTGAGCTATTTGTAATATTAACTAATTAAGTTGAAGTAGCAGCAATTAATCAAGTTGAAGTTACCTCTACTCTTTTAAGCTTAATGTTTGTGCTATGTATGCTCTAGTCGTTTTTTGTTTTGACCAATAGTGAACCGTTAAACTCCTTTACCATGCTTTTGAGGTGTGACCTTTTTGCTGTGTCATCACTATTCAGACCCATACAACCAGCATGTTTATGATTAAATTACTAAAGCAAAAAATTGGTTAGAAAACAAAGTTAAAACTAACTTCTTAGTTTTGCTGTGAAAGTCCACCAGATTGAGGCATTTAACTTTAAAGCATACAAATCTTTTCAGAGAGCATGGGAGATGGTTCTAAGGCATGAAATAAATAGATACCACCCAACCCAAGTCAGAACACCTTTTCCTCCCTCAATTTTGTTTTCTAAACATATCTTTTTTCCAAGCCCATATGTTTAATCAGGCCCTTGCCAGAGTGTGGATAAAAATCCAACAGATTTAAAAAGGAGTGGATTATAACTGCTCAAATGACATTACCTTGGCCACAGAAGGATCCTGTGATACCGGGTCAAGAGCCATGTACTTCTTCTCCTTGACAACGCTGAGCACATCATGCAACACACACATCTCAGTTAAAGCACTCCGCAAATGGTTCCTCACGGAGTCCCATGGCCACAAGCATGGTTGAAATTTCATTGGGCCTGGGGGAGAGTATATTTTATAATGTATTAATTTCCTTAAAGAAACTTGAAATCTTAATTTAAACACTGCACTGTAATTTATGTCATGCACATTGTTGTTATTTGGATGGGATTTTTGTTTATTCACATAAAATTTAAACTGAGCTAGAGAAAGTTGGTAACAGTCCTGTGGGAGAAAGTCCTGCAACACACTTACCATCCTCCTCAGGTTCCTGCTTGCTCCAGTCAGACTCTCTGCTCTCCCTGCTTGGGTCCTCCTCGTCTGAGTCAGAGCCTTGGCCAAAGTCAATGCGCTGTGCAAGCTTTGCAAGATTCTGAGACATAGAGAGTGGCGGCACATATGTCTCTACGCCATCCAGCGAAACTTCCTGCACTTGCCGCTCGCAAGATGACTCAATACTCACACGTACTGCAGGGCCCCCAGACATCCTGCTTATACTCACTTAGCCACTGCAAACACAGAAACACATCCCCAAACAACCCTGTATCATTTCAACATAACTCAAGTAAGTCTGGTCAACGTAAAACCTTTAATGTGGGATACTTATTAAACATACATATTAAATTAATTATTAAATTATCAAGGCTTGTTGGACTATAGCAATCTTTAGAAAAACAGGACAGTAGTAAAAATGAACTATAACGTTTCTATCATATAGTACAAGTGCAGCACAGTAGCTGCTATTACTTTACAATAATTACTCTCCTTGTGTAGCATAATGTGGTAATCTTTAGTAACTGTACAATGGAATCCAATAATAATTCATTTATACAACAGCTTCTTAAATGAGACCGAGTTTTTATCTTTTATCCTTGCCGTAATTTACATAATTTGTCATTTCGAATTGTGACGTTCAGATGTCGGCTCAACACTCTCCGGCGCTCTTAGTAAGCAGAAGCTATAAATCGTACTTAAACTCTTACGCTTTTACATTTTCGTTATATTGTTATATTACAACTCATGAAGCCACTCCACGCCATAGTAATTAGCTACCTAGATACATCATTAGCCAATGTTATCTAACTAATCAATCAACGTTTGGCAATTTGTTATTTGTACAGTGCACCAGCTGATGTGGGCGGGAGGCGGGGGGGTAATTAGATAAACATTATCGTTAGCTACCAAAATTGCCACTATTGAGAAATAGCTAACCTAGCTAGCCAACCGAGCTACTGCACAACTCATTGTTAGAATTACTGACAAATGCTAAAGACTTTTAAGCGGATTCTCAACTTTTGGCGGACATTTAACATTGCCCACTGCACGCAAATATCTTAAACCTGAACGGCACGTTACTTACATATATCAGTCAACAATACTGCTTTCCACCAGTTTCATCCAACTGGACAAAGTGCAACTTCCATTTACACCGCAGATCGCTCTTCTTCTTCTTCTGTGGCATAGCTCTTGACATGCCAACGAAAAGTGCATTTACTGCCACCGCATGGGTGGAACGTGCATTGTATTAAGAAGCTCTTTTTCGCATTATTTCTAGGTGGCAGAGCAAAATAAAAACCCGTTTAAACAGAGTTGACCTTTAAATTACACATTTGTCAAACAGTCTGAAAATGAACTCGCAATCATTTTTTCTCTCTTTTTAGATGAAGAGAAACTGTACCTGATTCACGATTATTATACAAAATAATAATCCATAGTAAAAATGCTTTCATGTTAATCAATTTCCGTCACCGTTTGTCTCGAAATAATAATAATAATAAATATAGCCGCAAGCGGCAATGAGCGGGTCCAAGCACACATAAGCGCAAGAAGCTCTCATGCACTTTGACCCACATAGGCCCGTTTAGGCCTAGAGGCTGAAATGAAATCTGAGTTTATCAGAAGGCCTTCATTTGTCATGAACCATTTTACTTTCAACATATATTTACATTTCTATGGACTGATCTACAAAGGTTTGTAGAACATGTAAAGGATTTTCAAAATAGATGTCAAAAATACATGAGCAATGGTAACATTTCTGTCATATTTGTGTTTGCAAGGGGTTTTGTTTCTCCATGTTTAAGGCTTTGATAATCAGGCCATAATGAGACCCAGTGCACTCATAATGGGCCCTTTTGGCACAGAGGACCTCACTGAAAGTGGTTTAGAATTGGTCCAAAGGTCTCCATATGTTATGATAATTGATCAGGGAACTTGATCAAAGATGTTCACTGAGTTATGTTCAGATTGATCTTTTGACCTTAGTATAATAAGCTGTATTTGTTGAAGGAATAATTCAAAATACTAGACAAGGAGTGAAATATTTGACATAACATGTAATAACAAAGTTATTCAGGTCAGTGAACTGAATCAAATGGCACCATGTGTTTATCTGTAGACTTTGTAATAACACCGTAATAGCATCTTTAATGATTTTTGGGGTTTTTGACAGCTAAGGCACCCTCTAAAGGTCATATCTGGACCAAGTTTTGCACACCCTGTCTGAGTCTCAATATATATATATATAAGTATTCAAAGTTTTGACATGGTACAACCAAAGACTGATGAGTTATAGCAAATCAAGCTAGCTATGCCATGGCCGCAGTGGTGTATTGATGGAGCAACACCAGGTTGAGTGAAAAAGTCAATATTTTTTTGATAATTATTTACCTAGAGAGGCCACAGAGTATTTCTAGACCAAATTCGAGAAGTTTGGATCAAAACTCAGAGACTAGTTTGAAAAGCATGGTTTTCAAACAGTTAATGATTACAAAAAAACTAGGCATTTTTGTAATAAACATGCAATTGAAAAATTGTTTGGCACATTGTACTACATAAGATTCATACAGAGCTTGGGTCAAAAATAGTAATAATATATTCATATCATGTAATAATATATGAATGTTTATGAATAGCGCCCCCCAGTGGCCAAATCTGTTGAAACTTCACTGCTTGTTAGAAAGGGGCTACATATAGACACTATTCAAGTTTCATGCTGATTGGTCACTGTTAAGCCTGTCAAAAGCCTGCTGAAGGCTGATTGGCTAAAGGCCAAAAATTTCAATGAATCAAATTGTGCTTCAACATTCACTTATAGTCTGTCTAGTAGATGCTAAATGCCAAGTTTCAGCTCAATCGGATGCACGGATGCTGAGAAACAGTTAATTGGCAATGGCCCCGCCCACTAATGACATAGGCCCACCAAAATTGATATGCTACCACAGAATCTGGTCCTAAATGTGCTTGTCAAGTTTCAATGTTTAAGGCAGAAGCATTCTCCACTTATAGAGTTTTAAATAAATTATGAACTATTTCAGAAGGGTTCATTAGCATATGGCAGCCATACTGTTTATAAAAGTCAAAATGTTTTTGATAATTATTGAGGTTCAGACTCTTCTGAATTTTTTGATACCAGATACATGAGGATTGAGTGAAAACCCTAGAACTAGTTCGCAAAAGTAGGTTTTGCATATTATGCAAATTAGCAAAAAATCTAAGTGGGCAGAGCTAAATGGTCCAAATTGCAAAGTTGTTTGGCTTGACCCAAGGAATCAGGCAAAAAAAGAACTTTGTCTCTACACATCATGGTGTAGAAGTTATGAAGCAAAACGTGTTTTGATGCTCTATAGCGCCCCCCTTTGGCCAATCGGGGTCATTTTTGTTGCCTGGCGAGATGCACACAAACTACATCTACCCACCAAGTTTGGTGTCTCTAGGCCTTACAGTCTGTTCTCCACAACACGTTTTTCAGGAGAAGAAGAAGAAGAAGAAGAAGAAGAAGAAGAAGAAGAAGAAGAATCCTAGCAAAAACAATAGGGTCCTACGCACTGCATGCTTGGACCCTAATAATAATAATAATGCCAATTGGTGATAAAACCGTGGTATAATGACAATAATACACTCAAGGTCGTGCTGTTCCGCGAGATACTGGTACTGGTGTAATGTGGTCGCACCTCTTATGGTATAGGCTCAGCAAATGGAGCACGTGACATCTAAAATTAGCACACTTGTTTTAAATTCTTTGCTATCCCAAGGATTGTATCACAAAACATATTCTTTCACTTGAAGAAAAAACAACAAAACTGTCACTAGGGCAGTACCCCTCTTCAGACTGGGGTGGTACCCTCAAGGGTACATCTCTGTATCTTTGGTCAGGGAACATAATTGTGCCATAATCCATTGAAATTACATTTTCTAAGCTGTATTGACTCCACACACCCCGTCTCGTCTCCAGGCTTTTCAATTATGTACAGGGAACATAATTGTACCATAATCTATGAAAATGATATTTTGAAAGTTGTATTGACTCCACAGACCCCATCTCGTCTCCAGGCTTTTCATTGCTCTGTTTTAAACTATTAGGTTATCTTGTCTTTTGCTCGAATCTATACAGCAATGTCGCTGGTGTTAAATTGACTTTAATTGAGTTCAATTTAACACTGGAAAACTGTGTATATGTCTTCACTCTCAAGGGATACAATAGCACCGTTATCTTTTTTTTTTTTGTTTTTATTTTTAAGATGCTCCAATGTAATACAAACTACAGTAAGCAACAAAAGACAGTAACAAAATGAAGCACCCAATCACCCCAACACCCCCCCACACACACACGGCACCCATAAACCCACTGCTGATCGAAGAAGAAAATAATAGTGAAAATATAAATAAATCAATAATCTCTAAGACAAATCAAGTAATACAAAACAAGTTTCACAATAAGTTGCCAATTTTCTTAGCTGCACTTTCCAAAGAGCTCAAGGTCCTCCCGCTAGCTCCATGGATCCTTGCAGTTGAAAGTTCCATATTAATAATATCCACAAAGGTAAGGATCCATTGCCGCCAGCACAGAGAATGTGGAGGTTGCTAGCGCAAGGCTAACATTTTTTTTGCAGCTGTGAGACCAGCCAGCCAGATTCGCTTTTCAGCACAATTTAGATTACATTCAGAGTCGTCAATCAAAAGCAAAGTTTGGACTATTTGGAATGGTTTTATTGAGAATGTCTGATAATGTAAAAGAAATCTTAGTCCAAAACTTACGTACATTTAAACACTGCCCAGTACATATGTAAAAATGTACCGTATGTACCATCAGAACAAAAATGACAAAGAGGAGATGGAGTAAGACACATATGGTAGCGTCTGCAGGGGGTTAAATAGGATCTGTGAATAAAATTAAAATAAATAAGCTGATGGTTAGGATTTTTAGAGGCCGATGTGATGTTATTCCATGTAGTATGCCAATTGATTTGACCCTGGCCACTTTTTAGCTCTTTTTCCCATATAGTTTGTAGACCTAAAGGTTTATATACAGCACGTAGTATAATAAGAACAGTTTACGCAATGGGTGTAGGGGGTAAAGTGTAGCCCCAAGGAACACCATATGCCTTCATGGCAGAGCGAAGGCGAAGATAAAGAAAAAATGAAAAACCTGGTATACTGTAAAATACAAGCAAGTCTTGGAATGTCTGAAGTCCTGAATCATTAAAGATGTCATCCAGAACATGTATTCCCTTTTGTTGCCACTGAGGAAAGAAGAAAGATTTATTGGCAGTAAGTAATTTATAGTTGTGAACATTTGTGCCAAACAGTTGTGGTTTTGGTTAGTTTTTCTACAACCCGCCATGTTAAAAGTAATTACTAATTAGAGAACCATGTCTCAGTTTACATTGCTTTATAGTAATATTCAAGTAGATGAGATCTTGTAATCTGTGTGGAGCAACCAGACTTTCCTCAAGAGGCCGCCAAGATGTTTGAGTATCTGAATTGAGCCTGACTTACAATGGACGAAGAACAGAGGAATAATAATATAATTTGAAATTAGGAAGAGAAAGTCCTCCATCTGTTTTATTACACTGAAGAGTAGCAAGTTTAATTTGAGGTTTCTTGCCTTTCCATATATAAGCTGAGATACTGGAGTGAAGTTTGTCCCAGAAACCTACAGGAGGAGGTAACAGAATCATAGAACTTATAAAATTAACTCTAGGGAGAACATTCATTTTCACTACTGATATACAGGTTTGAAGCGTATTAGGTAAATGACTCCAGTTCCTCATATCGTCACAGATTTTAGTAAATATCTGGTTAAAATTTTTCTTAACTGTTAACTGAAGGGATGGATGAATATCAATCCCTAGGTACCTAAAGTGATGTACTACAGGGATAGTTAAAGAAGACAGATGTATCTCCCTCATGGCATCATTCAAAGGAAGAAGTGCAGACTTTGTCTTATTGACGATGATTGAGATGAGCATTTGTTACCTGTTATTACCATGGCTGAAGGGTTGGCATATAGAGTTTTAACCAGTTTAATGAAATTAAGACCCAGTCCCACTATGTCCAGTACAGCCCATAAAAAGCCCCAGTCGAGTCTGTCGAATGCTTTCTCTGCATCTAAAGAAACAGCAGCACATAGAGAAAGTATATCAGGTGCAAAATCAAGGATATGAAGCAGCCGATGAACATTGTCAGAGGCAAGT